TAATACCCTTGATCGACTATTGCCCTAGAGAGTACCAGAGGCAGAGATGACAACAGGCTTGGCGACGCCTACACATCCCTCGTCAGCTTCCACGACCAAAGTAGACAGAAGAGAGAAAGATGGGCGTACTGCCAGAGTTGCTACCGAGTTTCTCAATCTGCTGGACGAGGTCCTGGCCAGAGGTGACTTCGCCAAAGACGACGTGCTTGCCATCGAGCCAAGGAGTCTTGACTGTGGTGATGAAGAATTGAGAGCCGTTGGTATTGGGGCCTGAAGATCATTAGAACCCGAAACCACCGCCAAGACAAGAGTACGCACCGGCATTGGCCATGGACAAGAGGAAAGGCTTGTCATGCCTCTTGATAAAGTTCTCATCCCCAAACTTTTGGCCATAGATCGACTTGCCCCCAGTACCGTTACCACGGGTAAAGTCACCGCCCTGGAGCATAAACTGGGGGATGACTCGGTGGAATCCAGAGCCGGCGTAGCCGAAACCGTTGACGCCAGTGCAGAGCTGTTTAAAGTTTTCGGTGGTTCTGGGGACGATGTCGTCGTAGAGCCTGAAGGTGATGCGCCCGGCGGGGGTGTCTGTGCGATGGTCAGTGGAGAGATGGAGAGTGGGAGAGATGGGCGTACTGGCGATAGAGATATCAAAGTAGACTTGACTGTGAGATGGGTTAGCGTCTAGCCAGTGACAGGGGCAGGATGGTGGCTGACGACATGACTCTTCTTGTAAAGTTCATAAATGACTTGTAAAGAGGAAGAAGAGGTAGAGGGAGCTGGTAGAGCCCTTATATGCATCGACGTGGAGGGGCGGGAAGGCCCGCCCGGGGTGCTCGTGGGGAAAGGAGGGTCTGGTTGCCAGGTTGAGTGATGTCCCGACCACCACACCATCACCCCACACCCACCCACGTGGCCCTCCTTTCGGTGCAGTGCAGTGGCGGTTGACCGACTCTTATGCTGACGATACCATCCACAGATACTTTACCATCCGCATTCTCTCATCCCAATGCAGAACGTTCTTCACCACCCTGCGCCGCGCGTAACAAGTGCCACATCCACCCACGTGGCATTCCGGCCCCTAACGCCGATGACGCTCCACGCCAGCCTCCACCCCACGGCCACCTCCCATCGCCTTCCATCGCCTTCTCCTCTGCTTTCCTGTCCACCACCCCCAAAAAAACACAAAACATCGTGTAAGCCGTCCTCTTGCGCTCCATTCGTGAGCTCATGCTTACCCCCAGTTTTTGTGCTCTTGCTGCTTTTCCTTGACTCGTTCTTTGCTTCCGTCAATCCTCAAAATACGCCATGTCTTTTGCTAAACGATTCGTTTCCACCGCCAGCACAATGTCGTGAGTGCCATCCTACATCAACGTTAGATGCAAGACTGACTCCTTATGCCCAGCCAAGTCTACTTTGACATCGCCATCAACAGTGAGTGTGACGGATGACCCGGTCTGTGCAAACAACTAACCCATCCTCCAGACGCCCCTGCCGGCCGAATCACCTTCAAGCTCTTCGACGACGTCGTCCCCAAGACCGCCGAGAACTTCAGGCAGCTCTGTACCGGCGCCAAGGGCTTCGGTTACGCCGGTTCTGGCTTCCACCGAGTCATCCCCCAGTTCATGCTCCAGGGTGGTGACGTAAGTACTCTTAGTTGTCCTATAAGATCTCGTCTGACGATTTGGATAGTTCACCAACCACAACGGTACCGGTGGCAAGTCCATCTACGGCGCCAGGGTCAGTCCCCCGCTCATTAGAATATTCGAACGACGACTGACGGATCGTTACAGTTCGCCGACGAGAACTTCAAGCTCCGTCACGACCGCCCCTTCCTCCTCTCCATGGCCAACGCCGGCCCCGGTACCAACGGTTCCCAGTTCTTCATCACCACCGTTGTCACCTCTTGGTTGGACGGCAAGCACGTCGTCTTCGGTGAGGTCGCCCAGGGCCAGGACCTCGTCAAGCAGATCGAGGGTCTCGGTTCCGACTCTGGCAGTGCGTCTTCATTCTTCTCTTCTCCTCGTCCGCGTGAGCAACAGCTGATGAAATGTTGTAGATCCCAAGGCCAAGGTCACCATCTCCGCTTCCGGTACCGTCTAAGCTTCTCTCAGCTTTCGACATGAACTTGTGAAAGCAAGATGAAAGGAGTGAATGAGCAAGAAAGAGTAAAGAAGGTGTTTTTAGGTGTATGAATCTTTGTGTTCTGCCCCCGCTATCTCCATATGTCCTGTGTTATGGTTGCACGTTTCATCGCAGGTACATCTTCACCCCATCTTAGCCTGCGGTTTCCAGCTCATATTGCGCCAACCCACTTGAACAACATCGACGGCCATAGCCTCCTCAAAGTACCGCGTCCCGTCTGATCCGCGAAGTCAATTAGGAGAGCGCTCGGTTAGTACCAGGGTGGGGGACCACCTGGGAATCCCGGGTGCCGTCGTTTTTCTCTTTTTGATCTGTGATTGATGTCTTTTTGCTTCACCATGTATGGGCCGTCTTCCCTTTCAGAAGGGAGAAGCTGCTGCTGTTGTCAAAAACGAGCAAGAGCAAGATCAGAGCTTCGACGAGCATCGGCGGCCCGAATGGTAGATTACATAAGCAGGCAAGCCGACGACGAAGCAAAAGTGAGGTCTATCTTGGATCTATCAGGATTCTTGACCATTTATATTACTTTCTGTGGCGTGTACTGACTGTCTGGCTGGGCGAAAGAGTAAAGAGAACCCGGCAAGATGGAGGAGATTGTCATTCCCAGTACGCACACCACCCCGCCTTTGTCTTGTCCATGCTCACCCCGCCCAGATCTCGAAGACGACGAAGACGACTACCTCCCCTCCCACTCCCGCCCCGTATTCGGAGCCGCCTCCTCCACCACCTCCCTCCCCGACACCGACCCCTACTCCAACTCACACCGCTCCAACCTCTCTTCAGACTCCTCCTACGCGCCGAGCAAACTCCAGACCACCACCCCTACGCGCCCGGGGCTGCAAAAGACTTCAGCAAGCTTTTCTGTCGGGGCGCCCACGCTGGCACATGGGTTTGGGCAACAGCAGACGCCAGGGTCGCTGGGCAAGTTTAATAATGCGTCTTCGTCTTCGCTTGTGACGCCTGGCACGTCCATCAGCTCTAGCGGTGCCGTCAGACGCCCCGGGCTCGCTACGAAAGGATCATTCGCCTCCATCAAGAATGCGTTCAAGCAGAACCACTCTACACCTGCTCCGCCGCTGCCTGCTTTCGACAGGACGGGCCCCCCGGGATACCCGGCGCTGAAGAATCCGTTCTCGAGGTATGACTCGCCCATGTCGCCGAGGAATCCGGCAGGTTTCAAGACACCAGTCAAGGGCAAGAATCTCTCGTCTTCGACTACGGCGTCGCCCATGTCTAGGGGGAATACGGCAGATGGACAGGGGAGAAAGTACTCGATCGCTTCGTCGCATAGATCGCAAGGTGGCAGGTCGATGACATCGAACGGTTCTGTCAACTTTAGAGCGGACGACCATCCCATGCCGGCACTGCCACCTATACCTTCGCGCCAGACGCCGTCGAGACTAGGTGGGAGGCATGGGAGCGATGTGGGGAGTTATCTGGGGAGAATGAGAGCAGGGAGTGTCGATTTGGATGATGGCGAGTTTGGGCGGACGCCGGGGGAGGAGGCGTTGAGGGTTGTGTTTATAGAGTTTCGTGAAGCGGCGGGGAACAAGGTACAGAGGGTATGCGCGAGGCCTCTAGTAAGCTTTGATCCACTTGTCAAAGACTGTCCTGACAATCGGCCAGAATTCACACCCATCTCTATCGACCATCCTCGAAGCCGGCATCGACCCACAATTTGACAATACCATCACCTCCCTCTCCCAAAGCGCTACGCGACACGCCCGCCGAGTCGTCGACCTCCTCATATCATGGTGTCGCGACTACTGCGGCAACATTGGCGCCAGCGAAGTCCGCTCGCACCTCGACAGATCTATGGGCCTCCAGATGAAAGTCGAAGATGCCGCTGCCATCCTCCAAGCCCGCAAATCGTCCGCTGCCAGATTCATCATGAACCGCGCGCTGATAGAGCTGCTCAAGATCATGCCGAAAGACTCTTTAGATCAGGAACTGGGCATGACGCTGGAAAATAACGCTTTCAATGCGTATCGCTCGGAGAAACCGGAGGATGTGATGCAGTTTCCGCATAAGAAGGCGGTATCGCAATTGCAGATTCAGTTGCTGGGCCAGCTGTCCAAGACGCGGTTTTTGACTGTCAGTGATAGGTTTGTCCGCGAGCTGAGCAAGTATGCGACAAATCAACAACCAACAAAAGAGTCTGAGGCGAGGATAGAGCACCTGCTCAAAGGCATGCGCCATCTGCAGCTCAAAGTCTACCCCGAGGACGAGCTCGAAATGTCTGCCGAATTCATCCAATCCCTCTCTGCCTTTTACGCCTCCACCCACGGTCAATCCCTCAAAATCGCATACGCCGAGACGTTTACGCATCTACTGCATCCTGTCATCGAGACGGCTACAGCCGAGGTGAATCATCCGGTGTGGGCGCAGGCGATGGCTGTGATTCTGGATAGAGCGTTGGGGATGGTGGGGAAGGCAAGGTACTGGAATGCGGCGTTTCCGTTGATGGTGACTGCACTGGGGGCGAGTCCGAGGGAGGTGTTTATCCAGCAGTGGCAGAATGTGGTGGACGCGATCATGGCCAAATTCAAGGTGAGTATCTGTTCTATCTGCCGTCATGTCGCTGATAAGGCGTAGGATCGGAATACCAAATCTGTCGCTATGGGAGCCTTCATCCGTCTTCTCTGGGTGTACCTTCATCGATGCCACGAATCTTCCACCTCGACGCGTAAACGGCTCGATCATCTCATCCGCGTTCTGTTCGCATCCTCCCAGTACCTCTACCCGTCGGAAATACCCTTTGAAGGTTTCATCGCCGTCTTGCACTACGTCATGACAAGGCAGACAGACTACGGAGAAGAGTTTGTGGTGGAGTTCTTGGGTGCGCGGTCAGCGACAGACTCGGGAGCGGAGAGATCAACGGCAGTCGTCAAAGCTGTCAACCTTACCTTGCGCGTCATCGAACTAGAGAAACACGCAACCTGGCCGCAATCCCCCGACTTTACAAACTTTGATCACGACTCTTTTGCGTTCGAGTCGTCAGGCGAGACGATGCCGTTCGACACCGAAACCAAGCCGGAAGTCTCTGACCTGCTCAAGAAGGCTGGTCCTGCGTTCATGAACCTCTTGGTCGAGTGTGACAACGACGTCCGGAATCTCCTCCTTTCCAACGACTCCGTCGCCATCGCTGGGCACGCATCGAGTAATACAATGGACAATCCCGTCGAAATTATCACTTCGAAGCATGGCGACGTCTATGTCTCTTATCCAGCGCGATATGCGGGCAAGATGAGGTTGATGGAGGCGGTCATGGAGGCGCTGCCAAGGTGCTTGCCCAAGGACCCGAAGTGGGCCGAGCTGGCGAGTATCTTGTGCCGAGCGACGTTCTCTGCGGATCCCAACGTCTGCGTGGCAGCCGGGAATGCGCTCAAACGTATGGCCCAAGATCCGCAGAGATGCTTGCTCCTCGTTGCGACCTATCGAGGATTCGTATTTGAGACCCGGCATATATTCAAGGACACATTTGTCGGCGCAAAGTTGATGGATAGCCACTTTGAGAGGGTGGTCAAGCTGTGGCTAGACATGCTCTTACTGCTTGTTGGGCATCAAAGAGTGGCAGAAGCTCAGGCGGATGATGAAGATGGCCAAAAAGCGCCTACTGCCGATGCTTCTCAGATCGCCCAGATAGAGGCTTCGGCCATCTTCTTGTTATGCTCTTCGGCTCTGTCGCTGAGAAAGCTTGCTGGTCAAATTCTCGTTGCTGCCAGGGATCTCGAGAGCCAACAGCGTCTACCTTCGGCGGCATTCCGATACAGCCGGCTGGTTCCCGACAAACCCGCCTCCGCAGGCCATGTCCTCGACATCTACGAACATGTCCTCAACGAGAAGGATATCGACGCTCTCAACCAAATCCCCTGGTTGTCGCAGCCCGAAAAGGCGAGACTTGAGATCGTCATCAACAACAGGGGCAAAGAGGGTGGAAAGTTGCTGCAGCGTATAGCCGAGGGCGAGAGCTCTCGAGATGCTGTTCTGTGGCTATCAGTGCTTCCCATCTTTATCAGCAGGGTTGCTGATCGACTGCCAAAAGTATCTCAGGAGCTGAGAACTGTGGTCGGAGGGCTGGTCCTTCGACTCCAAGCCCATGTCGCGTTGGTGGCTGGTGGAGTCATGCGTGGTACTCCCAACAGGACGGGAGGTAGCTTGGCGACAAGGAGCTCTTCTGATATAGCCATTCTTGCTGATCACTGGCGAGCATACCTCTCAATCCTTTGTGTGACTCTCAATCCCGCTAATGGACCTGCTCCTTCCACGCCTCCCGTTCAACGATCCAATGCCAAAGATGTCATCATCCTCAACCAAGAGGCCATCAGCACGCCCGTTCTCTTCACTTACCTCACTTCCCTTCTTGGCTGGGAAGACACGAGGTTTAAAGATGCTGCTGTTCATGCCCTCGGGTCTATTCGACAGGGTATGATGAGACCCCTTGCAGAACAGCTTTTGAATGTCACTAGGCGATTGATGGACGGGGCGAAAGTGGGTACTGCACCTCGTGAAGGGACGACAAAGAAGACTCCCAACTCTACCATATGGACCGCCGTCGCGCATATCTTCCGACTCATCTCGCCCCTTATCCTTGATCACAAATCGTCCAATCATCTGACAAACTTGTCTTCCATGATCGGGTTCATCAAAGTAACTTGGACGCTCTTGTCTGATCGGACAGTAAAAGAAGACTATGACCTTCAAAATCTTCGTCGCTCGTTTTGCATCGTCGTCGAGAATCTCACCAACGCTCTAGGCAAACTCGACTCTTCGGATCGATTCTTGGGCGAAGAGATGCGGGGTGCAGTGTTCAAGCTCTGTTACGAGTGGTGTTTAGTAGGGAGAAGGCCGGATGTGGCAAAAGCTAGAGAGAGTCAGATGCTACAGGCTGCAGCGGGAGGGTATAGGGGCGAACGGGATAGAGCGTCCTATCTGGACAATCTTCAAAACAAGACAAAGTTGTTGTCGATGGCAGCGGCTGAGGCTATGGCAGGGCTTTGTGTGAGTACATTTCGGCGCGTCCCAATGTTTGCTGATCATGTGATAGCAAGGCAAATTGATATCGGTATCGGACTCTACTCCAGCTCAACAGGCCTCGGATCACATCGTGGAACCGTTGTTGGTGTTGAGGTGGATTAGGGGGATGTTTGGTTCTGCAAACATGTCACATAACGCGACTGCCAAGTGAGTATTCATTCTTGGTTGATTACGGTGCTGATATTTCTTAGGCGGGCTCTGTTTGCTTTGATAAAGTACAACTGGGACTGCGAAAGGCTGCTTGACGAGGTACTGCATCAATCGTTCGGCGAGGGCGAGCAATTCACTCTCGAGTCGTCCTTCTTTGGTGTTGTGGCGGACCTTTTGTCAGAGGGACACCTGGATCTTCCGGTCGAGCAGGTTGCCTGTCTGGCCCTATCCAAGCTTGGTCATCCTGTGTCTACTATCCGACAACGGGCATTCCAGCTGGCACAATCTCTCCTGTCGCACCCAGGCGACATGCTCGTCTTTAGCAAGCTCCTACCATCAGTTGGGAGCTCCTCTGCGGCGATCTACCGACAAGCTCAAGACGCCATATCGGGCCAGCTGGCTTCGATATACGCCGACAACGCATTCTCTTTCCTGAGCGAATGTACTACACGTCTAAGCCAACTCGAGGCTCCTCGTCGACAGGCTACCCTAAGCGTCATCAGGTCATGGGTTCAATATTTGGATATGGCGTCAGATATGTCTGACTTGTCCCCGGAAGATGCGTCACTCCAACACCAGGCTCTCCATAACCTCGTCTATCTTGGCGTGCGTTTCGGCGAGGATCACCCGGAGGAGATCAAGGTCATCGTGCTGTCCTTTGCTGGGTCGAGCTCGTCTCAGAACACAACTGCCCTCGTCAAGTTCTTGTTCGAACAGGGTGGGAAGCGCAAGTCACCGGACTTTGTGGAGCATGCCCAGAGGATGGTCGCATGCCTTGCAAGCAGTTCAGCGGGGGACAATATATTTGAAGACATTTGCAACTTTGTCGAGCCGAACGCCATGGTCGCTCTGCCTGAAGCCGATGTGCCTCCAAGCCCAATGTCATCTCTAGCAAACCTCGACACCATCATGAGCGCACCCTCGGCAAGGTCGCAAACGTTTTCAACTGGTCAGCTGGCTCTGGTCTTTGCCGGTGAACTTTTACCGCACCGATTGAGTGACTCTGAGCTATCCAAGAAGCTACCTGCGCTACTTCAAGCCGCGTTGATCCAGTGCGACAGTGCGTCTTCAGCGCTCAGAGATCAGTCTCAGACTGTGCTATTCCAGGTCCTGCGGGCTTGGATTTCAGACGTATCCTTGGTATCACCTCAAGACGCCCATGCCATCTGGGCATCAGCAGAGACCAAGGTCACAGCGTTGGCCATGAAAAAGCAGGGCATATTCTGGAAGAGTGACGACAACGGCGGGAGCGATGTCGCGTTCATGGCCCCTCCAAAGATGACAGATCTTGTGATCAAGATCTTGGGTATCCTCCTTCCTCTCCAACCTCGTATACGCCAGCAATGGGGCGAATTGGCTCTGTCGTGGGCTACCACTTGTCCTATGAGACACCTTGCCTGTCGATCTTTCCAGATATTTCGGATACTATCGCCCAACGTCAAACCCAGAATGATCTCTGATACTCTGGCCAGACTTTCCAGTACCATCGCGAGCTCCTCCCAGGAGATTCAGGCGTTCAATTGCGAGGTGCTCAGGACGTTTGCGTCCATCGTGCAAAGTCTTGGGCCCACTGAGGCTCAATCCAATCCTCAGATCTTTTGGTGTAGCTTTGCGTGCCTCACCACGCCATACGAGAATGAGTTCTCGGAGGTGATTGATCTGCTGTCTCATGTCCTAGACAAAACGAACCTATCCGATCCAAATGTGGTACAACTCCTCAACAAATATCGTCCAGCCGACTGGGTCGGCCCGGCGCCCTACCTTCAATCTCTTCTTCTTGTTGGTCTGCGTTCGTCCAAGACCTCCTTCATGACGTTTGATCTCATACGTCGACTCACAAGCGCTTCTATTGATGAGCTCGTCGACGCTCCAAACGACAGGTTGATTCATGGATTCATCGCGGCGTTACCCTGGATGCTCCACTCGACTTATCTTGGTGAACCAAATGAGGAGCTCGCAGAAATGGCGCTGGATTTGGCGTCTATAGCAGACCAGCAAGGTCGGGCAAGCTTTTCGCGCTTGCTGACGTCTTTTGCCAAGGTCCGCTTCCGATCCAAGGACGATTTCATCCGTCAAGCAGCCAGTCTACTGCGCGACTACATGCCAACGCATGCGCTAGGTATCGTGACGCTTCTCTTGGGCTTTGTGCTCAATACCCACGATTGGATGAGGGAGAAGAGTATGCAGGTGTTGAAGCTCATCCTGCAATCGCCGGAAGCACGAGCGCCCCTGCAAACCCACGGGAACGAGCTACTCCAGCCTCTTCTCAATCTTCTCAGCACCAAACATGCCACCCAAGCGCTCGACGTACTCGACATGCCGATCACTGCGACTACTGCTGCCTCAGTCGACAACCATGCCCCTGCTTCTCCGAGCTTCTCGGGCGACATTTTTGGTCTGGTGGAAGAGAGTGGCTGGAGTGTGCCAAGAGCCAAAGAACTGTCTTCATTGACCCGGGAGAATGTGCGAGCTGTGTTCAACACATGTACAACAGAGACTCGTGCAGCCTCCGCCCATTTCTCGGTTGTGCAATTTGCCGACATGCGACCATTCGACTTTAATGCGAGTCAGGTCAGCCTTGATCTTCCTTCCTCACCTCCAATCAATGGGGAGGGGGCTATGGCGAACGCGTCAATCGGGGATCTAGTAGGTGCATTGCACAGCCTGGGGCACTTCTTTGAGGACGGGGATACGATGGCTGGTCTCGGAAATGGGACTTCCAGCCCTCTACCAAACTACAACATGTCGAGACACGCAGCCAGCAATAGCGATGTTAGCGAGCGAAGAGTGAGGGCGATCATGGCAGTGAGTTCCCGTTGATGCTCTAGTCTTTTCTATGCTGATTCTCCATAGCGTTCACACCAACACCAATCGTCTATAACCTCGCCCATCTACGAAACCAGCCCCGCTCATTCTCGAATCAATGGGCGGCCTTTCAGGCATAATCACACTCGATCAGATACGATAGCAAGCGAATCGAGTATGACATCGTCGTCCATGGACGAGCGTGAGAATGCCACTCAGAGGCTCAACTTTTCGATCCAGAGCGGCGGCAGTAGTACCCTGGGATCTTTGACTCCGGTCAAATCTCACGGGCAATCCCACTCCACGGGCTCGGTCAACATCCCCTTGGGTGTCAGTGAGAGCAGGAGGATCCATCTCCCCAATGACTCAATGTCATCTATGAGCGACATAGGAGACCAGAGCGCGTTTGGACTGGACGAAGAGGCTGCCGCTTCTAGTATGGGAGGGTTGCCGAGCACCACGTCCATGACATCTATCAGCTCTGCGGCAGGATACGGAGTGGCGGTAGGTCGACAAGGAGGCTGGAACGAGCGTGAGAGGAGGTAGCCGCCCCAGGCGGGCAAGTATGTGAAGTGGAGGGCAGGCCAAGGGCGTGGTCGAAAAACCTCAGAAATGTTAGCATAGCATAGTGTAAATCAGTCATCGTCATAAATCATAAATCTTTGATCTAGCACCTTGTGCGAGATAGTTGTAGAGTATAATATGCATCCATCTAGCTGCTTCTCCACAATGAGTAGGTAATAACAGTAGGGTAGAGGCTGTCACAGGGTTCAAAACGTATTTGATCTTCCTTACAAGCATATCCATATTTCCTTTACTTCCGTATGACAGTAGCTATGTTACAACCATACCCTCCGGCTTCCGAAACTACCAGTCATCATCCGGAGGATCCAGCCCCTTTGACTCTTCCTCCTCCTCCTCCTCATCACTGCTCTCGTCCATCTTGGCTTTAGCAAACAGCCGGTCCATCTCATTTTTCTTCTTTTCTTCTTCCGACATGACGTTGGCAGCTGGGACAAACTTCTTTTTGGTAGATGTATCAGCCTTTGGTGCTTGAGATACTGTTTGAGCTTTGATCAGCAATGGCATTGTTCATAGATATGAGTCCACTTACGAGGCGTCATCTTGGCGGGATGAAGGTTGATCGTAGGCCTTTCAGCAGATTTACCAGATAACCACTCCTCTGCCGTCAAAGGTGTTGCCTCGATATCAGTCGTCGGCACATAAATATCATCTTGGAAGAATTCAGGCTTTGCACAACATCAGCCTCCCTCCCTTCCGCTTCAAAAACACTCACCTTATTCCTCGGAATCGTAAAGCTAACCTCCTCCAATGCCTTCGCCGTCAACCTCAACGCTTTGCCCACTTCCACCTTTTTCAGATCCACCATCCTCTTTGGCAACCATACCACCCCAACTTGCGGGTTATCCGCCGTGAACCCTGGTAGTTTCGCAACAGGCTCCCGTTCATTTGAGGGGTTGATTTCGTATGCCTGGATGACGCGTTCGCCTTTGCCCCAGACGTAGAGGATGGACGTGTCGGGGTCGTATACGGGGAACAAGACGGAGGGGGAGGTGTCGATAGTTAGAGATGAGATGGTGGTGATCTCCTCGCCGGGAGTAGTGGGTAGTCGGTAGAGGAGGATTTTGCGCAGAGACCCGCGCGAGAATCCGACAGTGACGATATGCTCCTCGTCTATCCAGCTGATCTGGAATGACCGAGGACTATCGTGCGCTTTGCCCGAGACGACCGTGGAAGTGTCACGGGGGTCGAAGACCAAAAGCCTTCCGTCTTTACTTCCGATAGCCACTCGGTCACCCGAGGGGCTGAACGCAAGGCGGTATACGGCAGGAGCGGGGACTTCTACCTGCTTCACTTCCTCGCCCTTGGAGAGGTCCCGGAACCTGATATTCGCTACGCCTCGATCGTTCGTCACGCCCACGAGCAGGTCTTTGGCCGTGGGATGGAAGAGGATCTGCGTAAACTTGTCGATAGACTTGCCTACTCTGTATCAGCTTGCGCCTCGCCAATCCCATACAAACATACCATGCAACACCTGCCCAGGTTCAGGCCCAACCCCCTTCACGCCCTCCTCCCCAACCCTCCAAACCCGCACCTTCCCATCCTCCCCCGCCACCGCCACCCTCCTCCCCTCCCCCAGCTCCGCATCAAAATCAACAATCTCCACCCCCCCACTCAAATAGCCCTCCCCGCCAACAGCCACCCTGCCCTTCTTCTTCAACGGCTGCACACACAGCCTCCCGCCTGTACCTTGTATGGGGAAGAAGGCGAGGTGGGGGGTAAGGCGCAAGACGTGGGAGTCTTGGTGCAGGGAAGAGAGGGGTGGCAGGGAGTCGTAGGAGGGGATGAGGGGGGATTTGGCGGCGAGGTATTTGCGGGACCAGGATGGGTTGAAGCGGTCAGTTGATGGATTGGTAGGTGGCTGGGTGGCTGTTAATTTGGGGTTGGCTGGGGAGTCTTTGGATGTCGCTGCTTCGGGGCGTTTGGTAGGCGCAGCTGGGACAGAACCAGCCCGTTCAGGTGAAGGCTTTGACACCTTCTCAACTACCTTCCCATCTTCTACCGGCGCAGAAGGGCTGTGGTCAACATAACCCTCCCCCGGCTTCCCAACCTCAACAACCTCCCTCCCCTCCCCAAACCTCATCCTCAACCCCGTCCCCTCTCCCTCCCACCCCTTCCCCTTCCTCCAAACCCCGCCAGCCCACAGTTCATACCCCGGCATATACCTCCCCACAAACTCCCTTACCTCTTCATCCCCCATCCCCTTCCCTCCATTTTGGGCCTTCATCCCGTGCTCTTGCTCGAGCCTCCATTGGAAGACGTAGTCGTATGATAAGGGCTCTATTTGGATAAAAGATGAGAAGAAGGGGTAGAGGACGGAGGCGAATGGTTGCAGGTATTCGTTTAGCGTCTTTAGAGATTCGAGAGGATAGTCCGGGAAGAATACTCTAGACGTCTTTGGTGAAGCCGCCTTCGGATCCTTATACGCCTTCTCCAACTCTTCCTCCCCCAACGGTGCAAAACCCATAGACCACCCCTCCAAAATAAACACATCCACCGGCCCAACTACTTTTCTCGTCTTTGGACTCCGATCCCCTTCCCCTCCATACTTGCTCTTGTCAAAGATGGGGAGATGGACGTATGCGCCGGGGGAGTCGTTGAGTTTGGTGGCGGCAGAGAGGGTACGCTCGGCGAGGTCTAGGTCGTGCGTGCCGGGGGGACCGCGGCCGGATAGGAGGGCGTTGGTTGGGTGTTTAGCAGCTACAGCTTTCAACCCCGCATGATTCTTATACAAATCTAATTTCCCCTTCATGAGCTCTTTCCCAACATCTAGGCGAAAGTATTTGGGTGGAAGAACTCACCATCCGTAGAAAGCACAGCCCCCACCAACTCCTTCTCATCACTCAGATAATCCACCAACGCCCCCGTCAAGGTCGTCTTACCACACCCCTGCGGTCCTTGCAGTCCAACCATCAACGGGCCCTTCCCCTTCTCGCCCTTCTTCCACTCCACCACTTGGTCTGCGAGAAAGTCGCCGATGATACGCACTTTGTAGCTCGTTGAGGAGTGGGTTTCGCCCTCTTGCAGAGGAGGGAGGGCGGTTTTTGCGGTTGGGGTTGGGGTAGGTGAAGGGAGTGGTTCTTCGGGGGTGGGAGTAGCGGGGGCGTTAGTGCGGGCGGGCTGTTTGGGTGGCTCTTCTGCTTTGGGGGCTAGAGCATCAGGTGACCCCACAGGAGACGTTACAGTGTTCTCTTCTTCGGTACTCTGCTTTGTTTCTGTAGGAGGCGTAGGCGTCTTTGTCTCCTCGCTTCCCGATACTGTGGTGGTCGAGGCAATATCTTTGCGGGGCTTATCCTCCTCGGTAGGCTTGGTTGAAAGTGTGGTACTAGGCGTGGTGATAGGTGCCTCCTTCGCCTCCACAGCCTCTTCTGCCGCAGCAGGTGAATCCGACTCGTCCTCGGCCACTCGAGTAACATCCGAATTCACAGCAGACGGAGGCGCAGAAGTACGCTGTCGACTTTGAGCAGCTTGCCCCACCTGTTTCTCCCACATCCCCCTCCTAGCCGGGTTGACCGAGATAGGTAGTGGGAGTTTATCGTCGCCTTTGAACCATTCTTCCGAGCTTTGCTCTGCAACTATATAGTCCTCATCAGCTTTTGCCCAAACCACACAAGACGAAGAAGAAAAAGAAGAAGAAGAAGGAGAAGAAGAAGAAAAAGAAAGAAGGGGACGTACTGCTCCCAGGAATATCCGGGTATAGATCTTGATGAAAATCAATCAATTGCCTCCTCGGGACCCTCACCCCAACAGGCAAAAGCACCACCCCATCTTTATCTTCCCCCTTCACAAGCACCCTCGCTATTTCTGCTTGCATCACCTCCAACTCCCCCGCATGGACCCCGGCGAGGGAAGAGGAAGAGATTGGGAAGGGGAGAGGGTGGATGGATTCTTGGAACCCTTGGGCGCCGGAGAGTTCGATCTGGCGGAGGGTCATATCGCCCCTCCCGGCGAGAAAGATGATTTTCCGCTGTTCGTCTACGAGGGGCACGAGTGTACCCTGATTCGTATCCACCCCTTGCTCAAACTTTGTCCCCAGGTCCGAGCCCGATAGAAGAGAGTACTGGCGGACGCGCATTTTGGAGAAGGACGTGAGGAAGATGTCTTCTCCTACCCAAGCTAGACGGGCTGGTTTGAGGGATTGGATCTGAAGGGGTTTGGAGAAGGAGGGAGAAGGGGAGGAGCGGGGGTTCCAAGTGTAGGCTGTACCGCTTCTGCCGACGGCGGCTATGAGCCGACCATCGTTCTTCCACGCTATCGTCCAGAGCCCTTTCGGTTCTCGCGCATTGAGGATTATCTTGGGTTCCTTGGGGTTGGAGTGGAGGTCGTATATGGCAGCGGGCTGGGTTATGGTGGAGATGAGGAGGATGCCGGGGGTGGTGGGATGGAAGGCGATGTTGGTGACCGGGGAAGATGAGGGGGGGATGGAGTAGAGTAGTGAAGGTTGGGTGGTAGACGGGGGTGCTGGAAGTACGTATACGGATACCTTGTAGCACTGTAAGCGGCTGTTCGGAGGAAGAGAAGTAGACGTACAGCACCGTCAAGGCCACCAACAGCCAAGAGCGCATCCTCCAATCTCGAGACATCCCAATCGCCCACGCCACCCCCGCTGCCCACCTTGATACTTGCAGCCTGGCCAGCATATCCCCTCAGAGACAGCTCGCCAGTGGGGGCTACAGTGATGATGTATTCGCGGGTGGTCTTGATCTCGGAGGTGAATGTGGTAGGCGCGCTGGGGGTGAGCGGGGGCAGGTCTCCCCTGTACCACGTGGCTGGGGGGGGGATGGCTGGCGCGGCGTTGCGGTACTTGGATGCCCCGAATCGAGCGAACGCCATCGTGCCGGTACAGTCCAAGTACAGTAGAGTAGCTTAGTTGCATCTCTATCCCCCAGTACGTAACACCCGGCCGCCGAATGCCTCCACTGCACCGGTATCAAGGCGAACCCTGTGCAGATTACTGGGGGTTTGAGGACATGGGTAAGGGGTTGGAGTTGTTGAAGGTACTATTTACACTGGTCGAAAGGAGAGGAGTGACGTTGGCGCAGGACAATCAGCTTTCGGGGAAGCAAACGGGGCGTAAGACACTATATCAGGAGCTCCCTACGCATGTATACTGACATGTGGATTGTGGAGACCCGAAAACATCAGGATATCTTGTCACTCTTGCTCGCTCCCAGAATTGACAGATACATATAGATGTGGTGAGGATAATCTCAAGCCGCTTCGTTTACTATACTACTCTTCGGCGATCCTAATCACAGACTTCTTTCCCGAAATCTTGTTGTTCTGCCTCAACGTCAGCAAACCGCCCCTCTCTTCTCTCCATACCCATCAGCAGCCGGGAACGTACCTTCAACAGCTCAAGACCCTTGGTCACGTCCTCAAATCCGCCGGTTATCTGCACCGGGTTGGGCTTCAGGCCGTATTTACTGTACAGCTCGGCAGTCTGCTGGAAGATCTCTACGCCGAATCGTCTATCCTCTGGCACGGAGGGGAAGAACAACTGTCCAGGTGCGCGCGCAGCAAGCTCAAACTCCTATTTCAGAATCAGAACCATGCCATGAATTGTGATGAGAGACAGTACATACCTTGCCGAGAAGCGTGTACATGACTGTAAACTCGGTCTTGAGCTCAGGGTTGAGCTCTTTGACTTTGTCCGGGACAGCCAACAAGGCATTGAGCTGCTTTCCCTTCTTCCCCATCATCCCCACCGTGATCCTGAAACTATCGCCCTCCGAGATGGTATCGAGCGCCAACTCTACACCGCCGTCGGTGATCTTGAGAGCCTCGGCAATGGCCTCGTCGGGGGTGTGGTAGTCCAAGACGGCGTCGGCGCCGTAGGATTTGAGCAACGGGAACGAATGGGGAGAGGCGACAGCGAGGACCTGATAGCCGAGGATCTTGGCGAGTTGGATAGCAAACAGACCGACCGAGGTGGAGCCGCCATAGACAATGTACTGCGAGCGTTGTTACAACTTGGAACGATAAACGGAAGGAGTGTGCACTTGCCCAAGGGTTTCCGGTAACATTCGTATCTCCCAAAGTGGGGAAAGCTTTGCCCTGATGCTGCACCATAGCCTAATAACACTCGTAAACTCGACTCCCAAACCTACGCGGCCACAACGTACCTGAGCAGCAGTAACCCAAGCAACCCCAAACGTCGACGCCTCCGCAAGTCCCAATCCCTCCGGCACGACCCAAGTCAAATCACTATCCGCCAAGGTATACTCCGCATGCGATCCTTCGTCCTTGTAGTACCCGCCATGAAGCGTACCCGCGACACGATCGCCTAATTTGAGGGGAGAAGCCAGATTGGAGCCAAGGGCGACGACGGTGCCGGCGAAATCGCAGCCGTTAATGACGCCGGGGAGGGAGAGAAAGGCTGAATGTTTCCAGTCGGTTAGGTTCTGGGCGGCGTATTGGACTTTGACGAGGACTTGGTTGTCTTTAGGCTGGGGCACTGGCACCTCTGCGACAGAGAGCCAGTTGGACTGATGGTGATATGTTAGCGAGACCATATGTAATACACTCCAAGGCGGGAGACGCACTTCATTCTGAACCCACGCCTTCATGGTCTTGGGGATGGAGGTCATTGTTGTACCAGCTGGATAGTAAAGAGCAGTGGTGGCGGAAGTACAAAAGAGAGATTGGATGTCTTTATATAGGCGAGAGGATGACTCATACGTACGTAGGCCGTCGGTCGCCGAAAGTGGAGGTGGCGTCCCGCGGCGCTCGCCACATATCTGCATTCAGCCGCCGGCACAAGCAGAGCAACGCTGACGAGGCCGAAGAAGAAATGGCTCAGTCGTGATTCACCCTTGTAAGAAATACATATGTATGTAAGTACGAGTACAGTACGAGTGAGTACATGCTGGATTGTGTGGAACGAAGATTCGACTCGCCGAGAATAACATCGGAAATCTACTCAACGTGCATTCCTTCGGAGAGCAGCGCTTCCCTTGACCTCTCACCTGTCAGTTCAAATACCACCGCAATTTGGTCGACAGAGCTGCCTGCCTCATGCAAACGTTTGACACTGCGCCGGAGGCGCTCAGCCTGCTCCTCTTTCTCCTGCCCGTTCTGCCTGACCTCTCCCTCTAGCACGCCTTGCTCTTCGAGGAGCTTGTTGTACATCCGGGCCTAGGACGCTGTTGATTGGTGTCACGGAGAGCTCATTCAGTGATACTCCATCTAAAGCCGTGGATGTGGCTCTGGCACGTTTTGCTGAGAGTGGGACGGGGTAGGCCCCCTGGTTGGGTCGTTTGTCGGGATTTGAGTTGTTTGACATGGTATACCGAAAGTTGCTGCCGTTTCTTGGCTTTCTTTCGATATGAGAGTAGGGAAGGCGTGTCTGGCAGGTGACTGGATTTGGGGAGCAAGTAAGTGAGACAGAAAGGAGAAGAGCACAGAAGAAGCAAGGACGCGACGCGCTGGACCAGCTGTGCAGACAATGAATCGTGAACGTGGTGAGAGACAAGTATACGATAGACAAGGATCCGTGTACTTGTCAAATGTGAAGACACCCTATGCCATGCATCCCTCGGCAACCCGCGATGGAACGGTGACTTGCGATAAGCGAAGTACGAGCCGCACGCCATCTATCGCACCCAGGCACCAGCGACGCTGCCTCTGATTTCACATGCCGCCCTACTTATTCTTTTTCCATCGCATCCATGCTCTCTTCTCTCCCAAACATTCTCAGAAATCCCCTCCTCGCCACACCCCACCGCTTCCGCCTCAAAACACTGCATCAAGTACGCACAATGTCCGTCTTCAACACCTCCCGGTAAGTCCTCGGCACGCCGACATCAATCACTCTCTTGCTGACACCCCGCCTAGTCTCGCTGGCAAGACCGGTATGCCCCCCATCCCAAAAATCCTATACTTCTCTGACGTATACAGTCCTTATCACCGGTGCTTCTGCTGGTATTGGCGCTGCCACCGCCGAGCTCTTTGCCAAGACCGGCGCCAATCTCGTCCTCCTCGCCCGCCGTGCCGACAACCTCAAGGCTGTCAAGGCCAAGATCGAGGCTGCCCACAAAGAGTCGGGGCTGAAGGAGGGAGGAAGGGTGGTGCTCATTGAGGCTGATATCCAGAAGAAGGAGGATGTGGATGCTGTACCTAGCAAGCTTGAGGGCTTGGAGGTCGACATGTGAGTTCTTTATACATCTGATCGCCCCTTACTGACCGCCTGGAGCCTCGTCAACAACGCTGGTATGGTCAGGGGCAAGGATCAAGTTGGTGGTGAGTATCCAAGCTATGTTATAAGACCTACAAGTACTGATGATTACCATAGACATCTGTAGGTCGAGCGTTCGCCCGTACGCGCAAAGCTAACACGCCCCAGCCGAGGACGACATCAACGTCATGTTCTCCACTAACGGTAACCTTCCACATGACTCATCTATCCCTCAAACACTAATTTCTCCACTCCATAGTCATCGGTCTCGTCAACCTCACCCAAATCTTTGTCCGCGAGTTCAAAGCCCGCAACCGCGGCCACATCATCAACCTCGGCTCTGTCGCCGGCCGCGAGCCCTACGCCGGTGGTGCCATCTACTGCGCCACCAAACACGCTCTCGCCGCCATCTCTGGCTCCCTCCTCCGCGAGCTCGTCAACACCCCTATTCGAGTGTCGGAAGTACAGCCGGGGATGGTTGAGACGGAGTTTAGTTTGGTGAGGTTTAGGGGTGATCAGGGTGCGGCTGATAAGGTGTATGAGGGTTTGGTTCCTTGTAAGTCTCTTTGTGAAGGAGTGGGAGAGAGACAGTGCTGATGGGAGTGAATAGTGAGTGGACAGGATATCGCGGAGGAGATTGTGTGGGTCGCTTCCAGGCCCGAACACGTCAACATTGCCCAACTCTGTCAGTCAACTCACCTCTCCATTCTAGTATCATCTATCTTCGAAATAGTCACTGACGTAAGATACAGTTGTACTCCCCGTCAACCAGGCTTCTCCTACCCTCGCCCACAGATCTTCATAGACATGTTCTACAGCACACTGTCACGGCCTAGCTGGGACGCAGATTTACTAAGTGTGACACACACCCGCACCAGCAAATTAAAAAAACAAAATTGTGCATCAAAATGCATCGACACAATGTCGCTTGGACAAGCTCTCGAAGCACCTTGAGCTGCACCCTGCCGAACCTCATTCTTTACAGCTTATCATACATTTGAGCCACGTCTGAGGTTCGTCTATTTTACAGCTTTCAGCGACAATCATAGGATTCTTCATCTCCATCAACGCGCCCTCTCTTCCGACAACTCCGAACATTCAAGTCACTTTCGCCCGCGCTCAAACGATCCAAGTCCATGCTCCCCTCTCCACCCCCAAGCTCTTCAGCCAGCGCCGACCGTTCCCACCCACACCCCCTAACCTTCCAGCTGGCCACCGTCCCCTCATTTGACCAGCTCGCGCCTCTCGCCCTTTTCCCACCCCCACTTTCGTCTCTCACAATACTTCTCGCCCTCGACAATATCACACCATGGCGAATTTTGGGAAAGAGAAGCGGGTATTCTCGCCTCGTTGGTAATCTCCGCCGGATACGGTTCATTTGAGGAGGTCTATATGTCCTTGTTTCTCCTGGTTGAGGACCTGCCGTGAATCGGAATAGTTCAGGAATCGGATGGGCAGGAGGAGGCCGACGGACGTCCTGGAGCGGCGGGACAGCATCTTGAGGTGGTATCTCCTCACGGACGATCTGTCTCGCGTAACTTTCCGGCACAACATGTCCTGCGTTCATGTTCTGATATACGGTCACGGCAGGATCCTGCAGCTGTGAAGGGAGCGCCACGGGTTCCCCTTGAAAAAATGGCGCTGGAAGGTGGTCGTAGGGATTGTGAGCCGGCTGTGAGGCATGATTAGCGGATGTTGAGTGATATGATACTTGGAAGGAGATGACATACCCAGCCAGCCACGTCGTTGTCCATCCTACCAGTCGCCCTCTGGATGTTTTGCTGCTGTAGCCATCCAAGTACTCGATTGTCCAGTGCCATAGCCTATTGTTCTAGGATCAGCTTCCATGCACTGTTCGAATTTCCAGGCGATGACTTACAGATGCGTGGTGCTCAATCTCACCCAAGCCCGCCCTATCAAGCGGATCTTCTCTGCCATGTTGTGCCAACATGTCATTCCTCGGTACATGATGATGATACAGAGGAGGTGGATCCGGGTCTAGATGTCCTTCTGAATAACCAAAGTATGGAGGCGCCGGGTTGGAGTCGAACCTCTCATACGACGGTGGATGGATCTGTTGAGGTAGTCGTTCTCCCATTTCATCGATCGCTTCTTCCACAGGCGCTGGCTGTACTTCTTCCATATCATGAGGCCCGAGTCTCGATACACGACGATGCTCATGACGGAGAATCCGAGGAATGCTGGTATAGCGGTCCAGTAAAGATGAGCGGACGTCGCCAGAGCTCGAGTTGATGTTCCGTGGAGTAGTAAATCTACGAGAGCTGGGGCGGCGGGCGGCTGCGCGATAAGTATCATGTATTGATCGCGGATGAGAATGTCGCTGATAAGAGCTCCGGATTCGGCGAGGAAGACTATCACTGAACCTCGTAGTGTTATGACGGATCTACAAGAGATGTCAGCTTGAGCTTTCACTCGTGTCACTCAACAACAACGTAAACGCACCGGCCAATATCCAGGCATTCTTTGTACGCCGCTATTTTCCTAGCATATCTATCAGCCCCGACTGAAAGTGAGGAAGACGAAAACCTACAGGATATGATATAGGAGCAACGAGCACAGGAGGCGCACGCGATGATTCTGCTGCTCTAGCAGTATCCGTCGCTTGAGGTCCAGAAGACTCTTCAGTGGCGTCACCATCGTCGCCATCGTCGCTGTCGGAATTTGATCCAGGGCGTGTCGGCTCATCATCAGGCTGAGAAACACGTTAACGAACACATTGAAGTTGGCTGATGAATCAAGCTCACTGATGGACTTGAGATGGACGAAGAAGAAGAAGAAGGGGCTGAGGCGAAAGGAGGGGCAACCTCTATCGGGTGTCGGGGGTCTGGCCCCTGTGAGAACAATAACAAGGTCAACGGATGCTCAGCGTGTACGATGGAGGGGTCTTACAGAGGTTGCTCTTTCATCGCCTGTGTTTTCAGCAACGTCGCCTGTGCCAGCCGTATGAGCACGAGTGTCGATTTTCGTCTGCAAGATACATGTCAGTAGAAGCTCAACGAAGATACCGTCAAAGCTTACAGAAACAGCATCAGATGACGCCTGAGAAGAAGTAGAGTCGTCTCCTATCGGGTGTGAGGGTTGGGGCCCCTTTCCCACCAGTGTCAGTACAGGTGAAAGCGCAAAGGCAATACGCACAGTAGACGAATCGGCTTCTTCTGGCGTACCTTCCCCTATCGGGCGTGGGGGTGGGTTCCCAGTGGAAGGTAGCTCAGTGTTGCCGATGTTGCTGTCAATAGTTGTCGAAGTGGAAGTATCGCTCGATGGAGAAGAATCGGCGGGAGGGCCAGTGTATGTCTTTTGACGAGTGTCGGTGTTGTCGATCGTTGAGTGCGCTCGCTCCTTTACTTCACGCCCCACAGAGGCCTGCCTTTCCATCCGACATTCCAAGTTCACTTTTGCCTCATGGATGAGTTCCGTATCTCCAGGACTGCGTGATGGATTCGACGGGTCGTCCGCTTGGCAAGAGAGCTCAAGTAAGTCGTTTACTGGACTAGACGATTCACGATTGGCCTCCAACACGCTGCTGCTGCTGGTAGAGTCCTTCGTGATTGAACGATCCTTTTCGGTTGATTGGGCGGCAGGAGCTGAGGGAAGAGATGGCCCAAGAATAAGACGAGGTGGCGACACTGGGGCACCAAGAGAAGTTTGCAATGACCACCGACCCAAAAAATTCTGAGGCCAAGAGATCTTGACGACGACCGCAGACTCGAGTGATACGTGACCAGGTGGATGGCAGAGCAGAGCGCGTCGAATTGGAGCGTGACGCTAGTGCATGGAGTCAGCAGAGGAAGGGATATTACGGAAACGAGACCTACGGGCACATGAACACCGAATTCAGGTGTAGGAGGAGCTGGCGGTTGGAGGTCTTTGAAAAAGCGAAGATAGCGGAATGACATTGTGCGGACAAGTTCGCCTTTGAGAGTTTCGTAGAATTCTAGGGCGACTTTGTACCGACGGCAACCTTCTGCAAATGATGCTTTGAGCTCATTTCTGCCATTATCGTCAGCTTCAATTCTGTAAGTACAGAACCACAGAGGCACTCACATAGCTTGACCTATGTGTTCATTCAGAACCCTTTTCATCCCGCCCAAGAGAGCCAGAAAAGATACGACGACAGCGCCGGTCAAGTGAATGAGCTGCTCGGCCATGATCTTGGCAGCACCAGGTCCAGACGCGACAGTGTTCAGCAACTCCCCATCCTCAGTGTATGTGAGGAAGGGCTGGAGAGCGCCACCATCGGGTGTGGGGAATGCGGGCCATCCTAAAGACACAGAAGAAGCAGAAGTAAAGCTCGCCGAGGGGAGCTCGGGAACCTTGTAGACAGAAGGAGCAGAGATAGAGTAGACGATCAGCAAGGGGATGATAGGTAAAGCAGGGTGAAAGAAGGCATCTGCCATGATGGCAAAATGGTTCTGGTGGATGATGTCCATCTGGTAAACTGCGATAGCAGTCCAGACAGTCACGATACCGTGGACAATGAAGGGAATCATTGTCGTCGCGGGTAGTAATCTTAGTGAGGGGGTTCGTAGGCTTTGGGATTCTTTGGAGAGGGTCAAATCTGGAAATAAGTGTAGCACAGGTGTATAAGCAGAAGAAGTGAAATTAGTTGAGCTTCCGCATTGTATGCCACCCGCTCTAACTGTAGTATGTATCCTCCAGGCGGCGGAAAGTTGGGGCGGAATTGTGAACATGTCTTCTGCAGAATAGTCCGAGGTCCTCTTTGATGTTTCCGCATATGTATGACAGTTAATCAAAGGGGATCGAGTAAGAGGCGCAATCATGCATAGGATTGCTAGAGTTTTGTGGATCTGCGATGGAAGCCGAGTCTGATTGTTTGGCTCTTGTCCCGGCCGCCGGCCGAGCTGATGCTATGTTACGTAACTATCCGCGACTCGGATTAAAGCTCAAGTCGGCGCTGAGGTTTGTTGCAACTGTAAAAAAGTCCAAGATATCCAGGATGGCCCCCGAAATGAGGTACTTTTCAACCCGCGGTGGCAGCGAGACCCTTTCTTTCGAGGACGTGAGTACAGACACCCCAGCGAGCACAAATATTCCCGGCTGACAGCGTGCAGGCTGTCCTCACTGGTCTCGCTCCCAATGGAGGGTAAGTTGGCCCGACCGATGGCGCTCTCAGCTCACCTTCTTCAGCCTCTACATTCCCACGCACATCCCCGACCTCCCTGCGGACTGGCAGACCAAGTGGGCCAACCTCTCTTTCCCCGAGCTCTCCCACGAAATCCTCTCTCTCTTTGTCCCCACCGCCGTCATCCCCTCTGAGGATCTCCAGTCCATCATCAACACCGCATACGGCTCTTTCCGATCTGAAAAGACCACCCCCATCAGGAAAACTGGGGAGAAGGAGTACGTTCTCGAGCTCTGGCACGGCCCCACCTGGGCCTTCAAGGATGTCGCCCTCCAGTTCTTGGGCGAGCTTTTCAGGTACTTTTTGGAGAGGAGAAATGAGGGCAAGACTGAAGGCAAGGAGGAATTGACCGTTGTCGGTGCCACCAGTGGTGACACTGGAAGGTGAGTTTGGTCACCACTTTTAGGGACCTGAGCTGAAAGAGTTGCAGTGCTGCCATCTACGGTCTCCGCTCCAAACCCTCAATCACCATCTTCATCCTCTACCCCGACGGCCGTATCTCCCCTATCCAGGAAGCTCAGATGGCTACCGTACCCGACGAGAACGTCCACTGTGTCGCTGTTCAAGACACCGACTTTGACCACTGCCAAAGCATCGTCAAGACCCTCTTCTCCGACGCCAAGTTCAACGCCACACACCGTCTTGGTGCCATTAACTCTATCAACTGGGCTCGTATCCTCGCCCAGATTGTTTACTACTTCTCCGCCTACTTCCAGCTTCCCGAGGCTGCCAGGCAAGAAGGTGCCAAGCTCCAGTTCGTCGTACCCACTGGCAACTTTGGTGATATCCTTGCCGGTTGGTTCGCCAAGAAGCTCGGTCTCCCCATGGAGCAGCTTGTGGTCGCTACCAACGAGAACGACATCTTGGAGAGATTCTTCAAGACTGGCAGATATGAGAGGGAAGACGTCGCTGAAGCTCCCAAGGGTGAGGCTGCCGAGACTGCCGCTGTAAACGGGTCGAGCGACGGCCAACAAGCCGTCAGCGCTGTCAAGGCTACCCACTCCCCTGCTATGGACATTCTCCTTTCTTCCAACTTTGAGCGTCTCCTCTACTACCTCGCGCTCGAGACCAACGCTTCTGAGGGTTCTGCTGAGGAAAACCGTACCAAGGCGCAGGCGACTTTGAACGGCTGGATGAATGCCTTGAAGACCGACGGCAAGGTTGACCTTGGAGAGAAGGTCAGGGAGGCTGCTGGAAGGGACTTTTTGGCCGAGAGAGTGTCTGACGAGCAGACCCTTGCGGAGATCCGAAAGTACTACCAGCTCCCTCAATACGGTCCCTACGTCGTCGACCCTCACACTGCTGTCGGTCTTGCCGCTCAGGAGCGTGCGGCCAAGAAGGCGTAAGTGTCATCTTTTTCTGTTTGCTCGGCACTGACATCCATTATTAGCTCTCCCAACACCACCTTCATCACACTCTCCACTGCCCACCCCGCCAAATTCTCGTCCGCCGTCGAGCTCGCCCTCTCTGCGTCCGACTTCCCCTCATTCGACTTCCGCCGAGACGTCCTTCCCGACGAGCTCAAGAAGCTCGAGGGTTTGGAGAAGAGGGTGCACAAGGTGCGAGGTGAGGAAGGTGTGCGTGCGTTGATCGAGAAGATCAAAGGGCAGAGCAAGGAGAAGGTGGATGTTTCCGAGGGCAAGGGGTCTATTTAAGGCATTTGTTGAATCTTAAATATTGGCCATGCTATGCATGTTGGATTGCGACCGTCTGCAATCGAAGATTATGTCGGAAGCGGGCAGTGATTGTCGGTGTTGCAAGGCAGCTCTTGGACGAAGACGTTGGCCTGAACGACAGCGGCAGCGTGCTCCGGTGGACAGGACATACCGATCAATGCACATCACAAGAGACCCCCAAGACTCGGCCTCCCGAAAAGAGGAGCAATCATTGAGAGCCTCAAGCAATGGCCAAACACGAGAAAATGGCTGCAACATTGAGAGATACAGGCATGACGGTGATCTTATTCTTACGTGACAAACAAAAATATAGTAGCCCCCGTGGCGCAATCGGTAGCGCGCACGACTCTTACGAGTCTGCTTGAACCGGTTACGGGCCATCAGTTAATCGTGCGGTTGCGGGTTCGAGCCCCGCCGGAGGCTTCTTTTTGACTTTTTGTTGCTTCTTCCTGCTGCGACACTAGACTGCTTGCCTCTTCTTCATTGTGCGATATCGAGACTTTGAGAGAGTAAGAAAAATGTGCAATCTTTGATCTGCATGAGGGCCTCTTGGGCGAGAAACTCACACAGTCATGCATAGGGCTAAAATACATTACTCGTCTAGACATACGGGCATCCCCTCATGTTCTATATATTATAACCAAAAGAGAACCTGTACTCTACATGCCTCTCCCGGGAGCATTGGGAATCCTTCCCGCTGCAAAGGTGGCTGGGCACCTTTCCAACTCGAAACATCTTTCTCTTGGTCCCTTCATCCACGCCAGTACCTTTCCCCGGTTTACCTTCACCTTATTTCTCATCATCCCTTCCAGGTCTCTTTCCATGTACTCTTTCAGCTTCTTGCCAACATACTCCGCTCGCATATCCTCCGGAACGTACCGATCGATAAACCCAACAACAAAAGCCCAAGAAGACATGCCAATCTCCCGTCTAGGCGGCCTATACGGCGCGGATCTACTCTTATGTACAAGCACGTAAATGTGTACGTACTACCCGGCATCCATCATCCGTATCAGTGCAGCCTCGGCACTGCCATAGCATTGCAGCTTGACGGCGATACTGTAGAGTATTAAAGAGGTGACAGCCACTCGAGTTAGTATTTCAAGAGAATGCATGTGGTCGTGATCATGTGCCGCTCTGTGACAAGTGTTTATAATTGACAGCGAAAGTCCGAAAGATGTTCTACTATACTACGTACGGCGACCACCATCCACTCTTACTCCCATCCTCCTCATGCCCCCTCCGCCAGTGTTCTGTTGAATGCCTCAAACGCCGACTCTCGCAACAGATGTAGCCTATCTTCGTCTACAAGATTCGCCGAGACCGGTTGCTTCGCGATCTAAATTGCCTGTCAGTGCTGTACAGCTCAAGACCGGGACGATACTCACGTATCCGGCTCCGCTCAACGCAGACGCTAGATCAGCCAGGGGGCTCAATACCTCACTCAAGCCGGCCACCTGCTGTACATCGTTTCTATCCGAAAACAGAGATGGTAGCAGTTGCAATAGTCGAGGAAGTGCCTGTGCGCGTTCATTCAATTCCACGACTTGTCGAGGGTCGGGTTGAGAGCCTGATCGCAAGACAGACACAAGAAGGGGAGCAGTGTCTTCGGAGATCTCGTTCCATTCCAAGAACAGCTGAGTCAAGTCAGCGGTCAGTCATCCAGAGAGAAGAAGCAACCCACCTTTCCTCCAAACTCCCATCCAGCCACGCCCTTGCCTTCCAATTTCAGACACAACTTCTTTAAGAGGGCTCTATCATCTCTGATGATTGCTTCAGGTGCAAGCCGTTCAAGCAGCACTCGATGTGCCCGATCGAACAGCTTCGCTTCGAGAAGAGCGTGATACTCTTTCCAAGCGTCGCCAGACGATGTGAAAGCAGCAGCACGGGCCGCGTGTATCCACTCGGCTGGGATACGAAGTGTCTCAACAAGGAACGACGTGTCGTCTGCGGTGACATCTGGGTGTCGGTTGAGAAGAGCGCGGAGCGACTTTTCGCGACCTTCTACGGTCTCGAGGTGAAGCAAGACGAATGCAGCAAGTTTCCATTCTCCGCTTTCTTCCAGCTGCGCAGCGTATCCCTCAGTTAATCGGTCTGCACTCGCACTATATCCTTCTTCCCGATCTTCAAAGTCTCTTCTGCTGAAGACCCGGGTAAGGAGGATATAGAGGTGCCAAGCCAGCCGAACGTCGAATGGGCTAGAAGAAGTATCTCTTGACCGCAAGGTCTGATCGAGAGAGACTGCGTCATCGGAGTACAGCTGAAGCAAGTTGTAGATGACATCCGTCGGCTCCGTAGGGAGCGTCCATGATCTGACACCTTCGGAAGGCTTCTCGAGGTAAGGAGGGAGAGGCTTTGCTGGAGGGTTCGCAGCAGAGAGGGAGTTGGCGAACGAGCTCACAACGTCGCTGACGGTGTTTTCAAAGGGCATGCCGTACCAGAGGTGAAGACCAAAGGCCCTTTTCCAATCGAGACCCTCTGCGATCAAAACTTGCGGCCATTTCTCTGAAGCTCGTCCGGGCGGTGAACCCTTCAAGACATCTGTGATACCAGCAAGAAGAGCATATATTCTGCGGTAACCAGCGGCGATGAATGGGTTGACTTTGTGATTTTCCCAATCTTCGAGTTGAAGCAAGAGCTCGTCTTTGAACGTCTGTTGCCCGCCTGATTGAGAGATCAACGTTGCCAGCCTCATATCTCCACCTTCCAGAGCAATTTCGACAGCTCGCTCAACCTGGTGGCCACTCAAAAGAGTGAATAGTTTGTTGGGTCGACTGTCGCTGTTGGTTATCAAATCAGAGTCGACCGAAGAGGCCACCGCGTCTTCAAGCCATTTGGAAAGAGCGAGTTTTCGTCGAAGGGAAGTAATCCGATGCACAAGTTCCTCGGACGAGTCCTCTGGAAGCCGGAGGTCGATCTCGTCGAAAAGAGCAACTCCAAGACGGAAGACGTTGGCTTCGTGTGACCTATCGCCAGCGTCGAATCGAGAAGCAAAGTCGCCGAAGCGGATGTCAGGGTTGACTGTAGCAACGGGGACACCTTCAATCTGTTCGACAAGACTTGTCTCGAGATGCAGTGCTAGCAACCGCTCGGCTTTTGATTTTTCGACATTGACGGATTCCGCCAGAATTTCAACCTTTTCGATGTTTACGACGGCATCAGGGTTGCAAAATCTGAGAGAACGCATCAGTATGAGGCGGTGACCACGTCGATGTAAGGGCTCACGTCTTTGCCCTGGGTCCACATATCTTTCCAAGGTGCACCAACTCTCCATTCGGCCCCCACGAGCACCTCCATGATCGTCCCAGTGCTAGCCCCGCATCCACATTGATTCCTTCTTTCCCCTTCTCGATACTTTCATCCACGGCAACTCGCGCGTACTTCCTCTTTTGTCGGATTATAGGCAGGCTTACTGGGAGTTCGCCGAAAGAGGTCCGCTGCGATCATCGTTAGAAGCTTGCACATCACTTTAATGGGATATTTACCTTGACAGCCCGCTGGTCAAGCATCATATTTTCCTCTTCGGCTTCACGAAAAAACGAACCCTGCTCTGCTCCCCGCTTTCTCGACCCCACCAGCTCTCTCGCTGGTCTCTTTGTTGGGGCGGACGAGCCAAAGAAAGAGCTTTGCATTTCCTTGAGATTGCGCATGCCCTCGGGACCGAGATGCGACTTGAGTGGGATTTCGATAGAGGGGTGAGAGGGCAAGTCAAACTCGCCACTTGTGTCCATATCGGTAAAACCCCCATCAAAGTCATCTGCGATGGATTCGCCGGTGAATTCGTCCTCTGAAAGACCAGAGTCATGCTGCCCCTCCAGATCTCGGATAGACTTGACTGGGGGCATCATATCCTCATCGTCTTCGCTTCCAGAAGGCGACAGGCTAGAGTCACGAGCACCATTGCTTCCGCTGGCGACACTCTCGTCCTCATCGCTGTCACCGATACCATAAGTGGTAAAGTGTTCGACTCGGAATGTCCAAGTACCGTCATCGGTGTAGCTGACGAATTCAGTATCGGGGATCGCCTTGACTCGCCTGACGAACTTCTGGAATCGAGCGTCCTGAGGATCCCTGACCCATTCCTTGGTGGCCTTGTCGGTGGTAAAGACATTTTCGAGCATGATTCTGGCAGGAACGTTCAAGCCATCACCCATCTCGGGCTTGTCAGGATACTCATCAGGATAGACAGAGAGTTCTGACTGGTCCACGACGATGATGGCGCCAAGAATGTCGTCGAGGGGAGCGCGGGTGAGGTCGACAGGCTCCAAGAATGTGACTTCACCGAAGCCTCGTCGCCCAGCAGTGAAGCCGCTGAGAGCGGAAAGCTCGTCCGTGGACATTTGTTTGAGCTTTTCAAGCTTGGGTCGACACCAGTAGTCACCCTTCTTGGGAGGCCGCTCGGATCCTGCTAGACGCGGAGAGTCAACGCCATTGGCACGAGGAGAAGCGACAGACTCGGGTCGAGGTGTTGCGTTCGCGGTGGGGTGGAACACGAGCGGCACCTGCCGAGGGGCGGGTGACCCAGGGATAGAGTTGGTTGAGCTCCTCAAAGCAGACTTGCCCAGCACACTCTCAAGTTGATCACCGCCACCAAGAGAGCCACCGAGTTTGGGCGTAACAGATAGCTTCTTGATGTTGGGTCGAGGCACAAAGGCGTTCGGGGTCAGAGCAGTGTCGCTCAAACCTTTGTACCTATCGGGTGCAACAGGCGAGTTGAACAAGCTTGTCTTTCCAGGAGAGCTGACTGATAGAGGGCTTCCCGCTCGAGCAGGAGTGCTCTGTGAAGCAGTGAGAGGAGAAGCAAAGCCTCGCAGTTTGTTGAGCTTGGACTTGCTCGTGGAAGGAGTGAGGCGGTAAGACGAAGCAGTAAGAGGAGGAAGAGCAGGCTTCTTGGATTGCGAGCCCACCTCGAGCTTTTGGCCATTGTAGGCAAAAAGAGGGTTGTTGCCATAGGGGTTCTGGTCGATGGAGGTGGTCAAAGACGGTTGCTGCTGCTGCTGAGGCTGGGCAGTAGATTGACCCATGCCGCCAAACAAGCTACCGCCTCCGAAAGTGCTCTGCTGCTGGGGTTGAGCGGCAGTACTACCAAACAAGCCCGAAGACGCTGGCTGAGACTGCCCGAGGTTACCGAACAGGCCACCGGTGGAACCAGCCTGAGGCTGCTGCTGTTGTTGGGGTTGTTGACCAAAGAGTCCACCCGTGCTAGCCGCGCCAGTGTTTCCAAAGAGACCACTGCCAGCAGGCTTTGCGCCAAACAGACCGCCGGATTGTTGTTGCTGTCCAGGTTGCCCGGCAGCATTATTATTGGTACTGCCAAACAAGCCACCTCCACCGCCAGTAGAAGCACCAGCGTTACCAAACAGCCCACCGCCGCTAGGGGCAGGCTGAGCAGGCTGAGAACCAAACAAACCGGTAGAAGGAGTAGTTGTCGCAGGTTTGGCACCAAATAATCCTCCTCCAGCAGCGGGAGTGCTTGCGCTGCCAAAGAGACCTCCGCCAGCGGCGGGTTGCTGGGCATTCTGTTGAGGTTGGCTTTGGCCGAAGAGCCCGCCGCCAGTGCTAGGTTGGGCAGCGCCTGTATTGCCAAACAATCCCCCACCTGCAGCAGGCTGAGCAGCAGGTGTTTGACCGAATCCGCCAAAGCCGGTAGAAGCAGGGGCTGGGGTAGAGTTGCCAAAGAGACCTCCAGGCTTGGGAGCAGCACCAAAGCCGGTGGCTGCGGGCTGTTGTTGCTGACTATTTTGGCTTCCAAAGAGACCACCACCCGTGCTCGGCTGTTGGGCATTGGCGCCTACAAAAGTCAGCGCAATTTCCACAGTCATGAACGAGCAACTTACCAAAACCGCCACCTCCAAACAAACCGCCACCAGCAGCTGGCTGTTGCTGCTGTTGCTGTGGTTGTGTCTGTCCAAATCCTCCGAACCCGGTGGTACCGGTGTTTGCCGCCGGCTGCTGTCCAAACGTGCTCCCCGTGCTTCCAGATCCAAATCCGCCAGTGCCCGTACTACCAAACGCAGCAGGCTTGGCCGCTTGTCCAAACCCTCCGAAGGTGCTCCCGCCTTGCTGTTGCTGGTTTTGTTGCCCTCCGAAAGGGCTAGAGTTGTTTGTAGAGCTTCCAAAGAGACCTCCTGCTGTATTTTGTTGTTGGGGTTGAGACTGACCGAAAAGACCACCGCCCGTGTTGGTGTTGCTCTGCCCGCCGAAAAGGGACGAGCCTTGGGGTTGTTGTTGGGGCTGAGATTGGCCGAAAAGCCCGCCTCCGGCTGCAGGGGTAGACCCAAAGCCAGTGGACGGCGCGGAAGAGCCAAACAGGCCAGTCCCCGCGGGCTTGGCGCCAAACCCAGTTGCAGCAGGTTGAGCGCCGAACCCTGTGGCGGCAGGCTGAGCACCAAAGCCAGTAGCAGCAGGCTGTTGCCCAAAGCCTCCTGAGGAGGCCCCGAAAGCATTCTGCTGCTGTTGTTGCTGAGGTGTAGCTTCCTTCCTTCCTTGCTGGTAATCCATCGCCCTCAATTCTTCCCAACTTGCACCTCGGTAAGGGAACATGGCAGAGACGGAGTGGAAAAGATGGGGAGGTCCCTCTTTGCCGAGAGAAGTGTTGGTGGAAGGATCGGCTTGCCAAGTGGGGTAGTAGGCAGGATTGGCTGTGCCGGTAGAGGGAGGAGGAGGAGGGGGGGCATCGGTGCGGTATTGCTGAAGCTCGTTAGGGCCCTTCAAGCCATCTTGCCCAGCTGGGGCAGCACCAAACCCGGTAGCGGGCTTGGCCCCGAAGAGATTGGATGTCGCGCCAGAGCCAAAGGTAGAAGTGGCAGGTTTGGCGCCAAAGAGACCACCTCCAGTGTTGTTGGCGGGAGCTCCGAATCCAGTGTTGGCGGTGTTGTTGCTACCAAACAGACCTCCGCCGCCAGCTGCTCGTCCTCGTCAGAATGCCACCCATCTCCACATGCGTCCACTCACTATTCGCAGCAGGCTGGCCAAAAGTAGATCCTGTTGCTCCAAACGCTGGCCTCGCTCCAAAAGTGTTGGCTGGCTGTGTAGCATTCGCACCTCCAAATCCGCCTGCTATCACCGTCAGTCTCTGGTCTCTACCGCTCAAGCAGACACTTGCCAAATCCACCAGTGTTGGTGTTTGCGGCACCTCCGCCAAAGACACTCCCTGTATTCTGAGCAGGCTGTCCAAAGCCACCGCCGGTATTGGTTTGCTGGCCGAATCCTGGCATCAAAGTCAGCTGCACGCTCTCTTCATTGCGACCCTCCCACCATCCTCCTATGCATCCCCAGCACCTTCCCAAGGGTTCCAAGACTCACCTCCAGTGTTGTTCTGCTGTCCGAATCCACCTCCTGTGCCGCCTCCGCCGAAAAGGCCGCCTCCCTGCTGCTGTTGATTTTGTTGATTATTTTGACCCCATGAAGAAGTTCCGCCGAACATGGTGCCGGATGGCTTTCAAGATTGTCCCGTGGCGTGTCCGAGGTGCTGCAGGAGAGCGGGGTATCGCTTGAGGGGGTGCGAGGGGGATGGGTATGGGGGCAGGGAGGATCTATTGACTTACCGTTGCTGCAACTGAAAGACGCGCTCACCAGCAAGGGCGGAGTTTGCGGCAATAGAACCCAGTGGCGGTAGCTGTCCATTCTCCATCTCTTTTCACCTTTCCATTTGTATCAAGGTATGCATCGCAATGCTTCTTGGCACGGCATCCTTGACGGGGAAGCGCAGTATCAAGATGCATGGATAGGTCCCAGCATTCGACAGACGGCGACAGATATGCGACGCGCGCTTCTTCGTTGTCATTCGAACTTTCTGCTGCATTTCTGCGTCATTTCAAGGTCGTTTTTTGACTTATACGTGCATCTATAATGTATTGCATGTTCCGAAATGACATTTTGTGAGATTGCTCATTCGTTCTCTATACGTCCAATCATCGCTTCAAACCAGCGACAACTCCCTGAGGCGCCTGCCCCTGTCCATACCCATGCCCTTGCCCATATCCGCCTCCATAATCGCCTCCCCCATAATCTCCAGCACCTCCTCCGTACCCATACCCATGGGGCTGATGCTGCTGAGGAGGAGGGCGGTGTACGGCGGGTGTTTGTGGATGGGCAGCGCGGGACTTCCACGCTGATTTGATAGCATCCGATCTGGCGTACAACTTGACCTCGGTCAGTATGCCAAGCCCAACATGCCGGAGAGATGCTCACTTCTTCAATTTCCACACCATCATTGATGCTGATCAGGATCTTCTCCACGATACTCTTGTGGTTCCCATGCAGCTTGTCGTCTCTAATTCGCATCATCCGCCAGGCTTGCATGGCCCCGTCCCAGTTCACTTCTACTATCCGATCATCCAGTGGCTTTCCAGTTTCCTTCCAGCTGATATCGAGTCAGCACAACAGCCTTTGACGAACAAGAAGACACGCACCTTTCCCACTCTTCATCCGTCATTTCCATGAAATCGAAAAACTCATATCTCTCGCTTCCAAGCCACGTATGCAGGCAGAATTCTGGTTTGGCATGGTAGTCTGGCTCATCCGAGTCATGTATAGGTGGGAAGCGGAGCTCAATCCTAAAGTCGATCGAGTTTTCGGAGGGCGGTTTCCATTTCAAGCTCCGTCAAAGTCAGTCATCTTCTTGGGGATAAAAGAGAGCCACCCACATGTTCTCGTCGGTCCCCATGATATAAGGCGTCTGGACGCAAGTGAATATTAGACCGTCATGTCCGTGTTGGAGCTTTGGGATGTGCTCTTTCATGACATATTTGAGATGATAGGATAGATCTTCGCGCTTCGCCAGAACCCTTCATGATTCCGTCAGCATATGAAAAAGGCGAACGACAAATAGACTCACTCGAAAGGCAGGTACTGCTTGGCCTCGGGATTATCACGGATATGCTTTTCGAGGGGCACGACCACCCAGTCACGGAGACGCTTAATTGCTGTCAGCAAGGACGCATCGTTAGACTACGAGACGTACCGCATAACGCTTTTCTAGATTTTTGCTCATGATATTCTCGCCATTTAATACCAGGCAGTCAAATCCGTAGAATCTCAGTCTTTGCTACACGAAAGTCAGAAAGACACGTTTGTCGCCAAGATGAAGACTTGCCTTGTTGGTCACTGGATCGACGTCTATCACCAGCTCTCCATCAAGGATGGACTCTCCAAGTGGCTGTCTGCGATCGTCCCATTTGGGAAACATCAATCCTTTGACATTGTAGAACTCTTGCTTTCGGTCGATCTGCCTCATCATGAGTACCTCCTCGATGAAAACAAAGCTACACTCACCAACCACGTCTCCTGCTCTCCCGAGAACCCATTGATGACAATAAACACCAACACCCTCACTCCATCACTCTTCTCACACACCCAAAAGTCCTTCTTCTCCAGCAAGTCCAAGGAAGCAGTGGAAAAGCTGACGGGCTGCGACCCCGGGAATTTGTCGGGGGAATTGAGGCCGCACAGCTGGGACACGCGGGAGGCGAGGTGGTATTTGGTTTCGGGGTTCTGGAGGCGCTCGCCTGGGATGTCTGGGATGGGGGTGTGGGCGGGCATGGTGGAATGCGAGATGAAGAGGAGAAAGGCAACATGAGAATGAATCGCTGTTGGCGCACAAAGGTGGAGGCGGAAACGGAGCACGCCGGGCGTCGGGCGCCGAAAGCTTGTGGCGCTGCTTTATGTGGCTGTTGAGCGAGAAGCTGTAAGGCAGCGACGAACAGGGGCAGGGTTTGTGGAATGTCTGATGAAACCAATCACTGGCTATGCATTACCCACAATGGAGACACATCACCCATGGCATGCTCATATGACGAAACCAGCTTAGCAGACCTCCTCATTTGACCCGTGTTGTATGAACAGCACCACGTCTTCCTGCATATGATGACCTACTAGTGGATGCCGTCGTACCTCTCTCGGTAGCTATTCATTACTTGCGCCTTCACATCCCAAGACCCCAATCCAGGACAACCATTGCACCGCAACCAAGATGCCTGTTCCCTACACCGCGTCATCTCCCGACCTCCCAGCAGCCCTTCTACCACTTTGACCGGCCTTTTGTCCGACTCTTTCCCTCCCTTCCATGTTGACCCTCTGCCCCCCTTGCCCGAGATTCTCACCCGCGACAGCTTGGCCACTTACCTGGAAGCTACGGACCGCGCACAGCAAACTGTACAACGTCAACTGTCTGCGCTCAACAAGCATTGGCAGGAAATCAGAAGCTTTGTTTGAAAAAGACTTCCAAGACCCTGGCCCAAGCACCAGTGGTGGTGGTCAAGGAGGGCAAGGAGAAGTTGTCACCCCGCCGAAGGTCGAGAAAGAGTCTGAAGTACACGCGCCTAGGAAGGAATCAGAGGCCGAGGAAGGAGACGCCAAACACATCAAGCCAGTGCTCATATATAGCATACCTCACGCTTCCAGCTGGCAGGTCTTACGGCCCGCAGTGAGCCATCCATGCTATAGACCAGCTATAGACAGCACTTGGACAGCACTTGGACAGCACTTGGACAGCACAGAGACAGCGTCGCGTCGCGTCCACTGCCCGGCGGCCGCCGCTACCGATTGAACGACGTCACCAAATTCCATGTATCTCTTTCATCACCATCTTTCTAGATCACCCTATACTTTCCCCGCAATGGTCCTCCCCGAAGCCGACATCTCCGCCACCCCCATTGACGATGGCTCTTTCGTCCCTTCCCAGCCCCAAAAGAAAGACCCAAATGACCGCTCATTCCAGCCCAACTCGCCCAAACTTGTCATCTTCGACCAGCGCTCTGGCGAGAAGGAGACTATCGACTTGGGCAAGGCGTCGAGCATCATGACTATGGAAGATTACCGCACTCTCACGAGAAAGTGTACTGAGAGGGGTATGTTTGGGGGATTGGTCGGGGGTGGAATCTTGAGTACGTCCGTCTAGAGGTGGCCAGCGATCGACAGCTAACGAGCGACTGCAGCGTATCTGGTGAAGCGATTTAAACCAACACCTCCTTCTCGAAACGCCCTTGCACTTACCTTCTTTCGTGGGTATCAACCTTTGCCACCCGGCTTCTTACTGACCCCAGAAACCCGCAGTGTCCGCCTCCTTCTTTTCCTTCTCATCTTCTCGAGCTCTGCTCGTCTCTGAGATCCTCAAGATCCGCGAGAAAGCTCGCGCAATGGCCATACAAAACGGCGATATCCCAGACCCTGCCGAGAACTTGTGGGGGAGTGACGATCCCAATGTGGCAGGGGCACGAGGTATGGGCGATTCACCGAGGAACCTACCGCCGATCCCCCAAGCAACTGCCCCTGATCCAAGTCTTGTCGGCAGTCCAGGACCGAGGGGGTACGCCACAGGACAATCTGGGAGACCGTCTGGCGCAGTACGCGAGGAGCTTGCCCGGGCTAGATTGGGCGCCTCGCCAGATCGAGCCAAGTGGGCTCAAGAGAGGAATCAGCCAAGGGAACAGTTTGAAGGGGATGTGCCGGGACCGGGGGAGGGTGAGATGGTCGACCCTTATGCTTCGTTAGGCGCAACGAGATAGTAGAAGTGCTAGGTGAAATGCAAACATCATTCATCATCAGACAAGTGACGAACCGAGTCCGGTCATCTTTCATATTCAAGTTGCAACTCCCCGGACATGCCTCTCCAACCCGTCCCCCACCATCTTCTCCTCCTCCTCGTCCCCACTCCCTTCTTCCTCCCCCTCACCCCTCGCCCTTCCCAGAGCCACCTCACTCGTAGCTTTCCCCAACATCGACCTTCTCCCCTTCAGACCCGTTTTTGCCAGCGGGCTTCCAGCATGCCCACCCATGGAAGCCGAATGGGCTTTCGCAGTAAACGACAGCGGACTCTCTCTGCCTCCTCCGACGCCTGTAGAGCTCGCAGGGGATATACCCCAGCTACCTGGTCCGCCTGGGAATGTGTTGTCGGTAGCCCAATTGCCTGAGGTTTCTCGCGAAGCACCGCCGAATATGGATGTGCTGGACCTTGAACGGCCTCCTGATCCGTTCCCGAGCGTAGACGGCAGCCGGTGTGGTGCTGGGATGTATGACGGGGATGACAGTGTGAGTAGCAAAGTCTTGAGATTAGGTAAAGTTTGGCGGAGGTCCAACAGCCGGATATTCGCTTCTTGCATCAACTATGACCTTCCATCAGCATGCCCCCACGAAGAAGAGAGCGGTGACATACCATCTCAATATCCTTATTCAACAAAAACACCCCATACTCATACCTATACCTCTCCACTCCCCTCGCAAACAACGGAAAGTTCCTCGCCCCCTGCATCACACTAACCACATCTCTCACCGCACTCTTGCTCCCCGCACAAGTAATGGGATAGGGCAGCCCCCCACCAGGGATACCAGAGAGGTTTGCCAAAAGCTGCACGAGGTGAGCAGAGAGGGCGAGGGCGGAGGATGTTGTGCGTTCGTCGATTTTGTGGTTTGGGAGTGTGAGGGGCGGGGCGGGGTCTTTGGGGTTTGCGGGTATGGGCAGTGGTACGCCGACTATTGTGTATAGCAGGATTGAGGGGTCGAGGATTTGGATTGGGAAGAGACTGTCCAGCATCTGGATATGGAAGGCGCGCAGCTTGTGGATCTTTGGCTGTAGCCCAAGCCTCTCAGAGTCGAGCGAGGTTATCTCGTTGGAGAGGGCTGATACCTGCAGATAAGAGGCGGTGGAGTATTCGTCGGCGTCAGAGAGGTTGGAGCGGCGGGTCTGGTGCGAGGTTGTCAGGGTGGATGTACGAGTGCGGACTGAAGACTGTTAGAGTGTATTCCTCTGGATATACCAGGTCTTACCCTTTTCGGTGCGCTGCTCGACATCTTCAATCATCTTCTTGATCACTGTCACTCTGTTTTCCCTCTCTGACACCTCCCTCTTCTACCCATGCCCATCAGCATCCATCCAGCCCCATCTGAAACAAATCACTCACCAAAGCTCGATGATCCACATCCTCCTTCAACAATCTATCCACATTTCCTTGTACTTGCTTGATACTCTTTTGCGTATCCACAATGACAGCATGCAGATTCACAAGCCTTGTCCTTGGTCAGTACGTAGCGCGCAAGGTCGTGAGCTGGACTCACTGATGCAGACCACCTGCTCCGGTACCTTGCTTCAACCTAGTCTCCCTCTTCTTGTGCGCTGGATTTTCTTCATCACCATCGTTGGGCAAAGACTCGGAAAGGGGCACGTAGTAGATTCCCATGGGATCAAAGCTCAGCGTAAACTCGATCCCATTCGGCGGTTCCACAGCCCCATCCTTCTTCTTCCTCAACCTTCCCAGATCCACCAGTCCTCCAACTTCTTTCAGCTTTTTCCACCCCTCCCCCGCTTCTTGACCCTTCTCAGGACCTTTCCTCGCTCTTTGGAAATCCAAACCATCCTGCACCCAAACCTCCACTTCCACCACCCCACTCGCCAACTCTCCATACCCCAGCCAAGGGGCAAAATCCGACTCTGGGTCCAAGCTCGTAAACCGAGGGAAAACGGAAGGAGGGTGGATGGAGGAGATGTAGAATGGGATTTGTGGCCGTTCTTGCATGGAAGCGGATAGAGGGGGGTAGGATGAGGAGGAGGAAGAGCCGCGAGGGAAAGGAAGACGTGTTTCGGGCGCAGTTCGTAAGGAGCCTTTTTGGTTAAGATTCAGACCAGATCGTCGAGGAGAGCCAAAGGGTGATGAAGGGCTTTTGAGAGAAGCATGGGATGTGAGGGAAGAAGTGCGGACTCGCATGGGCCCGCCAGAGCCCGGTAAGGAGACGGTTCGCGTGATAGAATTCGGCGACGAGGGCATCTTTGGCGTCGGGGATCGTGATGTGGGAGAGGCAGGTTTGGATGCAGATCTTGGTTGAGTGTTGGACCTAGTCCGGTAGAGCATTTCTTCGTTCGCTCGTTTGGAAGCAGAGCAATTCAACTTCTGGTCTCTCGCCTCCGGGTGGGGTGGAAGCTTCAACACCACAAAGCACCTTGCGAGCCTTCTCTTGTCCACTTGTATCATCTCCTGCTCTTCACTCAAAGACCCGTGTAGTCTGTCGGGTGCAGAGCTGCCTTTGGCAGCACTGGTATGACCAAGCTCGAGGGCCTCGCCAGCAAGGGTAGGTGCACGGTGTCGGGCTATTCGTGGCGTTCGCATGGAGCCCACTACAGGTGACGATGACTCCAGAGTCACAGTTGAGGACGAGCTTGACCTCGGTCGAAAAAGACTGTCCCCAGATGTCTTGCGGTCCCTGCGTAGCGCCGTAGACCCGGAGGAACTTGTCCTCGGGCGTGGTCCATGACTGCTGGACTGAGCTGGCTCGGGTGAAGCTGTGAAGCGACTCGATTCACCCAGTGTGTAGTCCTCTGGAATGGTCTGTTGTGTTTCTGGGACGAGTTTGGAGGCGTAGGAGAGTGATTCGGGGAGGGTGAGTTGGTGGATGCGGATGCTAGATGGAGGTGAGCTCGAAGTCATTAGATCACAGATTGGCCTCACCCAGTTATATGCCGTACGCGGGGCTGCAGTATTGTTAGCAAATACTCGGAATGACAGTCAAGGTCGCTCACAGTATCAAGTTGGCCCCATCTTCGCCGTGCACCATCGTGGTCACCACTGACGCTCCCGTCATCGGCCGTTGTGTCCATTCTGGGCCAAGCTTGACGATCTTTCGAGCGATACGGTCCTGGAGATCTCTTGGTGCTGCCTGATGGACGATACTCTGCGTTGACCCCTGCCTGGACGTTGAAATGGACGTATACGGCGCGTTTGTGACGACCGACGACGATGGGCGCGACGGGATCAAATCCGCGCGGTGAAGGCCGGTGTTCCGACCATCTCCTCTTTCAATTATCCTCGGTGCAGTAGTTCATAGGTAGCTGGAATACCTCACTCAGGCTTCTCTCGCGCCACTACTCTCTGTCTACAGTGTTAATAAGCACCACACACAACGTCCTTGACCACAGCCACCCATCACCCGTGCTTATCAAGCCACGTCATCGCCGATGGCATCCTCAAGTCAGAATCGGCCACCTCCAGGTCTTCCCATATGTAAGATATCTCGGCACCATGTACGTATAGAGCTCATAAGGATGCAGTATCAGGAATCCCCGTCGTCGTAGAGGCCTCGCGTGCGTATCCTTCCTGAACCTTCCATTCGATGATTACCGAGCTTATGACAAACCAGACTGTCGAAAATGCGACAAAGAATTCAACCCCCTCTGGCGGCGTAAGAAGACGTGCGGTCATTGTGGATATCAATACTGCTCCAACTGCATCTCTGATGGCCAAGCGCTCATGCCCCGGCGTCCAGGGCAACAACCGCTGAATCAGACGCCTCTGGGAGAGATCAAGATGGGGCTGGGGATCGATGATGATATGGAGGGAAGCCCGGGGTACTACAAGGAGAGCGTATGTACGTTCTGTTTGGGAATGCTTCAAGGTGAGTCTGCTCGATCCGGGCTAGAGGTTCGTTCTGATGACAAAGCAGTGACCACCGCCCCCCTCCAACTTCTCCGGTCTTTCCCCATCAAGCGCCTCAAAAACTACCTCGCAGCGTACAATATCCCCTCCATAGGACTGAGCGAGAAGGAAGAATTGGTGCAGACGGTCTTTAGGGCTCGAGATCCGACGACGGGGTGTTTATCGGCCATCTGCGAAAATCATTTTCGTCGTCATTCAGTCCCTGGCAAGGTCACCGCTCGACCAAACCCCACCTCATCCCAACCTCGACCTCCTCCTCCCCCTAACGGTGGAGGTACATATGCTTCCTCCTACCAACGCCCCCAACCCCAACAAGCGAGACCGCCCCCTCCCAACTATGCAAACGCCAGACCTCAGGCCCAGGCTCAAGGTTCGGCAAGAGCGCATTATCAGACCCGGCCTCAGCCTTCGTCGCACACTCAAGCGAGACCACCTCCTCCCCAACAAGCTCGACCTGCCCCTGCTCCCACCCCTTCTCGACCTACTCCGGCCGCGCCGAGGTCGCCAGCAGCTTCCACCCCGCCCCCGCCCGTACCTTCTATCCTCTCTCTCGTCGCACTGCCCGACTCGTATCTCGCTTCCCTCGGTATCGGGACACTCAAAGCTATCCTCTACGAAAATCATGTCCGTGTAGACTTTAAACAGGTTTTGGAAAAGTGAGCTTATTGGATAGGTGCAAGGGGTGGTGCTGACAGGGGTGATTTTAGGGGAGAACTTATAGCTCGCGTTAAAGAATTGATAGATGATGAACGTAAACGACTCGAACGCCAACGTATCGCCGAACAACAAGAAGCCGCCCTCCTCGCCCAATCATCCCTTCCTACACAATCCGCATCCACGACCGTTCCAAACGGCACCACCGATCACCCCGAAGTGCCTACAGGAGAAGCCCTCGAAAAGGAAAAAGTTGAAGCGGGCGAAGCCAAAGTTGTCCCTACCGGGCCTATGCCAGAGATTGAGAGGGGCCTGTGTGTGGTCTGTCAGGATGAAGAAGCTACTCTGGCTGTTGTCGATTGCGGGTACGTCAAAGTCTCGTGGATTTGAGTGAAGAGAGGGTGCTGATCATTGTATTAGACATCTTTGTATGTGCCAACATTGCTCCGACCTTATTTGGGCTACGACGCAAGAGTGTCCCCTTTGTCGGACCAGGATTGTCACAAAGTACGTGCTACTTTGATCTCTATTGAAAAGTATGCTGACCAGCTCGGTAGACATCGTCTCATCAGGATCTACAAGGTCTAAAAATATTGATTTGACTGGCAGCCACAATACAAGGACAATGGAGGGGGGAAGTCTGCATGGAGACGTTGGTTTTACGACATATCCCCTATTACGCGTCATGCAGCATGTCATAACACATCAAGGGTAAACGGCCTCATCGTTCAATAGATCATAGTCTACAGTTGAGAAGAACGTCTCGCGCTCAGTTGCAGCGGAGCAACCTTGATCAATCAATCCTTGCAAAACTGTCGAACGGTCTATACAGTTGCAGGATTTAGCCATACTCTGGTGACGGAATGAGTTTCAACTTACCGTCAACATACTGCTTCTCTCTTTCTCTCATGGCGGCCATCAAGTCTTCCATCCTGTCACGCCCAAGTGTCTGCTCCATCACCAACACTCCCCACCATCCCATGTGCTCCTGGATCCAGAGCAGACTGTTCCACTCCATACTCTCCTGAACCATCGAGCTTTGATTCGGACCGCCAGTGATACGGTCGTACTCGTATTCCACAACGAAAGTAAAGAGCACAAACATGTTTCCCAGCATAAGAGTCAATATGACTTCCAGCCCTATCCTGACCGGAAGGGCGTACACTTTTGTGTCGTCAATACCGCACGCCGTGACCAACATGTCTCCCCACAACGGCGTAAATACGCAGACTGCGACGATTCGGGCTTTTTCTGGAAAGGAGGCAAACTTGCGCATGAGAGGGTAGCTGGTAAGCGAGATGGGGCTCTGGTGATGGTCCTCTGATGAGGGGGGAAAGGGGTGAAAGATGGTGCCGGTTTGACAATCCGCTATAGATATGATCAGTACCTGGAGAGACTACCGAGAAAAGCAAGACCTTACTGAGACCAGGCGTGGCACGCCTATACCATTTCAAGTCGATTGCTCCTACTTCTTTACCGTCCAATGCTACCTTCAGACTCTTCGCTACCTCCTTGATCTCTCGATCTAGCCTCCTGTGGACCTGCACGCGCATCCCCAACAGAAAGAGGCCAGAACCCACGAGCAAGAGTTCGATAAATGGACGTCTCCCCCCAAGGGAAGCCAATGCGCCGTAGGTGATAGCAAAGAGGGTGTACAGGAACATGGGAAAGATGGGGGGTGCGTAGATTGCGTGGTACCGGAGCTGTTCGGAGAGCCAATCGTTGATCATATGGTGCTCTGCCTCCATAGGCGGGATGGATTCGGGGCTGGAGTTGTCGGGTGTCTCTGTCGTTTTGTCGCTTTCTTGGCCGAGCTCATCCTTGAGGGGAGATGCCGCTTGTTCGTGAACGTCAAGAGTGGTAAGGGGAAGCATTGTGGTGGTGCTTGCTGGGCAGAAGTGTACTGGCTGGATGCAAAGAGAATAAAGAAAGCGGAAGGTGAGCGTGCGGAAGTCGTCGTAATGCTACCCTGATGAGATCACTCAACATACCGCAACCCGACTTGGCTTGGGGCATCAATCCCAAATTGCGCGCGCAATCCCCCAGGCACGCGGCAAGTCACATCGCGCTTTCGTCGTGTCAAAGTCGCGTTATCCTTCTCAAACTACACGCCATGTCCTATCCCCCCGTCCCCCCGCCCCGCCAGTCCCACGACGCAGGGCCCTCCTCAGCCCCCGCCCGCCCGACAACCCGCCCCCGCAGCTCCACCACCCACTCTCTCACCAAACCCCGCACCCTCACCCTCCATCCGAACAGCTCCTCGGCCAACTTGCTGTTCAACGCTCCCTCGGCTTCCCTACCCTCGGCCAGAAACAGAGCGCATGCGAGACACCATTCCAACTCTGACGTGGACGAACAAGCCACACCGAAGAGGCACCACCGCGCGACCTTTCTCCACGAGGAGACGTATGAGGACACCGAGCAGGTGGACTTGCCAAACTTTGGTCATATGCTGGGATTTGACGAAGGAGAAGACCATTTTGCAGTAGCGGCTGGGATGCGGACGAGATGGAAAAGAAAGCTGTATCTTTTGATGGAAGAGCCGAGCAGCGGGCGGGAAGCGTTCTTCTTGCATGTTCTTGTCACTGGCGCTATCTTATTCAGGTGAGCAAGAGACCTTTTTACTTGTTATCCATACTGACTACATGATAGTGCAATATTGACGACCCTCTCAACGATGCCCGCCTTCCACACCGAACCCCTTATCATCAAAGCTCTCTTTGGGCTAGATACCACCATCGTCGTCCTCTTCACGATAGAATACATTGCCCGTTCCCTGGCCCACACCGACTCTTGGACCCACTACTATTCTTGGGCAACGTCATTCTTTGCCATCATCGACCTCGTCGCCATCCTCCCCTACTATGTCGAAGTCGCCCAGAACCAAGATACCACCATCCTCTTCCGATTCAGCATCCTCCGAACATTTCGTCTACTGCGTGTCTTTCGCGCGTTCAAGTACCAGAACCAAATGCTCCTCACGATCGAGGTCATGTACGTTGCGGTACGGCGATCGCGGGACGCATTGTACGCGTTGATGTTCTTCATCGTCCTTGTCCTCGTGTTGTTCGCCACGCTCATCTACTTTGCCGAGCGGGGGACTTGGGATGCCTCTGTAGGCTACTTTATCGACGCAGATGGCGATCCTTCGGCTTTCGACTCTATCCCCAAGACGGCGTGGTTTGCGCTGGTGACGATGAGTACGGTGGGGTACGGAGAGGTCGTGCCAAAGTCGTTCTTGGGCAAGCTTCTGACGGTGCCGTTGTTGATGTTTGGGCTCTTGTTGATTGCTTTGCCGAGTTTTGTTCTGGGAAGGAATTTTGCGATCGTCTACGATGCGTTTGCCAAGCAGCTGTTTCAGGGCAATGTACGTTCATCTCTCAGAGCATGAAGGTATAACTCACCGTTCACAGGTTTCCGTCGCCTCGTCCCCACGACAATCACTAGACCAACCCACATCCATCCCAAACCCAAGCGACGACGACGTCCCTCTCCTCCCAATAACCAACCCACCTCAAACATCTCCTCCATCTACCACAGTCCATTCCAGAGCTCGCTCTGTATCGCCCTTTCCAGGAGGTAACGCGCAGCAGGGTCAATGGGCGGGACAAGGGGGCAGTCAGCCAAAGATGTGGGATGGTGGGATGGATGGGACTGGAGCTGCAGCTGGCGAGAGGAAGGAGAGGGATTTGACAAATACAAAGCTGGCAAAGAATCAACTTGTGAGTATTGCTTCATTTGACTTGCGACGAGAGATTGACATGATCATTACAGGTGCTGTTGGAACAGATTGATTCATTGCGACAGACGATAGACTCACAGGGGGAGATGCTTCGACTATTGACCCAGGCGTTAGGTGTGCCGAACGGCGAGGGAGAAGGGGCTCGGAGAACAGGATCCAGAAAGGGAAAGGAAAAGTCGACGGGAGGAGAGTTCAGATTGGACGACAGTGACGACGAGTAGAGTTGGGTATCCAAGGTGTCTTGAAGGTCTATAATCTGTGTATACCATGCATCATAACATACCTCGTTTCATACGATCACCACATTTTGGGAGATGGTGAATCATCTCGTTGTTGTGATGTAAGCCAGGGACCAAAGATCATGAGAGACTATGTATGTACCACAAAAAGGTCTTACCTGCGCAAAGGACCCTCCGTTGGTTGTTAAGGGTCAAGGTCCGCTGTTGATGCACGCTTCAAGTCAGGTGGTCCACCTCGGTGGTCCCCTATTGTTATTGTTATCTCATCCTACGGAAGTATGACAGAACCTGGAGGAGAGGAAGCGCCGTCCGGACGCTCATAGAGTTCTACGCCACAGTATGTAGCGCTGCTTACATGTTGCCATGCTAGATACACAGTAGAACAATGCAGCACAGACGCGCCATCAGCGAACCTTCGATTGCACCATGTGATCGCGGGTTACCCATCAAAAGCAGGCCTCAAATCGAGCGGCTATATAGATCGACCAGCTTTTGTTCTTCTTCTTTCTTTGCATCATAGTCCAAACGTCGATATGTACTCGGCAGTCTTACTAGGCTTGGGCAAGCAGACCGGTCAGATCGGCGGGTACAATGAGAGCGCTGCAGCGGAGTTGTTTGCTTCTGAGACTGTGAGTATTCTCTTTGATCGTCCTAGACCGTTTGCTTATAACGGTACCAGGGACTTATGCTCAGTATGATACCTATCCTATCTTGACCGTTCTACAGCTGACTCCTCGCCACTCAAGGATCACAGTTCGCATCAGTGATCATTGACACCTTCATGGCGTGGGTGTCTTTGCCCTGCTGGCTCCCGCTGGATGTCTCTGCTGACCAGCTTCCAGGGGCATTCTCATCATGCAGCTACTCAAATACTTCCCGTGAGATTAACAACTACCTCTTACCTGGCTCAAGCTGAACTCATCCGCGATCAGGAATCAAAACAAAGACTTGCTCTCAACCAAGCTGATCATCGCTTGGTCTTCTGTGAGTGCCTCTTCTTCCTCAGATTCCCAGTTCAATATACTCACAGGCAGACAGGTCTGGACGCTGGTCGTCTCCGTCTTCATACAGGCACATGTGTCTTATCTTTTGATCCCCAATTTTGGACTATGGCTGTGGGTTTGAGAGACAATTTCATGTCTTGAGAAGCTAACAGACCTTCTGCGACTAGTAGTCCCTGGCTCGAAGTCAGGTAAGATCCGGCAGAGTGTTGGATGATCGCTGGCTCATGAGATTCAGATGGATTGCCACAATGCCTATCTTCGACAGTGAGGCTTATTGAAACGGGCCGGGCATGGGGTTGAGCTAACGACTCAAAGTCCTTGCGGTTCTGCCAATCCAATGTTTCTTTGCCAACAGGGCTTACCTTCTCACTGAACGCAACAACTACCTTCTTGGATGTGTCTCTGTGAGCCATCGTTCACGCTTAGGATGTCCAAGATGATGCTGATTTCCATATTCGAGCTTTTGCTTCTGGCAAGGTGAACTATGACCTGCACTGACCGCGATAGTAAAGTATGACGATGTCTGACGCTCTGTCATAGTGTCGGAGGCGCCATTGGGCTCACTGTAGTTTTCGGAAGTCAAGAAACATCGTTGATCGGTATCGAATCAAGTGGAGCACCCCTCATCAGTAAGCTCGTGTCATTCAAGTATCACATCGTACCTTGGCCACAGCTGACGGACTCTGCCAGCATGGATAGCCACTACCTTCGCGGCCGACGCTCTCATCGCCGCATCCATCATCTACGGCCTTTTCAAATCCAAGACAGGGTGGCTCCAGACCCACGGCTTCATCCCGCGATGGGTCCGCTTGTCCTTTGAAGCATAGCTGCCTCCTACAATATTTGCCCTTGCCTACTGTATCGACTGGTGTACGTCATTCTCTTTCGTTTATCCCCTCACCAGTTATGACTGCTGATGAGTCAATACCGGGGGTAATCAGCTATTGAACCTACCTCTCAAGTTGGTGCAATCTTCCAATGCCTGCAGTCGAAAATTTACTTGATCGGAATGCTCTACACTGTCAACTCTCGGATTGTTTTCGATGTCCATGCCAACAACGATACACCCGTTGTTACAGTACGTGCTAAAGCTCCGCCCTCAAGGCGTGACATGAAAGCTGATGGTAAAGCTGCAGGTACTGACGAGGGCACATGGGATGACCGACTTTGATTCCCTGATGAATGAAATCCGTAGTACTCAGGCTCCTACTGTCAGTACCGTTGGGAGTGTCAAGAGATAGATGCGGGTCGCTCACGCCTTCGCAGGATGTACAAAATGATCCTGAGCTCGAGTCCATCAACGAGAAGAGCGAGAAAATCAAGAACAGCTCTCGCACATACGCTGCGTCGGATATTGGACCGACAGAGAAAAGCGACTTGGCAGATCTGGGCAGCCATGGCCAGACCATGACCCGACGAACGGCGTAGAAGAACCTTTTTTGTACCATGCCGCTTCCATTCTCGTTGTCCGTGTTGATCATGAGCGACTCATTCCAGTCCTGATATTGTCCGCCTTTGTAGACATCAGTGTTATCAAGCATTATGCATTTTTGAAGTCTTGTCAATAACAATCAACGGAACCCGGAACTTTCTAAACAATATATGACGGATCAATGCAGGTGAGAAAAAGATGGAAAGAAATCATGAGGATAAAGAGAGGATGCCGCCGGGGCGAGAGCAAGCCACGAAGAGCTCTCTTTGGGTATACAGAAAACAAGAATGAGGTGAAAGATGTCTTACGCGACACCCTGCTCAATCTTCATCTTCTTGATCATAGCCCAGTCAGACAGCTCGACCTGGTCTCGGAAGGTGGCCTTGAGAGTGTCGATAGATTGACGGGTGATGAGAGACACAACCTCGTCCGAGTCGTCAAAGCTGAACAACGGCTTAGCTTGCACTGTATAGAGAGGCAAAACTTAACGTACTGTCGACCATAAAGCTTGGCGGGTTGGTAAGAAGCTCGCTCAATCTTGACGGCAGCACCAGCACCAATCTGGTTCCTCTTGACAATCTCGAAGGGCTTGTGGTTGATCTCGATAGACGTGCTGTTCAATCATCAGCATGATACGACGTCGATCAACGAAAAAGTACTCACATCTTACCCAAAGCAACAATCTCCCTCTTGCCAGTCTCCTTGTCAACCTTGACGACACCCATCGGTGTACCGGTCCTCATAGTACCCTCAATGATGTCACAACCCAAGATAATAGGATCTCTGTGAGCAAAGGCCTTGATGATCTTGAGTCGAACGGGCCAGACGGCGTGGGGAGCGGCTTCCTTCTTACGAGCTTCGGTAACTTCATCCATGTACTTGGTGAAGGCGTCGAAGAGGTGGTAAATGATCTCGGCTGTGAGACGTCAGAACTGTTCACGATACAACAGAGCAGGTAGACGCACCAGAGAAGATCTTCAGGCCAGCCTTGGCCGCCAGTTCACCAGCCTCCTTCTCGATCTGCACATCGAACGCCAAAATGACCGCATACTCGGGCGCCTTATCCAACATCGTACCGGCCTTCACGATCGTACTCTTGTGAATCGGCCCGATACCAAAGTTGAACACGGGAATCTTCATCTGCTCCAAGAAAGTCAAGAGAGCCTCGAGAGAACCAAGGGTGGAAGCTTGGACCCAGACACCCTTGCCGGTCTTGGTGACAAACTTGGCAAGCGAAGTCAAGTCGTCCATGGCCATGTCCTTGTACGCCTCAACTTCGTCATCGTCCTGGGCGACGTAGAGTCGGGCACCGGCGATAGCCTTTTCAAGACCGGGCGCAGAAATCTTGACACCCAAAGCCGCCTTGACCTCTTTGTGGTGGACATAAGTACCCTATGACATGTTAGCGCATATATTGCAAGAGCGAGATAAACTTACCTTGATACGCATTTCTCGCATAGGCTGAGGCGTGAGCAAGGCTCGTACTTGCGTCACGATCGGTCCATCCGTACCACATAGCACAATCTTATCACCCTCTCTCATGACACCGTTGTTCAAAACAACATCAATGGTGGTACCCAACCCTTCGATGACCTTGACTTCCAAGATGGTACACTCGAGCTCGGAGATGTACATCAAGTTGGCGTTCATCCTCTCCTGGGTGAGCTTGACGAGCAGCATGAGCAAATCGGGCACACCTTCACCGGTGACGGCAGAAGTAGGCACAAGCGAGATGTTTCGACCCAAGTTCTTGTTCTCGTCAAAGATCTCGGCATTCATACCCTGCTCAGCGAATGCAAGCTTGGTCTTGGCGACTCGGTCCTCGAATTCAGACTTGACGGACTTGGACTGGGAGTCGAGGGTCTCTCGGAAACCAGCGTTGGGAATCTGCTTCCAGCCGTACATCCTGTCGATCTTGTTGAGGGCGACAATGAAGGGCGTCTTGCCAGCACGCAAAAGGTTGAGGGACTCGATGGTTTGAGGTTCAAGACCGTGCTAGGGGATGTCAGCGCGGCATATGTAAGAGACGGTGTAGCGTACAGTAATGTCAACAACCAAGATGGCAATGTTACAGAGGGATGAACCACGGGTTCGCAAGTTGGAGAAGGACTCGTGACCGGGAGTGTCGATGATGAGCAAACCGGGAATCTGGACCTTGTAGGCGCCGTCCTGGATACTTGTCAGCGCTATTACTCGTACAGTTGAAACGACGTACCCTATTGACAACGGCAGTCTTCTCCTCAATAGCCTCCCTGGGGAAGAAAGTAGCACCGATCTGCTGGGTGATACCACCCGCTTCACCCTCCTGCACACTTGTCTGTCTGACCTTGTCCAACAGCTTGGTCTTACCAGTGTCGACGTGTCCCAAGATACAGCAAATGGGCGAACGCAAATCGTCCTTGGACTTGGCAGCCTGAGCAGCCGCCCTTCGCGCCTCGATCTTTTCCAAAGCCTGTGCCTTTCGGACTGCGAGCTCATCGTCAGAGTCTTCGTCGGATGAATCGTCGTCAGAGTCAGAGTCGTCGTCGGAATCAGTCTCTTCTTCGGAAGACTCTTCCTCAGAAGATTCTTCGATGGGGGCGGGGGCAGCCTTGCCATTGGCCTTGGCAGCGGGTTTGGTGGGAGCGGGAGCAGCCTTCTTGGGAGCGGGGGCGGGGGCGGGATCGGCTTTCTTTGCAGGGGCAGCCTTAGGCTCGGCTTTGGGAACAGGAGCGGGAGCAGGAGCAGGGGCAGCTTCCTCATCGTCACTGCTCTTGTCCCAGTCGTCCTCACTTTCTTCCACCTTGAGCTTTTCAACACCCTTGGTAGCCTCGTCGACCTTCTTCTCGTCCTCAGACTTGTCCCAGTCGTCTTCAGACTCATCCTTCTTCTCCTCAACGGGGGCAGGGGCAGGCGTGGGCTCAGGCTTGGGCTTGGGGGCTTCCTCCTTGGGCTTTTGCTGTTGAGGCTTCTTCTTGCCGTAAACGGGCTTTTTCTTGGGCGCACCCTCTTGAAGACCGGCAACAGTCATACCGGAAGCCAGCATAGCCTGCTTCCTCGCCTCGGCTGCAGCCCTCTCCTTCTTCTGCGCAGGCGTCAGAGCCTTGCCCTCAGCCTTGAGTCTCGCCTGCTTCTCCTTCTCCTTTTGCTTCTTTGCCGCCTTGGCAGCTTCAGCAGCCTCCTCTTCCTCGGCAAGTCTCCTTTCTTCCTCTTCGAGCTCCCTCTGGCGCTCTTCCGCCGCTTTCTGCGCCGCCTCTTCCAAGCGCTTCTTCTCCTCCATAGCGGCTTGCATGGCAGCAATATGCGCGGGCACCTTCTTGCCCTTGGCAGGAGCAGGAGCAGCTTCAGGTTTGGCAGCAGCCTTCTTCTTCTTTTTCTTTTTCTTGTCGGCGCCACCGGCGACGTCATCGCCTTCTTCGTCAGAGGCCTCGTCGGCAGGAGGGGCGGGGGTGGCGGAGGGAGAGGGTTGAGCAGAGTCCTCCTGAGCCCCACCGGCCTTTTTGGCGGCGGCTTGAGCCTTCTTCTTGGCCTGTACAGTGTGAGTACGGACCACACCCGAGAGATCAGACTAACCTTCTCCTTCTCCTTCTTCAGCTTTTCCTTCTCTTTCTTGGTCAAGATCTTGGGTCCGTCGTCGTCACCACCCTCCACCTCATCTTCCTCATCGGCAGCTTCAGGCTCAGGCTTCTTCTCCTCGGGCTTGGGAGCAGCAGCGGCCTCGGCAGCCCGTCTTTCAGCAGCAGCCTTCTCCAAAATCGCATTGATGTCCTCTTCGTCCTCCTCCTGGGCCTTCTTTCCGCCCTTCTTTCCCTTCTTGCCCTTCTTGGGCTTGACGTCCTCCTCGGGCCATTCGTCGTTGATGTCAACGGCAGTATCCGGCTTGGCCTCCTCCGCAGCGGGCTCGTCAAACTCATAGTCCTCGTCCTGGACTGCCTTCTTCTTGTCCTTCTTTCCCTTCTTGCCCTTCTTGGGCTTGACATCATCCTCAGGCCATTCGTCGTCGAGATTCGGCTTCGTGTTTACGGCCGCAGGCTTCTCAGCATCAGAATCAAGGTCCTCGTCTTCGTCGACAAACTTGGCAGGCTTCTTCTTGTTCTTCTTCTTGTCCTTCTTGGCGGCATTGGCAGCGATAGCGGCCTGTGTGTCATCAGCATTGCACCGCGCCGCACACCAAATCGACTTGCCATCAAACCACCACCCTCTTCATCAGAGACCTCTTCTCCCTCGTCCAGCAAGTCAAAGAGACCCCCTTTATCCTTCTTGCCACCCGCCTTCTTGGGAGGCGCACTGAATTCGTCGTCCGAGGCGGCGGCGGTCTGGGGGTTGCTCTCGAAGGCAGCCTCCTTCGAGGCCCAGATATCGTCGTCGTCGTTCTTCTTTCCCTTTTTGGCTCCCTTCTTTGGTGGCATGTTGGGTGATGGTGCGGCAGGTGAGGCTGAAATGACAACGAAGGACAATGCAACCTCGATATCGTCGGAGCCGACCAGACTTTTTAAATGGGGGGTACATGTATTTCCCGCGCGGGGTCTTTGTCTTTTCGTTCAACTCTGTCGCATGGCACCAGGTCCTGCTGGCCATGTTATGCACGGCGTAGTTATGATACAGCAAGAGCAGGGGGTGTGCTCGCCTATCCACGGTACATGACGATTATTCTCGTCTAAATAGGGTCTTTTCGTTTTGCTTCTTCACTGGAGTATGATGTCAGCTACTCGAGTCACACAGTATGCCACTTGCAGTCTACCGCTCTTGACAGTCCAGAGATTTATTTATGAAGTGCATTTCCACGCAGTGGGATACTTTCCCGTAATAATGGTCAGGAGAGCAAGTTTCACCGGCAAACGCCTGGCAAAGAGGTCAATGATAGCAGTACTCGTACTGTAGTCAGCTTTTCTCGTGATTCAGAGAGACCAGAAGCTCTTTCAAAAACCTGAAACTGCTATTCTTCTGTAGACGGAGGGCACGGCGTGCAATGACGAGCTGAGCCATGATGCTGAACAGTCACTCTTCTATCACCTGAAGCCCTGCTTGATCTGGGGCCTCATAAGTCTCCCGAAATCGAACCTTGCGAGAGGAGTCAGGACCATCTGTGGATCGTGTACTGGATCAGAGTCGAGGCTTCCCACAAAGGCGTCTACCGTACGTTGAGTGAGATTCGTGGTTAAGTGGCGATAGCCGCTTGACAACGGAACCTTTTCTGCGCGGATCTCCTCTTACAATTGCCGTTCTCTTGATGACTAAACTTCAACTCCCAATCTACGCCTCGATCTCTATCTTCAATCATATCTTTCTACAGCATACCAACCATCAACTAGGACACTATCTTTAGGCCGACAAGACACCAATTCAAAGAACAACAATGGCCGCAGCAACCACCTCGGCCCCCCTGCACCCAAAACTCGGCAGGGCAGCCGACTTTGTCCGACCAGACTTTCATCAAGTCAATCTTGATATAGAGGGATATCTGAAGAATGAGCGAGGGTTCAAGCTTGATTCTGGTGAGTTGTTATTGGTAGTTGAGAAAGAACACACGCTGATATAAATAACCCAAAGACGAACAAATCTGCCCTCTAAGCTTGACCCCCTTGGGCTGCCCCCTTCCCCCATCGCAATGCCCCTACCGCCACACTACCCCCTCGCATCTCAATTTCCAGCCTCCCCCCCAACTTCCAACCCATCCACGAGAACGGGAAAAGAAACTCACCGTCTGCAAGCATTACCTCCGTAATCTCTGTAAGATGGGCGACAACTGCGAGTACACGCACGACTTTAACCTCCGCACCATGCCGACTTGTATATGGTTCGAGAAGCAGGGAAAGTGTGAGTTGGGAGGAGAGTGCTTGTACTTTCATTCGAGGGATAGAAGAGTGGAGTGTCCGGACTATTTGAGGGGGTTCTGCGTGCTTGGGCCGGGGTGCCCGAGGAAGCACACGAGGAAGAGGCTGTGCGAGGCTTACATGGCAGGCTTTTGCCCGGATGGTAAGGAGTGTAAACACGTCCAGTAAGTAACACCTCAAGTCGATAGTTGCGATAGCTGACATAGCATAGCCCCTCTCCCACTCGCCCGCCGCCTGAAGCGTATGAGAACCCCCCCGCACCAAACCCCGACGATTTCTCAGGCCCACCCCCTCAACTGCCCGCAGGCTACGGCCGTTGGCGCGAGTACAAGTACGACCCGAACGCTGTCATCGTCCCTGCCGCGGCATGGGTGGAGGGTGGTAGTTTGTCCGGATGGAGAGCGGGAGGTTTCTTGAGTGCGAATGCCAGGAGAGAACAAGGTGGAGGTGGTGGAGGTGGATATCAGGGCGGTGGGGGAGGTGGTGGGGGAGGTGGTGGTGGAGGAGGAGGCGGTGGGGAGAGGAAGGGCGGAGGTTGGCAAAAGGATTTGAGCACTGTTTTGTGCTTTGTAAGTCATCTTTAAACGATTGTGGATTGGTCACTGACAAATGGCACAGAGGTGTAACCAGCACGGACATTTCGCCAACGCTTGTACCAATCAATACGTACCCGGTGACCGTGGGGGGGCGAGAAAGAAGGATGGTGGTTTCTAGACGTATGGACAAGTCGCTAGTAGTGTAGAAATGCATCTATCAGACAAATATCCTGGATTGAGTGCGCGCAGAGCCCAAATGCATGATATACAAACAATATCTCTATTCAAAACATCACTTCCTGCCCCTGTTCCTGTAGTATGCCTTCTTTGGCGCTCCCTCGTCATCACTGCTCTCGTCGTCCTTCTCCTTTTTCGCCTTGACACTCCCCACACTGATGTTGACCTTGGGCGGCACCGCGAAACCGAACGCTTTGCCCACCTTGGCCAAATCAAGCTTGTTGACATCAAAGATCTTCTTCAATGAATAAGAAGCGTAGGCCTGGAGGTACGAGCGGTAACCGTCTCGCGCAGAAGTGTTGAGGTAGTGGTTCTTGGAGATGAGCCCCTCGAGCTGTTTTTGCACATCGGCAACCTTCTTTTGAGGGAACTGGTACTCGTTCAGAGGCACCTTGGCCACCTTCAAGAACCTCAAAAAGCCCAACTCTGACGGCAAGAGGAATAACAGACTCTTGCCGGTCTTGCCCGCCCTGGCGGTACGGCCGACTCGGTGGATGTAGTCACGGGGGTCATCAGGGGGGTCGAACTGGATGATCCAGTCGACTTTGGGGATATCGAGACCTCGGGCGGCGACGTCGGTACAGAGGAGAATACCGGTGGGGGCGTTGCAGAATTCAAAGAAGGTGTTTGTACGCTTTTGTTGTTTTTGCTTTCCCTATAGGAATTGTCAGTGGGTTTCAGCGGGCAGGAGGAAGGACGACTCACGTGAAGATCGAGCACGGGCACATCGATATAATTCAACAATTCCGCGTGGTATTTGACGGAATTACAACTGGAGAAGAAGACAATCACCTTCTTCTTCAGGTTCTTCTTCAAGAAAGTGAAAAGAAGCATGAAACGTTGGTCCGACTCGCAGACGACGTAGCCTTGCTCAAGCATGTCCACGGTCGAAGCTTCCTTGGTTTCGTCGACGTTGATGTAGAGAGGGCCAGGGCGGAGGGAGATACGGGCGAGGTCGGTAACCTTGGTGGTCTGGGTGGCTGAGAAGAGCATGGATTGACGGTTTTCTGCGATAGTGTCAGCGGACCTCCTATTTTGGCTACACGAAGAACTGACCAGCAGGAAGAAGCTTGATGATCTGCTTCATTTCCTCCTCGAAACCAATTTCCAAGATACGGTCCGCCTCGTCAATGACCAACGCCTTGAGGTTCTTGAAAACGAATCCCTTGGTGTTCTATATACATGTCAGCCACGACCGCTCCTAGGTAAGCAGGAGCTCACTTGGAGGTGATCAAGAAGTCTACCAGGAGTAGCCACGATCAGGTTGACACCCTTCACCAGCTTGTCTGCCTCAGCTTTACGGTTGGCACCACCCATAAGGACACCGAAAGTCTGAGAATGGCCGCCCATGATCTCCTTGGCGACACCAAAGATTTGAAGAGCCAATTCTCGAGTGGGAGAAATGATGATGACACCGGTACCTGCGATTATATCAGTAAAGTCCTGCCATTGATGTTGACCAAACGCACCATTGACAGGCTTGAATCTCAGGGTGCTCAACAGCTCTGCACTGGGAACCAAGAACGCCATCGTCTTTCCACTACCAGTCCTCGCGGCACCCAGCACATCTTTGCCCGCCAAAAGAGGAGGGATAGTTCGCGCTTGCACCTCCGTCATGGTCTCAAAGCCCATACGCTCAATAGCATCGCGGGTAGGGGGAGAGAGGTTGAGGGTGGAGAAGGGAACTCGAGTGTATGCTTGGCCGGGAGCGCTTCGAGCGCCGAGAACAGCGTCGGTTTGAGATTCGGCAGGGGTGTCGAGGGTTTGCTTCGAGGAGGAGGCTTCGGGCTGTTCCTCTGCGACTCTCTTGGCGGGTGCCTCGTCTGCGGCGGCGGAGGACCTCTTTCTCTTTGCTGCTTGCTTGGGGGCCATTTTGGGATTTGTGGAATGCAAGAGAGAGCAGGCGCAGTGATGGCCGGTGGACGCAACTTTTCCGGGAGAAATGGTGGAAAAACACGTTTGAGAATAATCGGCGACCCGTGCCTCCACCCGCTGCCAGCCAAATTTCTGGATCATTTCCCTCTCCATCTCTCAATCGCCTCTCTACAATCTATTCTCGTGAGTCCACATCCATCCCCTCCCATCCATCCATACAAGGATGACTCTGTGTTCAATTCAAACTAGAGTCTGTTAGGCGAAACGCCCAAGACACTTAAACGCACTTCTCTGATCATTCCCATCCCCTCACAATCGATGATGTGGATATGAATGTTGGCTGACAGTATCATCAGTGCTATAAAAGGCTGCGTCCAGCTTTGCCTCTACTTTCTCCTTTCTGAAAATTTTCGCCTTTGAGCCAGGTGAGCCTTTTCTCTAATCCATCTTTCACCCCCACCCCCACCCTTTCTCTCAATGATGTCCCATTTGGGAATTACCGCCTGATTGCGCATTCAACTCCGGCGTAGCAATACGTTGGAGTCGTCTGCGATATGCTGTCAAAACATGGCTGTTTTATTTTTTACTGATCCACACTCAATCATCCTCACTTTAACATCTGCGGTAGATGCGAGGATCAGCGCTGACGATATGTGCTTTAGGTCTTTGTTTGACTGTCGCGAAAATTGAAACTTGATCTCGTTCTTTTGGTATTCTTTATTTAAGTAAGTCATTTGTCCTTCTATCCTTCTCTCTCAAATAAAGGACGATCACAACACGACGGTCTTCTGAAATAAAAACACCGAGTAGTAAAGGCCCGACCCATATATACGGGCACCCAATCTGAATCTTCTTTTTCCCTTCATGATCATGCAAATTTTCAAGGGACGTGCGCTGACAAGTGTTCAGACCAATATGGCTCCCCGACAACCCGTTGCTGGCCCGTCCAAGACCAAGCACTCTCAACAGGCCGTGACCTCTTCCCCGCCACCGCCTGCTTCTGTCTCGGCTTTCAACACAGCGAGGTCGTTGTTTGCCCTGGCATCCCCTGTCCTCGGTCAAGCGGACAAAGTTCAAGTCTGGGACGTTGCTTCTGACCGAGTCATCTCGGAGTGGGAGATTCCTGGCGCAAGCAAGGCTTCTACCGTTTCTTTTGCTCTCATCGATGCTGCCGACACTGGTGGTAAAAAGAAGAAGCGGAGAAAGTCTGCCGCTGGTACGAGCGAGGAAGAGGTCTTGCTTGTCTCAACAGGCAAGAACCAGCTTGTTGTTCTCTCACCGAGACAAGGAGAGGTTCTGCGGACGATCGACCTGGAGGAAGGTGTGACATCGGCCTGGACTGATGAGCGAGGATTCGTCTTTGCGACCGCTTCATCACTCCTGGTGCTCGCGAAGGATGCGTCTGCCGTTTCGCACACTTTCTCATTGCCTTCAAACGTCACCTCTCCATCTGCTGTCACCATCCTACCCTCGTCGACTGCCGAGACACTTCATGTCCTCGTAGCTTCGACCTCTGTCGTGGCTCTTCACCTTGAGCTTGCGTCATCCGAGGTGACCTACACTTCTTCCCCTCTCCCCGCTTCGACCACCTCTGTGTCTTCTCTTCTACCCATCCCATCCACAGAGGAGGGCGCCTCTTTCCTTGTGGTGTCTGAAGACGACCGAACTATTTCTCAGTACACCCTCACGACACCTCAAGCGACAGCGAAGCTTTCGTATCGCTACGCCTCTCCCACTCTTTCTTCCGCCCACTCTCTTGCCCTCGAATCCAGCCTTTTGGCGGTCTTGCACGAGTCTGGCGAAGTGTCCCTCTTCTCTCTTCCATCCACTCTTGATCTCTCCCGTCCCAAAACGGACTCCAAACCTTCTATTGTGAAGGTTGTAGAGGGCAAGGAAGAACACACGGCTCGTCTCGCTCGTGTGGCTTTCGCTTCCCAAGGACAGGGTGAATCCGGGGCTCTTCTCTGTGGGCGTCTCGTGGGCGGTGGTAGTGTCAAGTGGTCCAAGGCGGTCTATGAACTGCCGGAGGGTGGTCTGAGGTCGAATACGGTGCTGAAGGTCGGGGTGCAGGATCTGGCTACTGGAACGTCTGGTTCTTCTGTAAGTCTCGAACGCTTTCCTGGATGAATCACGCTAATATCAATTGCAGACACTGCCAACACAACGATATGTCGCTCCTGCTGCTGTCACCGAGGCTGCCGAAGACACTGGCGACGAGCCCGCTTCTCAGCTTCCAGCTGATGTGGACATGGCCGAGCTCTCTTTGGGTGAACGCATGCTCGCCACCGGTCAAGGGGAAGCTGCCAAGTCCACTACTGCTACCGCCGGCGCCTCTCTCGACGGTCCCGTGAATGCTGCCTCTCTCACGCGAGTGCTCGTCCAAGCTCTTCACACCTCCGACCCCGCCCTTCTTACCCTCTGTCTGTCCCACCGCAACCCCGTCCTCATCCGAAACACCATCCGCAAAATGCCCGCTCAGCTTGCTTTGCCTCTGCTGAAAGCTTGTGTGGAACGTTTGGGACAGGGAAAGGGTGCGAACAAGCGTGGTGGCGGTAGGGGATCTGTTCAGAACGAGCAGCAGGGTCGAGGGACCGTCGAGTGGGTTAAGGGTGTCTTGGTTGAGCGTGGTAGTGTCTTGATGACCATGCCTTCCTTGCCTCAACACCTTGCCCAGCTCTCTACTCTTCTCCAGACTAGGCTCGAGCTCCACCAACCACTTCAAACCCTTTCCGGTCGTCTCGATCTTGCCCTCGCGCAGATCACTATGCGACGCATCGCTGCCGAGCAGGCCCTTGCCCACGCCGAGGACGGCGGAAGGAAAGGTGGCGAAGGCGAGGTTTATGTTGAAGGCGAGAGTGACGATGAGGATGTCGAGATCGAAGTCGGCGAGGACGGAGAGGTGGAAGATGTCGACATGCGGGGTTACAGTGACGCTTCTTCTGACGAGTCTGGCTCTGATGATGAGGACGATGACGATGACGATGAAGAGGATAGTGACGAGGATCCTTTGGAGAGCGGGTCGGACAATGACTTGCTTGACCTCGAGGCTGAGGAGAGTGGGAGCGATGAAGAGGATGATAGCGAGGAAGAAGATTAAGAAGGAAAGAAGTTTATTAGCATTACATTAGCATGACATCCATAGTTGTCTTCATAGTATAGTACAATTGCATGTGACATTAGCATCACCACCACATCACGGTTGCAGACTTGCAGAGCAAAGCATAGCAGTCCCATCGCTCTCGAAAGCCATTGAACATTCTCGGGATCGCTGTGACCGGTGACAAAGACTTGGGCCGCGGCATCATTCACGCTATCCTTCAGGCGAACACGCCTGGATGCTGACGGATGCTGCCAAAGCTGAGCGGGCCACCAATCCCAAAGGTGATAGATTGATACAAGTGCAAGAGGTTCAAAGAACAGCTTTCGGGACGGTTCATTCATCGCGTCAAGTCATTGTTATTCAGTGTCATTCAGTCAGGTAACCTCGAGCTGGCCGCCACAATCAAACACAGTCGCACACAGTCGCTAGACATATTGACTTCACATTCGAGATCTATTGTATACGAACACCCAGTCGAGATTTAGAAAGGAGAGAGAAATGGAGACCTAACACTGCTTGTAAAAATACCTTTGCCCTGAGAGAAGCCCCGTAAAAAACACACATTCTATATTTACACTCATCGAATATATACGTACTGTACGCCCGCACCAGACATGCTCAGCACATCGCAATACACATCAGAAAGTCCATGGTCAAAGCGGCACCCCTCAAAATCGTACCCACGTACCGCCTACTCGGCATCGTGTCCACCACCGTTCACACCGAACAGTCTGATCAAGTCATTGACACTCAGTCTGCCGACCTTGACCGCAGTTCCTTCGCCCATAGCACCATCACTCAGCGCCTGCTTGGTGTTTTGCAGCTCCATAAGACGTTGGTCGATAGAGTCGTTGATGATGAGACGATGGACGGTGACCTCTCGGTTTTGGCCGATACGATGAGCTCGGTCGACAGCTTGATTCTCGGTAGCGGCGTTCCAAGCAAGATCAAGACAAATGACCTGAATAGAGGTCAGCAAAAGCTGGTAATGGAGGAACATACAACTCACGTGATTGGCAGCACAGAGGTTCAAACCAACACCTCCGCATTTCAAGGACATCAAAATGACCCTAGGTGAGCCCTCCTCCTCCATGGGCCTGTTGAAATTGGCAATAGTGTCCTCTCGAGAGGACTGATTCATCGATCCCACATATTTGACGTGAGAGACATCTCGCTTTCGCAAGTAGACGGAGACGAGCTGGATGTATTCCACGAATTGAGAAAAGACAATGATCTTTTGGTTGGGATCTTGCGCAATGATTGCGTCGACCAATTCACTGATTGCAGGTAAGTGTTTGCTCAGCTAGCTGCAAGATGGACTTACCCGAGCTTGTGCATTTTGGTCGAAGGGACTACGTCCTCGATGTCCAGGCCGTCGGGTTTCTTGTCGACGTCGTCGGTGACATCCTCGACACTGGAGCTCCTCTTCTTCTTGTTCCGAGTCCTGACTTGGTCCACCTAGCAATAAAGTCAGCGTCAATGAGACTAGATACCAGCAGCGACTCACTGCCTTTCTCTTCCCCTTCTTCTTGTCTGACATCCCTGCTTCATCTGCCAAAGCAGAGATCTTTGCTCCATAGTCCTCCGCATCATCCTCCTCCGCCTGCTCGCCCCAATTGTCTTCCTCATTCTCGGTTGCCTCCTTGGGCTCGAACGCGGAAGCCCGGAAGATCTTGTGCTTGTCCATCACTGTCCTGCACAAAGGACATTTCCTCCTCCCTGCCTGCACGTCCGCGTCATCGAGGTCCGCGTTGCCTTGAGCAGAGTTGAAGATGTTGTCAATACACTCGGCGCAGAATGAATGACAGCAGGGAGTGATGCGCTCGTCGGTGAACTGTTCGTAACAGATACTGCATTCGCAGTCACCGGCTTCACCGTTGTCATTGTCGGAAGCGGTTTCCAGACGCTTGATTCGCTCGAGGATGATGCCCTTGACTCGCTCGACAAACTCGGGGCCGACGAGGGTGGAAGCTCGGGCTTGTTCCGAGATGTCATCAGACTTGGGAGCTTCGACACCACCAAAGAGATCCTCGTCGGTGATGACCACGTCGCCATCGCGAATGATATCGTTCGGGTTCCGGCGAAGAAGCCAAGGGTGACCTGATACAGATCAGCGGTTGGCCTTTCAGGTACATTCAAGAAAGCTTACAAGTCAATTGTCGCAAACGTGTCAACATGACCAACACCACATGATAATTCTTCAGGACTGTACCCTTCCTCAGGAACGAGTTGAAAGTGACCTTGAAGCGGTTCTCAACAGCAGTATAGATCTGCCTCTCTTCCTCGGAAAAGTTGAGGTCGCAGACCGTAGTCGTCTTGGTGGGGAGCTCAAGCAGCCTCTTACCGTTCAAAAGGGTATCCTTGTGTCGTCGAATCATACAGCCTTTGAGAATTGTCTATAGACATATCATCAGGACCTTTGGACGGCGAACAAGAGCAGTTGAAGGACATACCTGGATACGCTTGGTAGCCAGCTTGGGAGACCTCTTCTGCATCCTGCTGATTTGTTCTCTGAACGCTTCCCATTGCGACATGGGTGAAATATTCAGATAGTGCAAGTGCGAGAAGATGTCGTCCAACGAGTTGACGACGAGAGTTCCAGTGAGACACCATCGGAGATGAGCCTTGAGAGTGTAGATGACCTTGGATGCCTGAGTTTTGCGGTTTCGGATCTATAGAACAGTTAGATTTGTCCGATCTTGGAATGATTGATGCTGACCTGATGCGCTTCGTCGAGGATGATACGGTACCAATTGGTTTTGACGAGGGGCCCAATCTTCTTTTTGTCAACAAATTGTTTACCATCCTCGTCGATCATCTTTTTCTACAAATTTTGTGTCAGCTATGATCATAACAGTACAATTGACAGGACTCACTTCGCTCAGACCTTCCGAAACAAGCATACCATAAGTGGTCAAGACGACGTCGTATTGCTTCAAAGCGGCGATGGAGGCCGTACGCTTGGGACCATGGTGTATGTGAACCTTGAGAAGACCAGGAGTAGTCTTGCTCTCGATCTCGGCCTTCCACCTATGATTTCTCGTTAGCCTCCACCCGACCGGATGAGAAAAGCACGTACTGGCCAAGTAACGCCAAAGGCGCCACGATCAAAGTCGTCTTCTGCTTGGGATCCTGACTCGGGTTCGCCACGATAGTAGCAATACTCTGCACCGTCTTACCCAATCCCATCGCATCGCCATTGATACCACCCCTGAAGGCAAGGTTCTTCTCCTGACGGGTCATGAAGCTGACGCCCATGACTTGATGCGGCATGAGCTGGATACGAAGGCCGGGAATAGAATCCTTGAGAGAGCTGAGGCCGAGGACTCGAAGATCGTCATCAACCGTAGAGTCGGAGGCGAAGTTCCCGAAACTCTCAGCGAAGAAGGTAGCCAGACTTGGCTTGTATCAGCGAGGTTTCTGGGAAATAGAAAAGGTTCAACTCACTCCTGAGGCGTAACGATATCACGATGGAATAAAGACATCTCATCCTCCGCGTCATCATCACCATCATCCAGCCCCATGAAACCGTGCCTCCCACCATACCCAGGCTGACTCAACAACCCCATGGTATCCGCAATCTGTCCCGAATTGCCGGCTCCACCACTAGACCCAGCATAGGCATTGGGATGAGGCGCCTGGCTCATTTGGGACATGTGGAAGCTGTCGACGGCGGATGCAGGCAATGGAGGGGCGATTGCAGCCTTTGACTTGACGCAGAGCGGGATATAGTGGCTAGAGCCATTGCACCCGCACGAAATCTGCATCACCTGCCCCGTCGCTGCTCCCGATGCAAGGTCATGCAGGTACGTAGCGCCCTTGGCAATCACGGTAGGGAGATTCTGGAAAGTGATGACCATGTCGATGGGAGGACCGACGTATGGGTAGACGGTATCGGGCGACACGAGCTGATCTCGAAGAAACTTGATGCGAGTAAGAATGAGGCGCAGCTTGTGTTTGTCCTGCAAGAAGCTGATATGAAAAGTCAGTAGAAGTAGATGACAAATGAAGCAACTCACGATGACAGAGACTTGACGAGATGCTGCGCTTCGGCGGCGTACTTTTGCTCCTTGTCTCCGTGAGGAACATGCTCTGTGATAGAGTAAGCACAGTTCAACAAGATCACGTCAAGCAACGTACCAATACCGAGACCGCTCTTATTTGCGGTGACATCTTGATGGATCAGAGAGTACACTTGCATGTAGTCGGCAGAGGCCAGATCGACAGCGGGAGCAGGAAGTACACCTGCAGCACCAGCGTTAGAAGGCCCGGCACTTGCAGAGGTAGGTCTCGTGATGCCAGCACTAGCGGAACTAGGTCTCGTGATCGAGGGAGATGAAGCAGGCTCAGACGCGACAGGCTCGCGCTTCGCAGCAAAGATCTCGTCAAACCGTCTGTTCTGCTCCTCGATAGTAGCCATGTCTTCTTCAGTCTCGTCCTCTCCGAGGAGACCAGACGAAGGCGCAGGGCCGGAGGGGGAGCTCGCCTGGCGGACAGGTTGCTTACCCTTACCATTCGTGTTCTTGTTGACGAGCGCAAGAGGCTCACGAGATGACGCGTTTGATGATGAGGATTGCACAATCTTGGAGCCGTGGGAAAATAAACTTGACAGGCGAGAGGGTACGGCGGGAGACACTTTACTAGCGGGGGTCGGGGTGGCTCTGGCGACGGTAGTCCCAGAGGGGGCGGAAGGGGTGCGGTTGGAAGGAGGAGAGGACATGGCGTCGAGGATGGAGGTGCGAACCTGTTTGCCAGTGCTCTTGGTGGTAGAGGGCAGGGTGCGCGCTGGTGCGGGGGTGGCGAGAGAAGGTTGAGATGCAGAAGAGGGGGATGGTTTCTCGATGGGGATATTCTGTGGTATATATATGAGATGGGCGCGTCGGGGAAAGGATGGGTGAGTCAACCGGGTCAGTGCACATCCACGCGTTTGGGTGCGACGCGTCCACTCACCAGCTTCTTGCAGCGTTCAGTCTTCCCTCGCACGTGCGCAGAGCTCCCGCAGTGGCTCTGCTATCGTCAGCATGCACTCAATGTGGACCACCTCAAGAGATCCGGGGGAGACTCACTTGGAACGCCAACATTGAGCCCCAGCCAATGCTTCTGCCACCGTCAGGTTTGGCGGGTTCGGCCGTCAGGGCGATTTCTGTCCAGCAGTATTCTTCCATACCTGATATCTCACGTCAGCCATTCACGCGCGAGAAGGGAGCTATTCGAAACTCACAGACGACGATACCAAAGCCATTCCCTCCCTTATCTTTGCCAGCCTCGGCGAGCTCGGTGACAAAGTTTGTATCGTTGGGGAATCTCACGAGGTGATTTCTGATAGAAGCCTCGTATCCAGGGGACATAGGCTACAATAAGAGTCAGCCTCAACTCCACACACGCGTTTTTCCTCGACGAGTCACGGAAGTCCAGACATGGCGGCCGACGCGACGCGCTGCTGATATGACACGCGCGCTCTGTATTGCTTTTCAAGCGGCATCACTCACCTCAGGACCTCCGGGCTCATATGTTTCCTTTATCAGATCCTTGATGGCGGCTTGAGACAACGGCATCTTGAATTCGACGGGGCTAAAGACGGGTGATGGGCATAGGCAGGACGAGATGGTCGAGCGTCGGTGTTCCGATATAGGCCGAGATGGGCGATAAGGCGTGTAGCAGCAAGATGGACAGTCAGAAAGAAATTATAGCGTGCTCAGCAAGATGTGTCTGGCAATATCGAAGGAGACAACAACACAAAAAGAATCGTCTTCAGCGCAACGGACCAAATGGTGGACGACGCGACTTAAAGCTTTTTTGTAAATCCAAGCTTAATGCCACGTCATCACGTGTTCCTAGAACGCGTTCGAGGCGTCTCGACGAAGAGGGGGAGTACTCGGAGGTCAGTACTCGCTGATCATACCACAGAACGATAACGTCTGCTCTCCTCCCTGTACCACCATATTCTCCTTGGCCACCCATCTCAGGTTTGCGGATCATCTCTCAAAAGTGCGACAATGTACTCTCACTTTGTACACATCACTCGGTTAGGAAAGTCGGCCGGCTTGTAGTCCGAGGGCTCTCCATCCTATCGGATAAAAGTAGTCTGCATGGAGGTGTGCTTCTCTGACTAAACCATCTTCGCGCCTTCCACATAGGCCTATCTAGCCGTGACAAGAGAAGGTAGCGAAGAAGAAGGCTACGCTGGGAACCTGACCTTTTCCCCATACGAGAGGAAACCCTCTATATCACAAGCAGGAAGACCAGATTGACCGACTTCATCGACTGCCAGATAGATGGACTACGGCCCTCTAACTCCGTGCGTGTATCCGAATGTGGCTGACACCTCTCCGAGGCGCAGCTTCTTCTGAGGGCCGAGAGATGAGAAAACCGACATTCATTCCTTTGCGGCTCGCCTCCGGGCCTGACCAGGTGTCCCTTGATATCCTTTCATCTCTCGTCCCCCGCGAAACAGTATAGGCTCTCCAAGATCTACCATCTTACCTGTCGCCCCTCTCATTCCCACTAACGTATGACTCCTGCCAGGCTGCTGAAGCTCTACACTGGTTCATGGTGACCAACTCATGTATATAGACCTCCTCAGCTAATGCCGCCTTACCCAGCTCGCTATCGACTCTCCGACATACCCCACGCCCGCGGGCCCTCTTTCCATCGCCAGATATTTGCCAACCTATCCCATACTCTAGCAGCCAGGGCCGACGATGCGGACACGACACCACAAGCGTCCGCCAGTACCACGGCGAATGGCATCACGGCCTCAGATCTCATCGAGGAGGCGGAGGAGCACTGGAATGTTTCTGCCAAGTCTATCCTTGCCGCTTGGGCCCTTACAGCGGCGGGAGCTGTGAGTCCCCCTGGTACTCGCAGGAACGGAGACATTCTGAACGCGCTTTTTAGCTCCTCATCGTCCTCATCTACTCTGCCGCCCGTCCAAGATGGAAGCTCATATATCTCCCTCGTCTCAAAGTCCGCAAAACGTCACGCACCCCAGAAGAAAAGAGGAAGGAGAAGGAGATGCTAGACAAGATGGGTGCGAGAGACAGGAAGGCGTATATGGACAAGAAGGAGGAGGACAAACCAGACTACTATCCCGAGGGAGAGAATTTGAAGGGCAAGTGGGTGGCTAGGGCTCCCAGGGTGAGTGATATACCAAGTGGCCACTGTGCTGGAAGCTGAAATAGAAGTGCAGGCCGTTAAGGGCTATTTCGGGTGGCTCAAACCAACATGGAGAGAGACAATGGTCGAGCTCCGGTCGGCTTTGCCCCGCTGGATGGATTTCCTGATACCCAAAGAAACGGTCACAGATGAGAAAGGTAGGAAGGTCAAGCAATCTGCCTCGGGACCAAGCCTCTTTGAACAAGACCTCAAGTGAGTAGGTCGACTTTTTCGGTGGTGATCTGACGGCTGACTTGGTCTCAGGACTCTTCATATGCTTGGTCTCGATGCAGTAGTCTACTTGATCTTCCTACGCTTACTCAAATACCTCTTCACGGCCATGGCGTTCTTGGCATGTCTACTGGCAATTGCAAATTACTACCTTAACACTCAGACTTCATATGGAGGCACAAGCGCCGTCAGTCCTACGGAAGCGGTGGAAGGCGCAAGAAGAATAGCAGAGACCAGTACTGCAAGCGCCCCCAGCAGTAGCTCGACATCCGCGAGCACAGCTGGGTCAAATAGCACATCAATCATCGAAAACCCCCAGCTGTTGACCGCCGCAAATATCACGAGTAATGGACTGTTGGTGCATGTATCCTTCGAGTGGATTGTGACCATGATGGTAGTTGTATTCGGTGAGCGACATACAGCTGTATGTGATATGAGCTGACTCAACAACGTAGTCTTGAAGGCATGTGCGCATCACCTCAAATTGGTTCAAGAATGGACGCACATGTGAGTGTCCATTTCAGCTCTCGCATGTCCAAGCTGATCAGTATCAGGAACTACAACGAAGTCTCCTTCAAGACCCTCATGATCACAAACCTGGCCATTCGACCCAACCCATCAAAGTCAATCTCAACAGTCGCTGATGCCAAACGAGAGATCAAATCGCTCATCCTCGGACCACACCGAAGCAAAGTTGATTCTAGCGTCTGGTTTGCAGTGTACAACATGAACCCTCTGCATGAAAAGATGGAAGAATTCAAAAAGAAGAAGTTCAAGTGGGCTATCAAGGCGGTATCGATGGAAACATTCTACGAGGGCGGAGAAGGGGTGTTTTATGACAGTTGCTCGGGGAGACTATGTGGCTTGAGCAAGTCTGCACAAGATCGAGTGTGCGCTGCGCGGTAATCTTTTGGGGCACTCACTGACGAGCTCTCAGGGACGATGCGTTGACAGAGAAGCAGAATATCGAGCATCTTCAGGATCAAATCCGGAAAGGGCAGGTAGATGTCAAGTATACCAAGCTGAAAGGCACCGTGACCTCAGCATTCTTGACGGTGCCGACTGCGAAGAAAGCGCGAGAGGTGCTCAAAGATAGTAGAGACAAGCTGAAGGAAGCTGGTTATCACATTCAACGGGTAAGCACCGCCAACTGATCTTTGGTACCCGGCTGATGACTTCTGGGCAGGCTCCAAGATCGCAGAACGTGGTGCGTAGTTGTGTGATTTGATCAGCCGATGTTGTGCTTACCGATAATATAATGCAGCTCTGGCAGAATCTCGAGAGAGACGGCAAGTCTCGACACTCGCACGCCGTTCTTGGCAAGGTCATTCTCGTGATCATTTGCTTCATCAACACTATCCCTGTGATGATTGTCACCGTCCTAGCCAATTTGAGCACTGTGAGAACCAGCATACAAACTCAGGTCATATCACTGACAGGACCGTAGGCTATTGACAGGTGGCCTACCCTGGCCAAGCTCACAGAGTCCTCCGATATATGGAATGCCATATTCACCGTCATTGCAGGTATCCTTCCTGCTACCATTGCCGCTCTTTTCTCCTACATTCTCCCTTATATCATGCGTCGCCTTTCTCGCTGGTCTGGAGCTCTTACCCGAGGGCAGCTGGACAAAGCTGTCATCCGACAACTGTTCATCTTTTTGCTAGTGTCAAACTTCATCGTGTTCTCCCTGTTGGGCGTACTGTATGAGACATACCTCACCATATCGGAGGATATAGGACAAGAGAGTTGGAGCACAATATATGCTAGTCTTGGTGATGTACCCGCAAAGATCACAAGAGCGTATATATCAGAGAGCTTGTACTGGCTATCATGGTACCCGTGAGTATCATTCTTTGGAAAACACGCAAGCTAAGACTTTGTAGAATCCGATCAGTCGTGGCCTTTCTGCAGCTTTTACAGATACCAAGGCTCATCGTGAAGACACCACAACTTCTGACGATCAAGACCCCTCATGACTTGGCTGAAGTCGCGCAGCCAGAGAACTTCGAGGTGAGTCGATACGTATAGACTTCTGCTCGCTATGTGCGCTGACCAGTATCAAGTTTGCTATCGAGTACTCACATTTGGTACGTTCAATTATACTCGAACTGCAGGTATTGTACTGACATTCGATGGTCAGCTTTTTGCTATGGTTGTCGGGTAAGACAGCCCATATACCAATGAGGTGCAGCACTGACCGTTGACTTCTCAGACTGATGTATGCTCCTCTTGCACCAGTAGTGGTCATCTGCGCAGCCATATACTTCTGGACCATCTACGTCGTTCACACAAACCAGATCAAGTATGTGTTTGACTCCAAAGAGACTGACGGTAAATGCTGGAAAGTTATCATCAATCGAGTATTGGTGGCGACAGTCATGATGCAAATACTAATGGTTCTAAGTGAGTCGCTCCTCTATCCACTCGGTCATGGGGTAACAAAGATCGCAGCTGTCACCCTCAAGACTCGCTCAGCAGCTATGGCAGTGGGCGCAGGTCTTCCCATCGGTGTGATCTTCTTGTTCAAAATGTACCTCCGCCGACACTACCACCCGGACGGCGAATTGTTCTCTCAATACATTGACAAGTACGAAGACGACGATCTCGATGTGGACAATTATGCGCCCGAGTACGAGCATGAACTCTTGAGAGAGGATTGGATGCCCAAATTCAAGACTGTCAAGAATAAGGTGCTCATGGCAAGAGCGATGAAGAGATTCCCCAAGTTGACGGAGCTGCTGAAGGTTGGCCAGGAGGAACCGGTGACAGGGACGACGAAAAAGAGCAAGAAGAAGAAGAGACGATAGACATCCAGTCAATCCTCTGTGAATTCAGATAATCGCTGGACGATATAGTGTACGGCGTGCGTTGGGTATAATGCTAGAAGATCATTATTCATGCCAAGAATTATAAGCAGGGTAGTCCGTGAAGTGCCAAGCGTCATCGATAAATCATCAGAGATCATCCGGTGGAGGACCATAGATCTGTACCTTGTTCTGCGAGGGAGGTCAGCTACGCAACCTGAATTGAACCGGATACGACTCACCTTCTCATCCAATCTCGCGTTCCTGTAACTCGATTTGACTCCATCCCGCTTGTTCTGCGCCACCTCTGCCTGTCCCAGACCGAGCTCATCCTGAGGCAACCAAATCACTCGCTGCGGGTCTTTTGTCGCCGGATGGAAGAATGCATTGGGGTCGTTTCCGTCATCCACTTGTCGGCTGATCAGACCAGGTCCACCGGGGAGAGCAAAGTACTTTGTGCTTTCGACGGAGGCGATCGAGTCAGATGGTGAGGGGGGACGAGAGATGGGGCGCCCCGGGGAAGTGGCAAAGGCGGGAGTGGGTTCTTCGTCGGGGTGCCCGTTCTCAAGCCCTTCAGCGTTCCTCGGCATCTGGGACAGACCCCCTTCTTCACGACTCCTTCGCTCCTGCAGCTCCACTTGCTCTCCTCTTGTCATCTGCTCTTCCTCTCTCGAAATCGCCCCTGCTCCGCCCGGCTGCTGTGCAAAGTCCCTCTCCGCCAACGTTACATCATCCGACGGCCTCTCCAACACCCTTGGCGACACTCCGTACTCCCTGTCCGAAGTACTCGAAAGTGCGTTCTTCTGCCTGAACTTGTCGCCGATCTTGGTGTCGATCCTCAACTTGGACGGTATAAGGTTGGTTGCCTTGACGACACCAGCGGTGAGGGGGTCGCGAGATGTCTGGAGCTCGAGCGGGTTCTCGGGATCCTCGTTGAGAGAGTAGTTGTGGAATGCTTGGGTGCGGTCTTTGAGGCCTGGCATACCGTAACTAAGATGAGCGAGCGAAAGAGGAAGGGCGTTCCGGAGGGGCTTGTAGGATACAAAGATAGTGTAATGACTAGCAGCCTGTATACATAATCAGCCATGGCATTCAAGAAACATCGGTGGCAAAGACTTACAGTAGCCACAATGAGCACAACCATCAACGCGCCCTGAGCGATAGACGACGCATTGCCGTTTTGATTCCTCGCCAAAAAGAACAGCGCACACATGCAGACCTCTTGCACATACAGTCCAACAAAGACGTGCGTGATAGCTTTGGGGAAGAACATGCCACCGGTATCGGCTGCGGGGTCGACGTCGATGCACCAAATGAAGACGTATTTGTATACAAACACCGCAAAGATGAAGAAGCAGGCGCCAAAGCCGTTGATCACGGGGGAGATGACAGAGTATGCGATCACTAGAAACATTGGTTAGTTTGATTTACACGGAGACACGGGCTCGGACGTACCGATGACAGCGTAGACTGTGATCTTGGGGAACCATTCACCCATGTTGGCCACGTTCATCTTGTATCTTGAAGTGAACACCGAACGTGGCGTTCCTCCAGTCGCAATAACCCTCACATAGTAGAGAAACAGTTTCACTACCCTCAGAAGGGTTCCCATAGTTCCTGTAAATTGCGCCAAGATCAATGTGATGAAGAAGGTCGACGCAGTCGGCATTTGGGCCGCCAAAGTCGTGGCGACAGAGCCGGGATTGTTGGCGAATTCTTGAACGGCAGAGATCAGACCGGAAGCAAGGGTGACGACGAAGAAGGTGTGGAAGACGAGGAAAATAAAGTAACGGGTCATGAGGTTGAACTCTACTTCGCTTTTACTGGGGTGACCTTCAAATGCAGCGAGGGCTATGCGACTTTGTTAGTTTTGCGTGATCCCTCGCAAGCAGGGAAGAAACTCACCTCGTAAAACACCAATAATAATTTCCATCAAGATACCGAGCAAGATGGGCGGAAGCACACCACTGATCACACCCTGCAGGATTGTGTACCCAAATCCATCTCCATTAATCCAGGCAAGCCAATGATATTCCGTGGTCAGTGTCGTGACGTTGGACAAGACACCAATAAACGCGACTAATAAACAGTCAGACACTTGTTGGACGAAGTGCAAGTGATAGACGTACCGGGTGTAGTCCAAAGAACCATGAGACCAAAGGTGGCGCCCCAGGATATGGCGGTTCGGATGTTCTTCTCGTAAGGACCCATAGAAAGATTTCCCCAGATCACATTCTTGGGCGATTGCTCGATATACCGCGATTGCATAGCGTATCTGCATGTAAATTAGCAAAGCGCCAATCCACGCAGGAGGTGAGACTTACGGCCGGTGGTGGTCCAAACACTGTGCCGCCATATGGGCCGCAATCTGCTGATTGAAATGGATAAACGCTGAATTGAGGGGCGGATACTTGTCCTCTGCGATCCCGATCGACTCTATATCCTTCTTCAGCTGCTCCCGACTGAACTGCAACTCTTCCGTCGTCTTGACGACCTCCTCCCTCGCCCAATCGATCGCATCGACCTTTTTGCCAATACCAAGGAAGCCGAGCCCAAAGGGCGCCCACTTGGGCTTCAGCCGGGTAGTGGGGCGTTTGGAGCGGGGCACGAGTTGGTCGGCGAGACCCAGTGCTTCGACGGACGTAAACACACGGCCCTCCTCTGCATTGGCTGAGCCATTGACTTTGCCGTCTGACCCTTGCTTGAGCAATTGCGGATTCATGGGTCCCGAAAGAGTGTCGGGCACCGTCTTGTTCTTCTTTTCCATCTTTCCACTCTTCTTCTCACGCTCTTCTTTATAGGTGCGAGCGAATTTGATGAGTTTGACTTGGGATGATTCGAGCTGGTTGACGGCTTTGAGACGACGATCATGGAGGCCGGGCATCTCTTTGAGATTTCTGTGAGGGGAGTTAGGCCTGATCATCATTGTTGGTCAAGACGACATACCTGACCAGCCAGATCCTCTTCACACCACCCGGCAAGTAGGAGAAAAGACCCGCCAGCTTGTGCTCGTCCAAAAATTCTTCAGGGATACCGGTCACCAGAACAGTGTTGGCTTGCGCGAGCTTGGAGTGGGCTGGGTTGATCAGATGCTTTTGTCGGATGACCAGCCAATTTCTCATCTCTCTCCAGACATTGACAATGATCCAGACTGCTTATCATTAGTTCTCCTGTTCCGGATCATAAAACAGAGGACTCACAGACGAATATGTAGTTCAGAATCAAATGCGCCCAGTACCTGTCTTGCTTGGTCGAAGCCACATTTCCAAAAGTCAACTTGTCAAGTCCCGTCTTGTCATTGACTTGAGAATTGACAGCGTCCGCAGGAAGCAGAATCGCCCATGATAGCGCCCATATAGGTACCATAATCTTGACCATCATGATGAGGAACCGCAGATAGACATAAGGATCGACACCATTCTTCTCCAGCACTTCTTCCGGGCTCGCCTTGAGAATCTGCCATAACGGTTTCAGCGGATGTTTGCTCATGGGCTGAGCTTGGTTGTCTCTAGGCGGAATGTATGTTCTTGGCTCATAGCTGTTGGCGTGTATGATCAGCGACCACCCTGCAGCCCTGCGGCGCTTGCTCCAAACTCACATGGCCTTGATATAGCGCCTGAGGAGGATCCATGCCACCAGCTCGCCCCCTGCAATGGCAAAGTTGGTGGCGAGGGAGGTGACGAAGGAGGAGGTGGATGCGGAGGCGGCCTTGGTCGATGTGCTCGACATGGGAGGGGCACTCTAGTCCGTGATAGATGCAGAAGCACGATAGATATCCACTCGCGACGACCTTCAGGAAATCCAAAACGCGTTAAACCATCAAGCCACAAACCTGCGTACATTAAATCACGGCATTACGTCATTGGTCACTCACTACTCCGATTGTTTGGTGCCTCTCAGAATAATGTTTGGAACCGCAGTGGAAGGCGCACATGCGAGCTGATCTTGGCAGGAGTACGTATGCGGTGGAGAGCAGTCCTAGGACGGCATGCCCTTGAGACGTGCAGAGGGAGCGGGCACAACGCGCAAGCCTAGTTGCGCCCGCTGGACTCGGTGCCGCCATGAATGTACTTTTGATGTATTGATAACGTTCTCATACGTGCGGTCGACAGAAGGCTCGAACATGAGTGAGATTACTAATGATGCTGCATCAGGAAAGAAATGTGATAGTACACCGGTCATGAAAAATGCTCCTGTCCCCATTTCACTCGCTCCACCACCTGCACTCCCATCAACCTCACTTAGAGAGGGGAAGGGAGCAACATCCTCCTGGTGTCCTCAATATATTCCTTGATTCGCACTGCATCCCAAATCAGCTTTAATCATTCGCACAAGATCAAGAGACATGACGTACCAAGGAAAGTAACAGCCTCCCTGCCATCAAGCAATCGGTGGTCGTACGTGAGGGCGACGACCATGATGGGTCTGATCACGATCTGGCCGTTGACGACCACGGGCTTCTCCTTGATAGAGTGCATACCCAAAACAGCGGCCTGGGGGAGGTTGATGATGGGGGTACCGAAGAGGGAGCCAAAGACACCACCGTTAGAGATGGTGAAAGAGCCGCCAGACATGTCCTCAATGGAGAGCTTGTTGTCTCGGGCCTTCTTACCGAGCTCGGCGATAGCCTGCTCAATCTCGACGAGACCCATAGACTCGGCGTTTCGGACGACAGGGGTCACGAGACCCTTGGGGGTAGCGACAGCGACGGACAAGTCGACGTAATCTCTGTAGACGATAGAGTCGCCCTCGATGGAAGCGTTGGCGCCGGAAATCTCCTTCAAAGCGAGACAAGAAGCCTTGGCAAAGGCAGACATGAAACCGAGCTTGACGCCGTCGGCCTTGAGGACACCGTCCTTGTAGAGTTTACGGAACTCCATGAGGGAAGACATGTCGATTTCGTTAAAGGTGGTAAGGGAAGCGGCAGAGTTTTGGGAAGCCTTGAGACGCTGGGCAATGGTCTGACGCATTCGGGACATCTTGACCTGCAAAAGATGTTAGGATTGCCGTGCAGAGATACGATAGTGCTTACCCTGGTCTCGTTCCTGCTTCCAAGAGCCTTCTCGGGCTGGACCTCCTTCTTTTCCTCCTTCTTGGGCTTGGGAGCCTCCTGTTTGGGCGCAGGCTTCTCCTCCTTGCTCTGCTCAAGCTTGGGCGCCTTCTCATCGTGCTTCTTCAAGGTTTCCTCTCCGGCGTTCTTCTCCTTGTGAGACTCGGGGGCGGGGTCGTCCTTCTTGCCCTCCTGCGCATCCTTGGGCTCAGACTTGGCCTGGGGCTTGGACTCGGATGATTCTGAACCGCCCTCTCCGGGCTCAATCCTCAAGAGGTCGGCACCGACCTCGACAGTGTCTTCTTCTTCGGCGAGGAGCTCGGTGATGGTACCGGAAACGGGGGCGTTGACAGAGACGTCGATCTGTGAAACATGTTGTCAGGCCGCGTTCAAAGGCGAGGAGCGGCAAAGCCGATGCGGCAACGGCGAAAGACTCACCTTGTCAGTCTCGATGGTAGCGATTTCCTCGTCCTGCTTGACAAAGTCTCCAACGGCCTTGCTCCATTGTTTCAGAGTACCTTCTGTGATCGATTCGGCCTGCGATTGAAAAGAAACAATGTTTAGCATTAGCGACTGGTGATAGGCGGAGGGACACGTGGGCATGAACGAACCATTTGAGGGACCTTTACGGTTTCGGCTGGATTGCAGCGTCAGCTTGTGGGCTATGGAGAGTGCTCGTGGCAAGCACATGTATATACGTACCGAGACGAGTAGCAGAAGAGTGGAAGCTGGAGCGGAGGAGAAGATGCGAAGACGCAGATTTGAGCACAACGCGAGACCTGTGTAGGCACAGTCTGGGGGTGGCCCGGACTGCTGAGCGGGTGATGGCAGGGGCTGTGGCGGCGAGGCGGGAGGGTGTCCTGAGCATGGTGTGTTGCAGATGAAAGACGGTGCTGCACTCCAAAAGACGGCGCAACTTGAAGAGCGGAGCGGGCCACCTCGCCAATCACACCTCGGACAATTCGCCGCCCAAATCCGATGCCACTGCCACTTCCACCGTCATCCAACATGCCTCTGTCTGCTCTTACATAGCAACTCCAAGCATGCATAAACGCCCGACATATATCGCGCATTCTAGATATCCCACAAGAACGCCTTCAACTCATCAAGCCCATTCCCTTCCGACACATCTCCCTCCTTCCGCACCCCCAGCCCACTCGCAGCCCACTCGACCTCCACCCCCTCCACATCCTCCCACCTGAACGGCCCCTTCCCACCCCACACCAACGACTCGTCGTCTTCCTCCCCTTCCCCCTCCGCCCCGCCCCCACCCCCACCAGAACCAAAGATCCGCGCGAAAAAGCCAGTGGAAGAACCAGCCACTTTACTCATTCCTTCGATCCTGCCCCCGGTGGAAGCGCGCGTAGACTTGAGGCGGTCCATCTCGCGGGTGAGGATGGATTTAAGTCTGTCGGTGCCGGTTTTGAGAGATGTCTCGGGGATGTCGGGGGGAGAGAGGGATGTGGTGGGGGCGGGGCGGATGAGGAGATCGCTTTTGTGGGCGAGGATGAGGAGTTTTGGGGGAGGGGCGGAGGGAGGGAGGTGGGTTGAGAGAGAAGCGAGTGATGCGAGGATCGGGGGGAGTTGCCTGTTGTCTATGAGCATGATAACGAGAATGATGCAAAGAGACATACTCGGCAACGCCAGGACCATTCCTGATCACTCCCTGGATATCCACCACAAAAACCACCGCTGCCGCTTCCGCCTCGTACTTTTTCACTTCGTCTCGAAGCCTGGGGTGTCCTGGCAAGTCTACAAGCCGGACTTGTTTCGACTGGCCATCGTCCGAGAAGGGGGATGAGAGGGAGAAGGTGGAGGAGGAGGAGATGATGGAAGTGTGGGTCGGAAGGTGGGTGTTGAATGCAAGCTATAGAGATGTAAACGCTTGCTAGAGTATAGCTATGGGAACAACTCACCTTTGTAAAGAGGCTAGTCTTGCCCCCGTCTGCAGGCCCGACCAAGAGTACCGTCGCAGGTCCATTCCGCCTAGCACCCTTCTTGCCCGGTCTCAGAACTGTACACATCCCATCAGCCCCTCACTATACATCTTTCACAAGTCAGCACTTACTAGCGAATAGCAAGACAATCAACGCCAGACCGCCAGCAGCGGCAACAAACTTGGGATCTTGCAAGAGCGGATGGGCGAGGAGAGCAGAGAGGGGGGCGACTTCGGGTTGGACCTGCCCTGGAGCTGTGGGGGGTATGGGCCCATGGTCTGTTGGGGAGTTGACCTGCACCATCTTTGTTTGTTGCGGAATGTATTGAGAAAGACAGTCGCAAGAAAGATTCATGATGAACACAACGGCGGATAGTGAAGGTGTCCGGATCTCGCGCGCAACGAGAGATGGAGATGGCGACGTATCTGAACTCTGCATGCATCACAAAAGTATCCCACATCCGCCATGGCAGACGTATCGGACCCCAAGATCAGCGAAGGTGAGCCGGGTGTGAAGGGGGGTGCAGGGAGGATGGCAACTGACGCCCGGACGGCTTGTAGCGTACGAGAAGATCAGGGTTAATGGAGCTGAGGATGCTTGGTTGTTGCTCGACTATGAGGTGGGTGTTGGATAGTGTTGGTAGTATAGGCTGCTCATGCCCGTCTACTGTCTGCTCTGTAACATCATATAACGCCCTGTATCGCCTATCTCACCATCCCTCAACTCCACCGACGTGTCACCCACCTCTCTTCCCTGCCCTACCTCCCGCAGTCCGACAAGTCCTCCAAGCTCGTCCTGTCAGCTACCGGAACCGGCGACCTCTCTGAACTCGCATCCCATCTGAAACCCGAGAACGCTTCATTTGCCTATGTCAAAGTGCGCTATGTCAATGACGAGCACTCTTTCCGGGAGAAGTTTACTTTGATCACTTGGATTGGGGAGGATGTCAAGGTCATGCGAAGGGCTAGGGTGAGTGTTTTGTGACTCGAGGAGCAGGGAGATAGAGGGGAAACAGAAAAGATCTAGGAGGGGGACCCTGGACAAGATCAGTGCTGACACCCGAGCAGGTCTCTGTGCACGCTGCCGACGTCAAGAAGGTCCTCCGCGCATACTCTATCGAAGTCTCAGCCTCCACCAAGGCCGATCTCGATCAGGTCGGTTCATCCATATCCCATTGACGATGGTGCTGAAACGAATGATACAGGACGAGATTGTGACGCGTCTAAGGCGCGCCGGGGGAGCCAACTATGACCGATCCAAGTTTGACTAGATGTTGTAGAGAGGATATTGTTGGATGCAACTATAGAACTGTAAAGTATTGTCAGGCGGTGATGTCCGATGCGGTCCCTTTGCTTCTCTCGCTCAGCTCTCTGCACAACAAAGGTATACCCCGGGACGTCGACTGAAGCACGGCGAGAGAAAGATAGAGGTGAGTGGCGCTCCTAGAGAAGCTTGGGCTGATGGGTGTATAGAGCATTGCAGGACCCTGACAAACAAAGGAAACTCAATGCCCCCCGTCCTGACTCCCCGCGGCGGCGGCGGTCAACCATTCAGCTATGCTGCTGCTCCCCCTCTTCCCAACTATGCCGACTTGGCCGCGAGACAGGCAAGGATGGAGACATTCCAAAAGGCGCGCTCGTCCCATTCCATCGTCTACAATGCATGCTGACAATGATACAGGTCAAGCCGATCTGCGTGTCTCTAATGTCCATGGCGTCGGAACACCCCACACTTTACTCGCAGCACCACAAAGTTATAGACCAGCTCTACACTACCATCACCACTGTCCCCCAATCCACACTGGATCCTGCAGTGATCAACTACATCCTCTTCCCCCTCACCACCGTCATCCGCCAGTCCAACCCTACCACCCTGCCCGACGCATTCCTCGAAGCCTCCTTCGGGCTTCTAGCGCACCTCGTGGGAGCGTGGAGAAAGACGGAAGCTGGGATGGATATGGCTGGGTGGGAACAGCTTTGGAAGTTTGGAGTGGCTGCTGTGGGGCCGAGGGTGGTGAAGCGGGAGGGGGAGAAGGGGAAAGGGAAGGAAGTGGGACAGGAAGTGCAGGTGCAAGCTATCAAGCTTCTCTCGGCTCTTTTATCCCCCTCGGATTTACCCAAATATCCTACGGCAGACATGCTGGACAAGGTATCGTCGCCGCAATCCATGCTTCCTACTCTCTTCCAGACAATCACTCTCTTGCTCGAAACCTCCCAACCGTCTCCACCCTACCACGCCCTTCAACTCTCTTCTCTCGTCCTCCTGCGCTCTCTACTTTCCCACTACTTTCCGAACAATCATCAAGTTCTCGCAGCCGTCCTTCCGGGCACAGTGAGCGCCATGGCAAAGATCATCAATGAGGGAGGTAAGGGCCTTAAAGGGGAGGTGGCGAGGGAATGCGCGAGGATTGTGGAGGGAGTAGTTTCGGGGACTCTGGCGGATGAAGATCTCGTACGGCTCGGTGTATTGAGGGCAAAAGCCGAGGACCTGAGTGGCCTGGCCGAGCAGTGGGAAGAAGAATCGACCGTACCAGCTTCGCCCGCATCAGCACCTTCAACATCTCCCTCAGCCCGGCCCGACCCATTCCCGCCTCTTACACCGGCATATCTCTCATTCACTTCCTCCCAGCTAGTCACTGCTATATCTCCTATCCTGTCAATCTTGATTCCTCATCCGTCAGACGACGCGAGACACGGAGCTATATCCCTAGCTTCAACGTTGATCGAGAAATGTTCAGAGAGCCTGCCTCTCCTGCGGCCGCGGTCTCTGACTACCCTCTTGCTCTTGTCGCAAGATACATTCGACCCTGTACGGCATGATGCTCGTCGGAGATTGCGTTCCCTCCTCCCCACAGAAAGCCTGCAACTTTCGCCGGTATTGCTCGACCTTCTAAACGAAGCCATCAACGCCATGCCCCGCTTGGTCTCTTCGCATCAAGATATCAAAGTTGACGAGCTCGCCAGACTCATCACCGCCATCGCCGAGTCTTCCTCCCCTCTCGCCTTCTCGTCCAAAGGCAATGCGATTGCACAACTCCTCGGTCCTGATGGGAACGTGGAGAGGTGGGGTTGGTCTTTGTTGAGTTGTTTCGAGTTTGGGAAGCCTGCAGGATGGGCAGAAGGCAAAGGCGGGCCAGAGAGGACTTCCAGGCTTGGATGGGAAGGCGGTCTTGGTGGTCAGACCGGGCTGCTACTGGACAACGGTACGGAGAAGGATCAGACTTCGGAAGAAGCACCCTTGAGCAAATATCCATCTCTCCCTCTTCGGCACGTCGAGTCGGAAGAGACGACACGCAAGCTTCGTGCTATGCTTTCTGCCCTAGGATCGACAGGCGGAGAAGCAGCTCTGCATTCGGTAGAGTATTTTATGCTGTTTGCAAAGTCCAATAAGGGCAGGCATGTGGCAAAGAGTGTCTCTGCTATGTGGGTTGCTGAAGCCCTCGTGCAGGGTATTCAGCAGGCGCAGATGGAAGGTGTGGAGGGAAAAGTTAGCAGGGGAGTCAGAAAGATGGCCAAGGAGATGGCCAAGGTGCTTGTCGCTCTGGACGAAGATGGCGAGGAGGAAGAAGGGGAAGATCCGGCATACGGGAAAGCAGAAGAGACAGGATTGGTGCCGATCGAGAGGACGAGTGGCGTCAATGCGTTAACGACTATTCTGGATAAGAATCCTCTGCCAAACTCGTACACGGCGGAGGAGACGAGAAAGCTGCAAGTGCAGGCGCAAAAGACGCTGCTCACGGCGCTTTCGCTGCAAGGGTTCTCGGTCTCTGCTGGAATACTGTCTTCGTCGTTCCGCCCTCTCCTTCTTACGACACTCTACATCGTATTGTCGCATCTCGCCTCGCCACAGCCTATCGTACAGAGCTACGCATCCACAACCTTGACCCACATTGCCCACTACACCAATTACTCTTCCCCTTCCGACCTCATCCTCGACAACGTCGACTATGTAATCAACGTCGTCACACAACGCCTCACATACAAGCGACTTTCACCATCCGCGCCTCTCGTGCTGATAGCCATGATCCGTCTGGTCGGCGCACCGATCGTGCCGCTCGTCCAAGACGTTGTGGATGAGGTATTTGATGCTTTGGACGAGTATCATGGGTATGAGACAATGACCAGCGGGCTGTTAGCTGTACTTGTGGTGCTGGTGGAAGTCATGGGCAGGGAGGTGCAGGCGGAGGGTGTGTCTGAAGAGCGGAAGAAGAAGGTGGAAGAGTTAAAGAGAATAGAAAAGGCGCCAAATGTCGAAGAAGACTTGAGGCAGTTTGGAAAGTGGTGGGATGGGAGACAAGAGCTGCGTGCGCAAGAAGTAGAAGAGCTCTTGGAGCGAGCACCTCAGCATGCTTGGGGGAAGAAGGATATCCCAGGTATGGAGGAAGAACCCGGGGCCGACCAAGATACTCCCATGCCCGACGCCGAAGAGGCCCCGCCTACCAGGACTCAACAGGTAGCCACCCGCATTCTGTCCAAGTCCCTCCACTTCCTTACACATCGCTCTCCCTTCCTCCGATCCAAAGTACTCTCTCTCGTGGCCAACGCCATCCCCGTCCTCGCTCTCGGCAATCGCGAGTCGGACCTGCTGCCTTTGATTCACGATTCATGGGGTACGATCTTGAATCGATTGGACGATGGGGAGGCATATGTGGTGGTGGAAGCTGCTAGTGTGATTGCTGCGTTGTGCGAGCACGCGGGAGACTTTATGAGCAAGAAGGTGCTGGACCATGCGTGGCCGAGGCTGCTCAAGGTGATGGATAGCCGCAAAGAGCTCGACAAGAAATCTGCGCTGGCGAAGCGAGGTGTAGTGGGGACGGAAAGTTCGCATACTGTCTCACACCGTCTGCACCTTGCAATCCTTCGAGTGGCTACCTTCATTGCCCGTGAAGTGCCTGTGAACGAAGGGGTGCTGTGGGAGATGATGGTCAAGTCTAGAGTATTTATCGATGGGAGGGTGAATGAGGAACTGCAGGTGAAGGGGATGGGATTGTTTGAAGAGCTCAGAGAGAGAGATGGGGATGCCCTTTGGGTCGTGCTTAAGGCTACTATGGGCGAGGACGAGTCGGGGACGTGGAGGTATCTGAAGGATGGGCTCGATATCGAAGGCAACGGGAGGAAGCTGCTGGAAGCATTATAATACAACAATTGCACAAACATCATGCATCACGATCACAACAACACCTAAAATGAATGACTGGAACCCCTCTGATAGATCTAGCGCAACACAAGCCCCTAATGATCAGACAGCCTCGGGCATGGAGAGCTGCCGAAGGATCACGCCTCCTTCCTTGAGGACCATGGCGGAGGCTTCGTCCATACTGTAGCTTTGGTTGTAGACTACTTCGCGAACACCACATTGTACAATCTTGACTGAACATCGAAGACAGGGACATCTGTGGCACATATCAGCATGCGACCTTTGTGAAAGCAATGCGACTTACGTGTTGCAGTAGATGACAGAGTCGTCTCCGATACGATCCCTTCCAGCTTCCAACAGCGCATTCTCTTCTGCGTGTAGACACAGACACTCGTTCACTAGCGTTCGATATCAGCTCAGATCCACGTGGGAATGAGAAAGGCTTACATGCCTCGCCGCCTCGGGCACTTCCATTACACCTTGAGCAGCCTCCTTGGTTGCAATTCCTCACTCCTCTAGGTGTACCGTTGTATCCAGTGGACAGGATGCGCTTGGAGCGGACAAGAAGGGCTCCTACTCGGCGCTTCATACAATTGGATCGGTGGGAAGCGAGTGAGGCAAGAGTCTGGAACCAGATCAGTTGACAGGTAACAAAAGTCTCCGGAAAAGACGAACCATGAAGTACGTATCCCACCCAGGCCTCAAGCGGCCCTCATCCAAGAGGTCCAGTCGATCCAGATACCAGTGGAGTGCGGAGATGTCGGCGAAATTGTTGTTGACTTGGATATGAGCCAAGTCAAGGACTCGCCGGAAATCGGACTGGAGCTGCATGTGCGCCAGGGTAGGGAGGCTGGATGTTTGGGGGGGAGGTCCATGAAGAAGAGCGTCATGGTCGGTCATAAACTTTTCCAGGGAAAGGGTCTGCTTCAAGGATTCCGCTCTGTCTTTAGTCAGCACTTGACAGACAAATGTCTCTGTCGACCCACCTCGCCCTTTCACGTTCATATCTAACGATCAACGGCCCGTCGACACTGACAAGCAAAAAGAAGGGCCGTTTGACAAAGGGCTCAACGTCGTCGAAAGAGGTCAAGTCGGTCGTCACAAAGTGCGAAAGCCAATTGTGGGTCACAAAATCCAAAAGGTCATTGGCGTTCGCATAGGTGTGTGCCGCAGCGACCTAAGGCCGTGGTCAGAGCTGCGACTCGGGCCACTTTCACAACATACCTGGCCATCACCATTGACATCAATCTTTGCAATTCTCCCGCTAATGTCTTCTTCCTTCTTGGTTTTATGATCAGTCACCTGGGAGTATTGCAGAACAGGTCACTCACAGGCTGATCTTTCGCGAACCTCAGACGCTGGAAACCGTATTTCTTTTCCAGATACTGTAGCACCACTTTCTTTCCTGCTGAAGGCGTCCCGATGATTGCGATGAACATTGCGATTTGCGTATACGGGGCAAAAGACAGAATCGATCACCATCAGCGAGGAATTCGCATTGACTTTCGGACGCAGTTCGGACTCGACGCGACGCGTAAACGGGATCAAATACTGCAGCTTCGTCGAGTGTTTGTTTGGTTCCCATGCTGCTTTTCGACATCCTCGGGAAGCATGTTGAGCACGCCAAGAATTATCGAAGACAACAATCCGATTGCAATAGTATAAAGATTTGGCAAAGTCAAGCAGATCACAATGCCCAACACCCTGCGCGCGCGAGAACGAGGAGGGACTGACGGGGAAAAGCTGATTGTTGACATTTAGGGGCAGCTACAAGTGGAGACACGGCTTGGAGCACAGTGGAGAGATTGAAGTGGTGGAATACTAGTAAGGTATGCAAAGTTCTGTAGTGCACGTAAGGGTGTATTGGAATCAGCTCCCTGCGAATCCCCAAGCTGGCGGCCTCTCATCAGCCGTCAACATCTTCCATATCCTATTAGGCCTGTCATGTGCCCTCCCCCTTTGCGTTTTTTTTTTTTTTGCCACCAGCATCTTACATGATCTTAGCCGCATTGTCATACATGCAACGAGTGGGCAGCTCAAGACTACTGAACCGACCCGTCCTGAGACACATCGTCTACCTACTCGTCGTCGTGCTTTCTTCTTCCATCTCCTTTCCAGCAAAGGTCTTCGATGGTGGCTGGTACGCGAATGTGAGCTACACGATATCGAATCCTCATAATCCCCGCCATAAGCCCCAAAGAGGGGTCCTTACAGTGCAAATGGTCCTCACTTCTTTCACCCCCAGCGGTAGCTCTGGATCATGCGGAGACACGATATTTTCTGATGATCGGAATGGGATGATGAAGTTGACAGCTGTGGTTAAGGTATGAACTTTGTTGAGGTTGGGGTCTTGAAAAGATCGAAGCCAGAGCTCAGCGGATCCTATCAATCCATGATCAGTTATCAGCCTGACGGTATTTGACATCGACTCACTCGCGAAGCTACACCAAACAATTGAGGCTCGAGGCGATACCACGGTGCCTCTATCTGCAGATAATCCTCTCTTGGAGACTCAACTGTTTGCCTCTTATCCTTCTTTCAATAGGGATAACCCTGGGAGGCTCGAAAGGGGGAATGGATCCGACATGGGGAGACCGAACGAGGAACATCATCCAGTAAGACAGCAGGCCTCGCTCGTGGAAAGTAGAGCCACTTTTGCCCTGATTATGAAGGTAGAGAGTACTTCGCCCCTCGAGACTCCTGATTGGGATTAAAGTACGATTCGAGATGTTCCTGGCAATCAACAGCGGACCAGTGGGACACGACGTTGTCAAGATTACTGTCGACCGGGTCATGAGGGAAGGCGCTGAAAGTTGAGAAATGGGTCAAATCAGTCTGTACTGATCGACGCCTAGATCTGAGAATGTTAGATAGTCCTGAGTCAGTAGGAGGTTCGGAGACGATGGAACAAACGGGTGACAAGCAGACGTACCTGGTCATCATGGCGCTCGCGCAAGCCACCCAGGACTTGCTCCACTCGGGCAGTTTCCATGTCACGGTTGTCGATTGGGGAGTTCATGCATGATGGAAATGGGTCGAATAATAGCTCCTATGAATGCATGGAGCTGTATGAGACACCCGTGAGCCTTGATCAGGTCACGGCTAAACGCGATCAAGGACATTCCTATGCTAAAAGTCAGCTCGGTTGTTTCCCCGCACGCTCAAAGACGTGATCCCTCGATGCTCCCTCTGTCAATTTCTACGTCTTCATACTATCAATTTCTCGCCCCAGTGCCCTCCCCCCCCCCCCCAACAATCCATCGGTAACGGAAAGGATCAGATGGTTGGTGTTTACTTGCTCTGCCCTAAATTTGTCTCGGCGTACATTCCTAGGATGGCCAGCTATAGAGATACATCTACAACACTACGAGAAGGCAGAGTACTCTATGACATTACTCTTTCGAGTTCTATTCCCACTCTCCTGTCTTCATCAACTGCGCAAACACGCCGCCTCTCCTCACAAGATCCTCGAACGTCCCCTCCTCCTCCACTCGCCCTTCACCCAGACATATGATACGGTCGCAGCGCTGCATTGCCTCAACCGAGTGCGTGATAAACACCGTGGTACGATGCTGAAGCAAGTCAGCTCAAGTCCGCACTCAAAGATAGAATTGCACTCACAGCCTTGATCTTTACGATCGTATCCAGCACCGCCTTCGCATTGTCAGAGTCGAGCGCGCTTGTGCACTCGTCAAGAATCAAGATTCTACTCGTCCTGCACAAAGCCCTGGCAATCTGGAGCCTCTGCGCCTGTCCACCCGAAATCAAGCTCGCGTTCTCGCCCAAATTGGTGTCATAACCCTGAGGCAAGCTCTGGATGAAGTCGTGGATGTTGGCTGCTTGGGCGGCTCGGTAGATCTCAGACAACGGAAGATTGGGTGTACCGTAAGCAATGTTTTCGGCAATGGAAGCGTCGAAAAGATTGGCGGATTGAGATACCACGGCGATGTGGTTACGGAGCCACACAGCATCCGTTTGTTTGAGGTTGTAGTTTCCGATACGGATCTCGCCCGCGTCCACCATGTACAGCCTCTGCATCAGAGCAGCAATGGTAGATTTGCCGGAGCCGGAAGGACCGACAATGGCGACACACTCTCCAGGAGTGAGGGTGAAAGAGACATCGGTAAGGATAGGGACCTCTGGGCGAGACGGGTACGAAAAGGCGACGTGGTTGAAGGCGATGTGGCCGTTGATGGGCATGCGAAGTTCGCCTTCGGATTCTGTAGTTTGTTCGCCGAGGAAGAGAAGGCGGTTAAAGTCTCGAGCCGCGACACGGGCCTTGGCCATCATTGGAACTGAAGAACAGGTCAGCTTGCACATCTTGTGGCTGGAGTGAGCTTACTAAAGTCCAAAAGGCCAGCGCCAAAAGTCAAACTGAAGAGCACAAGGTTGTAGACCTGGAGCATCTCCTCGTAATTCATCCTGCCTTGGATCATGAACTCGGAACCAGCAAAATTCATGACGGCTGTAGTAAGATTAGCGTCTAATCGCAGCAGACAATGTAAGACTCACCTTGCGCAAAGAGAGGCAGACAGCCACCGATAGCTCCACCGATGGCCATGTTCCAAGCAGAACGCTTTCCGATCGACTTGGCTGCCTTGGCACCGGTCGCGAACCTGTCTTCGAAGGCACCTTCAAGAGCCATGGCGCGGATACCTCGTACGTTTGCAACACTCTACAGAAGACATCAGCAACGTGGTAGGACCAGATGCAAGTTACTCACCTCGTAAAATACCCTCCCAACATCTTCCCTAGCCGCCTTACAAGCGACCTCGACGTTTCCCAGCATCCATGAGTTGAGGGCCATACATCCACCAAAGATGGGTCCAAGCGCCAACCCGATCAACGTCAATCGCCACTCGACAGCCATTGCCCAAAAGATCCCCAAGCCGAGCATGGTGATCACAGTGACGGCTTTACCGATGACATGACTCATAAGGGTACGGGCATCATCGGCGTCCTTGATGAGAAGTTGGACAAGGCGAGAGGGAGCGTTGGGGGAAAGATCGAAAAAGGCCTTGTCTTGCTTGATGAGCTTGTGATAAGCTTGGCCTCGGACCATGTGAGACCATTGCGCAGAAAGGTTGACGAGCGAGTATTCTTGGACGCAATTGCATAAACCTTGGCAAGCGCAAAGAGCAAGGACGACGAGGCCGTACTTTGTAAGTGCGCCGACGTCAGCACCACCAGCACCAACGATGGTCATGAGCTTTGCAAGAAAGTATGACCAGACTGGGGTGGTAGCACCGTGGCCGATAGACCCAAGACAGCCAAAGAAGAGGAGGTACTTGTGGGGAAGAGTGGGAAAGTAGAGTTTGATGAGGGCAAAAGTACCGGGGATGGGTTTCGGTCCTTCAGACTCGACCTCAATAGCGGTATGAGGGTTGTCGAGCTCAGAGACAGAATCCTTCAAGTCATCTTCCAAGTTCTCCGACAACGTCTTCTTCTGCCTCTCCCTCAAACTGATCTGTCCCGGAGAACTCTTCTCAGTCCAGCCAGCATGCAACATACCGCTACTAGGAAGCTCAAGGCTTCTTTGGGATCGGTTGCCCTGCCGAGGGGTAGAGTCAGGATCAGCCATCATCGTCTTCAAGCTCATCCTGGAAGAAGGCCTCGGGCTGACATCCATTCTGCTCGCCGGTCTGCTATTGCGACTGACAGGCCTGCTGCCTCCAGACGCCCCAAAAGCCTGCCTGCTCTGCGTCCTGCCATGCTGCTCGGGCGTCCAAGAAAGGCGTTTCTGGGCAGTACTCTGCCGAGAGCGGGGGCGGTCGAGGTGGGAGAGACGCTGACCACGCGAGTACTCGTCGTACATGTCGTTGTAGACGCCGCTGTTGCGGTTCAGCAGCTTGCTGAAAGCAGGCGTTGCCGACCTGACGTCCAACACCTCCTCAGAGTCCTCTTCCATGTCCAAGAGGTTTTCCAGGTTCTCTCGCCACTGCTCGTCTCCCTCGTCCTTGGCGGGGAAGGGGGTGATAGCTTGCTCGGCGGCGATATTCGCAAATACACCTCCAGTTTTCTTGACGAGGTCCAGCCGGAAGCCTTGTTCGGCGACGATACCATCCTTCATCACATAGACAAAGTCGTCGGAGACGATCTGAGAGAGGTCGTGTGTGATGACGATAGTGGTACGGTTGTTGCGCCAGGCTTTGAGATTCTGGAAGACGAGGACTCGGGAAGTAGCGTCGAGGGCAGAAGTCGCTTCGTCTGTAGAGTTGTTAGCATTGCCCCCCTGAACGAAACTGTGACTTACCAAGAATCAGTACAGTCGGATCCCTGATCCTCGCCCGCGCAATAGCCATCCTCTGCCTCTGCCCTCCGCTTAGACTCGAACCACCCGTACCCAACTTGGTCTCGTACCCTTCCGGCAAGCCCACCACAAAGTCATGGATCATCGCCATCTTGCACGCGTCCACAACCTCTTCTCTCGTCACATCTTTCGGTGACCGCTTGATACCCGTCTTGGGGTCGGGACCGCTGCCGGCAAGGCCCATAGCGACATTGTCGTGGACCGACATGTCAAAGAGGATACAACCTTGTTGGACGGCCGCAATATTCTCGCGAGTGAAGGAAGCGTCGAGAAAGTCGAACGAGTTGTCGTCCAATGTGATCTCTCCGGTGAGAGGGTTGTAAAGTCGTAGCAAAAGCTGCGCAATAGTCGACTTGCCCGAACCAGACCCGCCGACGACAAAGGTAGTCTCGCCAGGAGGGATGAAGAGGGAAACATCGCGGAGGACGAGATTGTCGGGTCGGGAGGGGTACGAAAATGAGACGTGGGTAAAGTTAAACTCGCCATGGCACTTGTTCGGACGGAGCCCCTCAAAGGTGGGGCTTCCCTTGACCTTGGGCTGTTTGGCAATGTTGAAATTGGCGGTAGTGGGTGTCGAGCCAGGGGAGAAGGGGTTGCCAGATACAGGCCTGACTGGCTCGTCTTGGATGACGGTCAAGAGAGAAGCCATCGAGTTTTTGCCCTTGGTCAACGTCGTCAAGTGGGGAATCACTTGCTGCAGGTAGGTGGCAGCAAAGAGACAAGCCCAGAAGCAGGTCATCACATCACCCGACGTGGCACTCCCATTCCTGATGAGCTGTGCGCCATACCAGAACCCAAGCACAAATGTACCCAGGAGGAAAAAGTCGGTGACGCCGATAGAGATACCCCAGACCAGACCCTGCTTGATCATGGTCCCCATCCCGCGCCCGATGAGTGTGAGGAAACGGGTTTCCTCGGCTGACTGAGCATTATGCACTTTGACAGTGGAGATGGCGCCGGTGGCTCGCTCAATGTTGGTTGATGCCTCGGCCAAGACGCGTCGTTCGGTGGCCAGCAAGGGCGCGCAGGTGACTTGCGTGATGATCTGGGTGAGGACGATGAGGGGGATGGTGGAGAGGGTGACGAATGCGAGTTTGGGGGAGTAGACGACGGCGAGGATGAAGCAGAGGAGGAATGTGAACGAGTCCTGGACGACGAGGCCGAAGGAAAGGGATGTGGCGAGGCGGACATCGTCAGTCTCTCTGTGGTTGACGTCAGCTAGTGAACACTCGCGCAAAGTTGACTGACCTGTTGAATTTGGTCATCAACCCTCCCGCTCCTACCGCATCGTTCTCTTTCCCCTCCCCCTGTTCTTCCTCCCGCATCCCCATCCCCATGTCATACCACTTCATACTTTTGTCCTGCACCCCCTTGAACACCTTTTCTCGCAATCGGTTGGCGACCGTCTCGCCGTACAGCGTCCACACAATGCCCTTGCAGTAGTCGAGCACGAGCGCGAGCACACCAGCAATGGTGAGCTTGATGCACGTATCTCTCACACCGTCTTTCAGCGTCTGCTTGTCCGTCTCCGTCACCGCCGACATGACCATGGGATAGGTAGCAAAGATCTCGAAAGCATCGCCAATGACCACCGACATGTACGGCTGGATGAGCGCGGCGACGATGGAGAGGGCGACACCGGGGACAAAGACAAAGAGATAGTCTCGCCATGTGGTAAAGGTAAACAGGCGGCGGAACCTGGGTCGGACGGCCTCAGGGAGAAGCGAATAGCGGCTGGATGTGGGAGAGGAAGGGGTAGGCAGGCCGGGGTAGTCGTATGTGGGGATGGACTGGGGTTCAGCAGGATAGAGTGATCTGCGCCAATCGGTGGGAGGTCTGCTGACTTGGTCGAGCATAGGACCGAACGACATGGGTTGTCCTCGCTCATCCGTCCCCGGCGGGGAAAGGCTGGCAAACTTGTACCCCGGCATCGTTCTTTGCCTACCAGATTCAAACTCGAATAGGTCTTCTCGCTCGCTCATAACGGAGTGCCGGTCGTGGAAGGGTGATTCGTCTTGTGTTTCGACGCTGGGAGGGAGCTGGCGAGGTGTGAGGGCTACGAGCTCGACCTCGTCCGAATTTCGAAGCGTGTTGTGGATATTTGGGTAGGTCGACGGCGGGGACGAGTAGTAGAGGCCCGAGGACGGGGATAAGGGGAGGGAAGTGCCAGCCGCTCTACGCAGTGTCGACGAGGGACTCGATGGTGACTGGGGGTACTCGTGAGACGACTGCCTGGGCGTTGAAGGAAGTCTGCCAGGGGGCGATGTGGGAGTTACAAGACTTCGTACAGGGGGATAGGGAAAGTCGGGGACATCGCTCGTTCGTGGTATACGAGGCGTGCGAGGCGTTCGAGGAGTTGGCGAAGAGGGGGATGAAGTGTGTGTGGCGGTCATCTTGAAAGTTTGGTGTACCCCTGGGTGTATGGTGATCTGTAGAAGGCACGGAGCGTAGAAGAGGTGGTTCAACTAGACAGAGTGGTGACTGTCGAAGGGCAATGTAAGCCTGGCGAGTTTGTGTTGGTGATAATGATTGAAGAGATGATGAGTAAGTCGAGAAAGAAGTGGATGCTCGATGACGGCGAGCTGACGAGTGAACAAAACGTACAAGTACATGATATGAAACGGCTCCCTGCGCTGCTCTGCCTCGCCCGTCCGCGCAGGCGATAATCAGGGCGTAGTGCGGGTAGTGCGCTGTCTGCCATTGTTCTCAGCAAAAAAACGTGGGCTGATGTGGAGAACAATAGGCAAAAAAGACTGCCCTGAAGGGAAAGAGAACAATAAGAATACAGCCAGGCACCATCTAGGTACATCTTCGGTGACCGCCGCCGCCACGTGATGTCGAATGCCTTGCTCCTGCATTTCGGGACACAGCCGGGCCCAAGCCGGGCCATGGGGCCCGCCGGATGAGCCGGACCGCACGGCATTGGCACGGCAAGTGAAGGCAAGATGTGAGTGTGACTTGTATATAGCCCCCAGTCCACGATTGGGTTGTATCCCCAGCCACCATGTCCCTGAAGATCACAAACTACTCTGTCCACGGTGAGTCTATCCAGTCCATATGAGCACTGCTGACCCGCTTCAGACGTCCGCTACCCCACCGTGAGCCATCTACACCTGCCCTCTGACTGTCCTCTAACAATGTCCAGAACGTAACCGGCGATGGCACAGATGCCATGAACAAGGAATGCGACTACTCGGCCGCTTACATCGTCCTCGAGACTGGCACCGACCTCAAGGGCCAGGGTATGACCTTCAGTACGTCCCCGCTTGCTTGTTGTGCATTGCTGACCCGAAGTAGCTATTGGTCGAGGCAACGAGATTGTTTGCTTTGCTATGGAGCAGGTAGCCAAGCGTATCGTCGGCCTTGAGCTCGAACCTATCTTTGCTGATATGGGCAAATTCTGGGACTTTCGTATGTCCCGCCATCTCTTCTCTTTCTATTACTGACACGCTCCAGTCGTTGCGGACCCCCAGCACCGATGGCTCGGGCCTGAAAAGGGTGTCATACACCTCGCGACCGCTGCCATCTCCAACGCCGTCTGGGACCTCTATGCAAAGCACGCACAGAAGCCGCTTTGGAAGCTCATCGTCGACTTTACTCCTGAAGAGTTTGTCAAGTCGACTTCTTTCCGGTACATTACCGATGCTCTCACTCGCGAAGAAGCTCTCGCTATCTTGAAAAAGAAGGAGGCGGGCAAGGCAAGTAGGGAGAAGGAAGTACTCGAAAGAGGATATCCAGCGTACACGACTTCGGTCGGATGGCTTGGGTACTCAGACGAGAAGGTCAGGAGGCTGACAAAGGAGAGCTTGAACCAGGGCTTCAACCATTTCAAGGTACGTCCCCATCTCCACCTTTGGACTGAAACTGACTAGTATGCAGCTCAAGGTTGGTGCGGATGCCGAGGACGACCTGCGTCGTGGCAGGCTCATCAGGTCCATCATTGACGACCCCGCCAATATCCCCAAGGACCGCAAGCCCATCTCGCCCGAGTCTATCGCCGGCAAGAATGCTGGTCCCACCGGCTGTGTCTTGATGGTCGACGCCAACCGTATGTCTGCCTTCCTGCCCTGAGTGCCGCGCTGATGCAGATGTGTAGAGGTTTGGGACGTCCCACAGGCTATCGAGTATATGAAGAAGCTCGAGCCGCTCAAACCTTGGTTCATCGAAGAGCCTACAGCTCCCGATGATGTCGTCGGCCACGCTGCTATCCGCAAGGCCTTGAAGGAAGTCAACATTGGCGTTGCTACCGGTGAACACGCTCACAACCGTGTAAGTATCCCCCACTTTTCTCTACCCAAACGCTAACTCGCATGTAGATGATCTTCAAGCAGCTCCTTCAGCTCGACGCTATAGACGTCTGCCAAATCGACTCTTGCCGTCTCGGCGGTGTCAACGAGATCCTCTCGGTCCTTTTGCTTTCCGCCAAATTTGGCGTACCCGTCTGTCCTCATGCTGGCGGAGTGGGTTTGTGCGAGTATGTCATCCATCTCAGTCTTATCGACTACATCTGCGTCTCGGGCGATATGGAGCGAAACGTGCTCGAGTTTGTCGAGTAAGTCTTCTTTCTTTTGTCTCTTACATCATCCTAACAGCTTGCAGCCATTTGCACGAGCACTTCCTCTACCCCGTCTCCATCAATGAAGAGGGGCGATACAACATCCCGCTGGACCCCAAGGGCGGGTACTCTATCGAAATGTATGAAAAGTCCATCGAGGACTATGCCTTCCCTGGAGGCGCTTATTGGGCTGCCGTGGCACGTGGGGAGAACCCAGAGGTTAAGCACTAGGCTATGTATAAGCGTGTAGATTTACTCTAGAACTTGAATGTATATGTGATGTTTGCATCTTGCTCTGGGACCATCACCCAACCCTTCCCAGGACTCAGGAGCAGCATGATTGGAGCGGCGCCCCCCGCCACGGTAACGCCATCTCTCCAGTGACGCTGGTTGATTCTGTATCATTCCATTTATCCCTTCTCTCTCTTCCCGTCAGATAATATCCCCCCGCCATGTCCGACGCCGCCTCCTCCTCTGCCGGAGACATCAACATGTACGCTGCCCCCCGTCTCGAGCAACCTCGTTGCCGTTGGAGCTGACGTATGTTCTAGTACCGTCAAGGGCCCTTCCGAGCTCAAGCTCGCTCTTACTATCAGCCCCAGCAAGACTGTCGCAGACCTCAAGGAACTCATTGCCTCCCAGAGCGATGCCGAGAAAGACAGGCAACGACTCATCTTCTCTGGTACGTCCTGCCTCCTTCCCGGATTTGGATACCCCTGACTAATCCGTGGTTCTAGGCAAAGTACTGAAGGATGAAGAGACGATTGCCAGCTACAAGATCCAGAACAACAATACTATTCATATGGTCAAAGGAGCCGCCAAGCCTGCTGCTGGGTCGTCTTCGGCGGCGCCTCAGCCTTTGCCGACGATGGGCACGGGGTTACAACCGGGGTCGAACCCTATTGACAGCGTGGAGAACATCCATCATGTGAGTCTCTTCCCGGCGGGATTGGAACGGGTTGCTGATGTGAAAGTAGGGTTTGGCAGGATTCAACCCCTTTGCCGGTGTGCAAGGTATCAACAATCTCAACGACCCCAATGCTGTGTGTACCCTCACACGTTCTAAATCCTCGACTGACGTCTCTGTAGATGGCGGGTATGATGAACAGCCCCGAATTCCTCAGAAGCATGTCCGACATGATGTCCAACCCACAAGTCGTAGAACAGATCATCGCCTCCAACCCCCAACTCGCCTCTATGGGTCCGCAAATACGTCAGATGATGGCGTCGCCCATGTTTAGACAGATGATGTCCAACCCCGAGACGCTTCGCATGGTACGTTCAAAATTACTCTTGTGAAGCGCGGAAGCGATGGCTGATGGAAGGTATAGATGATGCAAATGCAAGCTGGTGGCGGAGGCGGAGGACTTGGTGGACTTGGTGGGCTCGGGGGAGGGATGTTTGGAGGCGGTGCTGGAGCGGGTGCGGGTGCTGGAGCCGGAGCAGGAGCAGGACAAACAGGCGAAGAAGCCGCTGCCGCCGACCCTTTCCCCAACCTTTTTGCTCCGGGCGCAGGTGCCGCCCGTGAAGGAGAACAAGCTCCTGGGGCTGGAGCGGGCGGATTCCCTCCTGGTCTTGCTGCCCTCCTCGGTATGCCCGGAGGTGGCGCCGGGACTGCTGCTGGGCAAGGAGCAGGCGCGGGTGCGGGAGGAAACCCATTCGGCGGGTTTGACCCTGCTGCTCTCTTTGGTGCTGGAGGTGCTGGGGGCGGGTTTGGGGGAGGCTCACCATGGGGTGCCCCTCCTGCTCCTCGAGATGAGAGGCCGGCGGAAGAGATTTATGCTACGCAATTGGGACAGTTGAACGCTATGGTGCGCTTCTTGCTTTTCTTTACTGAGCAATCGCTGATGTGGATCGCAGGGCCTGTGGGATGCGCAGAAGAACATCAGAGCGCTGAGGAGGACAGGAGGCAATGTAGAAGCTGCCATCGAGCTCATTTTCAGCGGACAGGCTGATCAATAAGAAGAAGATATGTGCCTTGGTTGTTTACGTTGTACGGAGTCTTCGTTGTTTCTGTCTCCTTTTTTTTATCATCAGCTGAGGATTGGGGCATGTATATGAACACATTACTACAACTTGCATGTGTTTGGCAAACAGCGGTGCAATGATAAAGTAGAGGTGAATAGTTGCAGACCACGTGACCTGTACGTCATCGCCGCCGCTCTCGCTGTCTCTGCGAACGGATCTCTCTTTCTCTTTCTCTTTCTTCTCTTTCTTTTCTTTCTTTCCTTTCCCAGCCACAACACATCCACAATGCCCGTCAAAGGTTCTGACATCATCATTATCCTCGTCGCCATCCTCTTCCCCCCGGCTGCGGCGGCCATGATCACCGGCTGCAGCTGTGATCTTCTCATCAACATCGTACGTCTCTGTCTATCCCGGTCCCAAAACACTGCTGAATGAAATTGTAGCTGTTGACCGTCTTGGTATGTCCCAGGTATCCATATGCCAAGTGCTAGACTGACAAGACACAGGGTTATCTTCCCGGCCATATCCACGCCTTCTGGCTCATCTGTACGTAACCCCACCGCAGCGTTATCAAACCAGCTTCTGACAATTCTTGTAGACAAGCGCATCAAGGCCGAGGAAGCGTACGGCCATGGTGGCTATACCTACTTGGGCAACGGCAATTTTGTTGGAGGCGCTGGTGGCCACCCCGGTGCGCCCGTCGGAGCTGCTCCTGGTACGTGCCCTTCTGTCGAAAGTATCAAAGAGCGTGGAGCTGACAAAGCGATAGCTCAGCAGCCGTACTATGGCTCCACTGGCCGTTAAGGGCTCAAGACGGTCCATCTCGTTTCGTCGGCTTTGTCGGTGCTAAACCAGGAGTAGGAGGGAGATACACGGTTATAATGGGTGTAAGATATGAAGCAGTAGAAGATCAGAGTGAAAGAACCCATGAATGTGAGAATAACTTTCTTGTATTTGGTGACATTTTTACAGGTGTGAGTACGCGTTTGGCGAATCATCCTCTCATTTGCAACTTCCATCGTCGTCAAACTTAAACATAGGATATCACTCTCATCGCCCCTTACATCACCACACAACTGTCTTCCTCCACTGGCTTACTCACAAATCCCATCTCTGCAAATGTCTGTGGTCCCTTCTTCTTTTCCGGCGCCGCTCCTGCTCTCGCCCCTGCTCCTGCGCCTTCCAAGCTGCCTCCAGGCCCCGATTGACGGACTGGAACAGGCAACTCATTAGACGTTCCCGTCGAAGAGACCACGGAATAAGCAGCACTTTGCCCAGGGTATGAATTGACAGAGTTGTTCGAGTTCTGCCTGCTGAACGCCGGCCGGGGTACAGCGGGCGGGGCAGCTCCGGATGGGTAGGCTGAGGGAGATGGGCCTCGCAAGCCTTGCGACATGGGCATCGGAGGTCGGAAGTTGGAACCGGGGGCGGGGGGCGACGTGGCGATGGGCGACATGATCTCCCCTGGTCTGGCTGCAATCGGCTGGATCTGCGGCTGCATTGGCGCACCCGGCTGGGGTCCATGAATTTGAGCGAAATCGGACTGCACTCCCAGTACCGGTGCACCCGACGACTGCCCTCCTTGGCCTTCGGGAGCCCGTCCACTTCTGGAGATGGAGAATCGGTCTGACCGGTTCTTGGCGGTCGTATGTTTACGGATGATGGTATTCCGCAGTCTCGTCTCGTGCTCCGTTATGGTCATCGTGGAGGGGTTTGCTTGAGAGAGAGCTGCAAGTCGGCCCGGGGCATCTGCGTTGCCGAGCTTGGCGGCCTGACGGGGGTGTTAGCGAAATAAGCGTAGGAGAAGGATGCTCGGCTTGCCTTTTTGTACCATTTCTTGGCTGATTCAAGATCCACATTGCATCCCATCCCAATCCTGACAGCTTCAGCATCGACACAATCAGGCAATCGGACATTACTCACTCATAGTAATAGCCCAACGCAAAACAAGCACTGGGATGTCCCTTCTTCGCAGCCTTTTCCGCATAAACCCTCGCCTTTTCCTCATTCTTCACAAAGAATCCTTCCGCCCCACACAAGAACCACTTGCTCAACGCCATATCCGCCTCCGTCTCGCCCGCCAAGCTCGCAAACGTGTACCAAGCCACACTCTGCGCGGGGTCATATGGGCAAGACAGAGCGGCGTATTCGTACATGTGGCCGACTTTGTATTGGGCGGGCGGGTAGTTGAAGTAGGCCGCGCGCTCGATGGCGGAGCGGGCGTTGACTTGCTGGGAAAGGAAGCTTTCGGTGGCGGGAGAAGAGGGAGGAAGAATGAGATGAGGGGGAATGTCGGCTTGGAGGGAGAGTTCGCCTGCCAATAACATGCCATAGACGTAGGAAGACTGGGGAAAGTCGACAGTGGAAGTGTCGGATGCCTGGTGCAGCAGCTGAAGTCCGAGAGAGGGGTTGGGCGGGAGGTTGAGTTGGCCTCGGAGGTATGCAATACCCATCCTCTGTTCAAAAGTCAGCGAGCACCTCACCAAGGCAGGAGAGACTCACAAAAGCACTCTCGCATTCGCTTCTCTTGGCACCCCTGTCGTAGCAGTCCCTCGCCCTAGCCAGATCGTTCACAGCCTCGTAATCCTTGCCGAGTCTATACCAAGACCTCGCCTCTCCTTGTCTTGCCGACACATCAAAATCCTTGAAAGCCTGCCTGGCATCTTTAGGCAACATGGCCGGGCAGACACCGGAAGAGGACAGTTTTCCCCGAAGATACAAGGCCACCCCAGACGTGCGCGTATCTTCGCTGGTGGAGAGCGCAATGATCAAGGGGGCAGCCTTACCGAGCAGCTCATGCAGCCGGGGACTGAGATGCGAGCTGTTGGGAGGCGGCGAGACTGGCCGATCAAAGTGCGAGCTCATGTCGCTCGACTGGTGCCAGTGCCTTTCAACAAGTCTGATGACATCTTGGCACCACATTAGCTGACTGACGTCGGACGTGCGCTCGATAGTGGCGGAAGCTTGGGTCAATTTATCGACCGTCGGGTAAGGGTGAACTTGCGGAGTGTCCCCCTGGGTAGGAGTAGGGAGAGTTGGGGTGCCGGGGGAGAGGTTGTTTAGGGAAGAAGAGCGCGGAGGGGGGGCCATGTGGGGCTGCATCTCGGTCTGAAGACTGAGACGGTGTGTAGGGTTGGGCAGAGGCCAGGCTTCAAAAGGAGGGGCGGCTTGTGGGAGGGGAGCGGAGACTGGAGAGTCGATGTACGAGCTCCTTGAGTTGATCTGCGACGGTGTCAGTTCCAATATAGCATGGGCCATGGCACACGTACCACCGACCCTGGCATGACATTGTCAAGAGGCGCTCCTTGCTGAGGAATGTATGAAGCGTGGCTGGCACGACTCTGCATAGCAGACTGAGACTGAGGTCTGACCAAGCGCATATCTTCGAAGGCCTGGATAGGAGGTTCGAAAGCAGCCGGTTGGTATGAGCTCCCGTAGGTACTGAACTGCTCTATATGGGACCAAGAGGACTGTGGTCGGGGCTGATCAGCTGCCGAAGGGTATGGCGCAATGTAAGCCGAGCTTGGTCGGGCAGGGGGCGCAGGGGCGAGCTGAGGAGCTTGCTGCTGGTGATAGTCGTAAGCAGAATGAGGGCGGGGCGGGGGGACGGGAGAGGGGCCTTGATAGTAGGCATTGTTGGGATGGAGGGTCGACATTGTTTGCGCGTGGGAGGTCAAGGGACAGGGCGGGTGGTCGAGAGCGACGAGGGCAGTGGTTGCCAGGAGGGGAGGGCACGGGTGGGATGGGGTGTCCTGGAGATGTGATGAAGAGTGGAGAGGATGAGAAAAGGACGGTGCTTACTTGTCATCTCGGCTGTGTTTGTGCCATCGAGTTGGCGTGTGTAGAGCGAGAGTACAGTGCACCGCAGGGTAGCGTCGGCCGCCGGGACCTGCTAGCCATAGCGAGGGGAGACAGCCTCAGCCTGGCCTCAGCACCCATGCAGAGAGGGGTAGAACATGAGCATAGAACGTCAGTATGCATTGCAGCGGTACTCGCTCCTCGCTATTGACACTCGACCGCAGTGACCACCACCCGGGCTGGACGCGTCTGGTTGATATCATCTCTTCGACGCGTCTGGCAAATGACCTCTGACGTATCGACGTCAGGTATGCGTTCGAGAAGATGCTCTTGGAGAGCTTACTGAATTGGTAGATCACTCGATCCCGCTCATTGAAGACGTCAAACCTGGCGGGAAGCGGCTCAGAGGTGGGATCCATCATGTGCTCCGCGAGAAGAGGGATAATTCGCTGAGACAGTCAGCTCTTGCGCATGTCAATGCAGCGAGCGTACCTCGAGTTGGCGTCGAGCAGCAATGGAAGTGACTGTTTTCTGCGTCTTCCTCGAAGCCCTGAACTCGATAGCGCGCCTTTGTGGTGGTCAGTGGGCAAAGCGGCAGCAGGTGAGGTCAAAGCGAAGGACCTTGTTGGTGAGTGAGCAGCTCGGACGAGGATGGGCTCGTCCCACTTGATGACAAACATGGTTGGTGATATTATAGATTGTGGAGATGCAAAAATGAGAAAGAGGAATGGAGAGATCAGCTGGGAGCATCGGGAGGCTGTGAACACGGACGCTTGGGCCACCAGCAACGCCTCAACAGTGGTCCTTTGGCGACTCTGGCGATAGAGAAGCCGACGAAGGCCTTGCCGCCTAATGTCATCTTCTGCCAGGAGTACAGGCTTCTGCCAGTTCGTACTTCCTACCATTCAATCGCCGAGTATCTTCGCGGCTCATTGGAGACCTTGTTTGTCACTCATATGTATCGTGATGATGATTCAATCAACCTTGTGATCCAAAGCATCAACACCCTCTACGACTGCTGGCGGCAGATGTTGGGCTCAAGGGCAAAGTTGAATTACCGCCGGGTATAGTCCAGTAAGCTTCCTCTAGCGCGTGTTCATCCATCAGTAATCACTGACCTCAAGAAGAGGAAGACATCCTTCCCAGCGCCGATTGACTGCCGGTTCTTCTGGTCATCGTTCTTTCCGACTTTCTACAGCAGCATTGGAGATGCATGGTATGCGAGCTATGTAGATATGAAAGAGTTTGAGCCTCATGACATGTAAAGCCCAAATGGAATCACTTCAGTCGCGGAGCCATAACTCTCAGGCCTTCCTATTGGGAAGTATCATTGGACTGAGACTCAATAGATGCAGAGTACTTGGCTTGCAATCTCTCGTACTCTTCGTTGAACGTCTCATTGAATGCCTGGAGTACACTGCTGTTGCGGCTGCCAGAGCTGGTTGCGTCAGCACTAGTATCAGTGGTGGGGACGGCGGATGCTTCGCTGGTGGAGGAGGGGTTGGTGGTTTCGTCAGGCATGTTGTTGGGTTGAGCGCAGTGTAAGGCGAGGTTCAGGTTTAGCAAAGATGTCAGTGTTTGTGTTGAAATGAGGAGTTTGTACTGCAGCTATGCTTTTAAGCCTCCTGCAAGAGCTGTACGATATCTATGACAAAGGTTTCTCGGGTGAAAGGTGCTCAAAGGTGCAGTAGACTGATGGATGAATCAACGACCGACATTTTGGCGTCGATGATTGTTAGAGGAAAGGTTGATGCATATCTTGACCTTGGTGATACCTTTTGTCTTAGAAGCACTGAGGGTCTGCATCTGAGTGTATGAGAGAATACTTCGATGCGTTTAGTGGATACAAGGTCAAAGAACAACACTGGATATCCGAGGGCAGCATCGGGCAGATGTTTTTACAGAGACACCTTACACTATATGCCCTCACACTGCATCACTGAGCAATCCCATCCTTCTCAACATTCCTATTCTTCTGTCACAATGCTCAAGTATGGAAAAAACGTATGGAAAGATCGAGGTGACTTGTTGTCATGGTTAAAGGAGCAAGCGTGACACTTGGCCTGCATTTGCCCGCACCAGCCGGCTGCAAGCCGGCTGGCGTCCCAACTTTTTCAGACCGTTTGACGGTTTTCACTAACTTTTCAACGGCATCATGCAATGCTCTGTAATTTGACAGTGTGGTAGATACGTGTGATAGGATGCTATATTCCAAATTTGGTATGCGTATGTACATCAGGAGGTGAGATATGGCTTGCCAAAGGTTACCATACCTTCCATTTTGTACCACCATTTGGTGTGTGGAGTTTAGTCGGCTAAACTCAATGATATCCCCTCCATATTTCGTTTATGCATGCTACATAAGCCTCCCAACTACCATGTAACTTTTTGAAGGGATCATAGATGCGACGCTCGAGTTACAACACTTGGCGAATCCTACCATCATTGAACCGCAGTCCGCAACCAAACCAGTACTTGGCTGAGAAAGCGGCGACCTCCGCGATGCAGTCTTCTAACTACCGTGTTCATTTAATCGGGCTTTCGGTCGTTTATGCATCAAATTCATTGAGCAATTTGTGGCCATCTTAAAGCCATACCTGCAAGTACCCGTTATGCCTTTTTGATTTATCAAAATTGTTCGATGTTTGCCGAGAAATACATCATTCTCAATACGCGCATTGTTGCTACACGCGCCAGGTAATTTTCCAACCACCTTGTTCATTTGAGGGAGCTTTCCGTCGTCTGTTCACATAGTCTTTCAGATATCTTACGGAGATCCCTCAAATGTATAGGTATGGATCCCCTTTCCATCAATGATCTACCAGAATTGACCAATGTCAGCTGGAAAATACGTCAGTCAACATGCGCGGTCTATTGTGCTACTATGTTCATTCCATCGGTCCTTCCGTCGTCCATGCGTCAGACTCATCAAATATTCTGCGATGACATTTAAACACTGCCTGTATGGATTCTGTCAATACGATTAGGTCACCAAGTTGATTCATGTTAGCCGAAAAGTACCTCAGTCACATTGGTCTCACTGTTGCTACGCGCCCCAAATCTTTCCAACCACCCTGCTCATTTGATCGGGTTTTCCGTCGTCCATGCATCCGTTCTATCAAATCTCTTCCAGAGATACTTTGAATATGCATGCACGGATTCACCCTCCATCCACTAATTATTCAAGATGTCAGCCATAACGTACGTCATCAACAATACGCGCACTATCCAGCCACTCTATTTGCTTGAATCCGGCTTTTCGTCGTCTATGCAAGAAATTCATCCAATGTTCTGCCGCAATCTTCCAGGTATTCCATCTTGAATTCAGTCTACCTTACTAATATACTTAAAGTGAACAATGTGAGTCAAACAATACCTCACTCGCAATTCGCGCATTACTTGTTGTTACCCGCGCCACATGTTTTTAACCACTCTGTTCTTTTGATACGGTTATCTGTCACACGTAGATATTCCCAGAAGTGGCATGGCGCTGAGTTGTGTGGATGGTTGAAGGACGCGCCGTGTACATACTCAATTCATATCCTACTGTTCTACTCTTTCTCTATGCGATAATACCGAAAAGGTCTTTTCCCCTCCAAAATCACCTTTTCCAGTCCTCTCCCCTGCTGCGTCCCAGCAGGCCGTGACATTATCCGTCGTCCATGTATCCATTCTATCAGATCTCTTTGGCAGATAGCTCAACGCTGTATGTATGGATACACTTTCCATCAGCTACTTACCAAAGTTGATGAATGCCAGCCCAAAAGTACATTTCATGGACCTTTCCGTCGTCTATACAATATTTCCATCAAATGTTTTCATGCCATGTTTGAGAAATAGCTGCATGGAACCATGACAGCTCTCCGCCGCCTACATCTCACCCACTATCCCTCTCTGATGACTGTCTATAGTCCACGCCAACCTCAGCCCATTGATCCCTATTCCGCAAGCCGTCGGTCGCAATCTCGTACCGCATGAGGCTCCGAAAAAAACCCATGTGTGCAGCTTTGAACTCAAAGCCCTTTGCCACTAGATCGCGACCGCGCATCACCATCTCGATCGTTTGGGTCATGAATATGCCACAGTCTGGACCTTCCTGACGAGGGGAGTCCTGCCGTAAATCGTTATTATCTCACTTGCCACATGATTGGCATTATGCTGCCTTGCTGCCTAGCTCACCTCGTTGGGCAAGAAAGTCCATGACTTGATGTCCATATCCAAAGCCAAATGATCGGCGTGGTGGGACAACAGGGAGCGTACAGCCTTCCAAGATTGATTAGAAAGGGACCTCTGCTGAAACAGCACCTGGCACATCGTCACCTACCGCTTCTGAGAACTCTATCCTCTTTTGCCGCGTGTACCCTGAGTCTGTTGATCCATCGAACAAGTCAAAGTACTCAATCCTCTGCTGCTTCATGTTCACAACCACAGCATGCCAATGGTTTGGCGTGTGGATGGGAATGGAAACGGTGGAGTAATTGAACAGATTGATTTTCTCCTGTCAAGAACAAATCAGTATGTGCGCGTGTCATCGCATCAAGAAGCGACAATGAACTGTAGAACTCACTGTTTCAACTTCTCCCCATCTTCCCAACACCTGACACCCTTACCCACGACTTTAGGGCTGCTTTACGGTCAGGTTGAGGTCATGACCGGTTATTAAGGTCACCTGACCTGACCGAGAGTTGAAAGTGACCGTGCCTTAGAACGCGTCGCGTGTATAAAAGGCCTGGCGTTGCGACAATTGTCTCTTGTTCTTTCTATCATCTTTCCATCACTTTCCATCACCTATCTCTTCTACTAACCGCCCGTTCAGAGTATACCACGATGGCCCCTGCCCCCAAGCGTAAGTAACCAAACCAATCAAAGTGCTACCAAACTGAAACGCACTGCAGGCAAGAGAGGTGATGGCGACGTCGGCGACAAGACCAACCACACGTTGGACGAGCTACTCGCTCTTGACAAGACAGAACTTGCCCAGCTCGCCTTGTCCCTCCAGACCAAGCTTGAACAAGCCTTGGCCCCTCCTCCCACTGCTGCTGAGGTCGCCAGCGCCGCCGGCTGGAGCGATGAGAAGATCAAGGCCGCTGCCGAAAGGACGCGTGAAATCTGTGAAGCTGGTATTCGCAAGCAGATGAAGTGGCAGCCTTCTTGCAAGAAAGGGTCAGCCAAGTGGGCCTATGAGGGCAGTGTAGCACACCCAGACGTATTCTACACCGCGTTCGCGCTTGAGAAACCGGAGGGCAAGAAGAAGGCTTGGAAGTTGAAGACTTTGACTGTGTCCGAGCTTCAAAACTTTACCGGCCCCATTGAAGCTTCTGTGAGTACTGATCGATAGATGTACTGCAAGAGGTGTCGTGGCACCGACATATCTTCAGATTAGATATGGCAGCTTGCAGCTCACCGGCGAGACCGTCAGAGTCAGTTGGAACGCGGATGACTTGACTTACAAGCTGGCGGGTTCCTATGGGCTTTAGAGTACGAATGTAGAGTTGTATAGGTAGTTGCTGGTCATGGAAAAGACATGTGCAATCTTGGAGTCATTATAGTCCATGAGGTTCCACTGCACTCTGCACATGATCGTACTTCGACGCGTCGCGTGTCAGCATTACTCCGCATTAGCTTCTGCAGGATCTGCAACCACGCGCCACGACCCTTTTCTCTCGCTTTCTCCCTCCAGAGCAAAGCCCGTGCTGCTGAAGACGCAGCCTCCTCTACCTTGAAGCAAGGAGAAGCTTGCCGCCATAGCCACCTAGGCCCGCGAGATTGCCCAGTCTAGTATCGAAAAGCAAATGAAATGGATGCCGTCCTGGTCTTACGATGGTGTTGAACCCCATTCAGATGTCTTCTACAGAGCTGTTGGGATTGAAAGGTCTAAAAAGGCTTGGAAGGTGAAGACAATTCCAGAAGAGGATTTTCAAAAGTCGGTTGGCGACATCAGTGCCACGTGAGCCCATCATGATCGCCTATCTGCGTGCTTCAGTACTGACAAACTCACAGATCAGGTATGGTTCCTTGAAACTCAGGGGTAGCGTGAGGATCACCTTCGACGAGGAAGATACGTATGAGCAACTCAAGCTATCGGGTAATTACGGTCTCTAGAAGACGATGGTGTAGTGGAGCATGGTTATTTGAAGGGCGAACAGAGTACGAAAAAAGACGATCAACAATCTCGAATGCATCTGATTCGATAAATGCACAAGTCGTGGTTCAACAACCTAGGATTACTTTGTGCGATCCGTTCGCTTACCAGCCCACAAAGTCGGCAGCACTACGCTGCATGATATGGGACGAAAAAAAAAAACCTGGATACTAAATTCTACTGTCCACCCTCTGCCTGCCACTTTCCCCAGGCCTCATGCGCCTTCTCTTGCACCTTTTGTTCCTTTTGCAACTTCTTCCCCAGACTCCTACTCAGCTCATTGCCCTCTCCGTCCTTTGTCGGCAGACCTTCCTCGTTCCACTCGGTATACAGCCCGTCGGCGACATGAGGGGGCTTGAACATCTCGGCAGGAGCAGTCCGCCCTCTCTCAAGGGTAGCGATACGCTTGGCTTCGGCAGCCTTCTTTCGCTCTTCCTTCTCTGCCTCCTTCTTTGCCTTCTCGCGTTCCTTCTCCTCCTTTGCACGAGCGAGCACGGCAGGGTCGACGAGCTTGTAAAGCGCACCACCAGAAGCCGACGCGCCATCGTCGAGCTGTACACCGAGAGTAGCGAGATCGGTATCTCTGAACTTGTCGCAAAGTTTAAGTATGTCTTGCGAAGAAGAGCCGGCAATCGCAAGACGACGAATCTCGTCCCGGAAAGACACCATCGCCTTGAGGTAAGGATCCAGCTTTCCTTCCAGCCCTCCCTCGACTCCGCTTTCAGCAGAAGACACACTTCCCCACCCAATCTCTCCCTCCGACACAAGTCCCTCTCCCAGACCAAACATTCTCAACATCTTGCTCACCCACTGCGCCGCCGTGACCACAGGAGCAATGTTGTAGTCCTTGCCCGTCTCTTTGAAATAGGCGTTGGTTGCGGACACGAGGGAGAGGAGGGTCTGGATAGCGGCAGGGGTGTTGAAGGAGTCGCAAAGGGCGGTGCGGAAGTCGTCCTGGGCCTTGTAAAGACTGCAAGAATGTCAGTATGTTAACAACGATCAGGCAGATACTTACGCGTTCATCAATGCCCTTTCTTCCTTGTCGTAATGGTGGAAACCATCTTGGGGTCGAGAAGCGGCATCTTGAACACGAGCCTTGACGTTGGTGAAGAATTTCTGCAAACCCTGTCAGTCCCTTTCTCATTCCCGCGATGACCTACATCAAAGATCTCTTCCTTGGCCTTGGTGTCAATGATCAAGTCCTTTTTGAAATCAAGGTTGGTGTTCCACACTTGAAGCATGAAAGCCAATCGCAGCTGCCTGGCAGAGTAGTCTTCAAGCGCTTGCTACAGTGTCTGTCAGCGCTAAGTCAGATCCAATATTGTGGTACGCACATCGATAGTGATAAAGTTTTTGAGCGACTTGCTCATTTTGAGCCCCTCGATATGCAAGTGTCCAGTATGCAAAAAGTAGTTGACCCATTGTTTGCACCCATGATAAGCCTCTGATTGCGCCAACTCGTTATCGTGGTGGGGGAACATCAGGTCCACACCGCCCGAGTGAATGTCCATACCGCCGCCGAGAATCTCAGAAGCCATGACGGAGCACTCAATATGCCAGCCGGGTCGGCCGGGGCCCCAAGGGGAAGGCCAAGAAGGCTCTCCGGGCTTGGACTTGGCCTTCCAGAGGGCAAAGTCGGCTGGGCGGCGCTTGCCCTGAGATCCGGTCAGTGCACCTGGTAGGGTCAGTTCGGTCCAGAAACAATATGTACGAAAGGACACACCTTCCCCCTCATCCAACAATCGCTTGTTTCCCTTGCTAGACGGCTGCAACTTGGCGTACTCATGCTTGAACCCTTCTCCCTCTGCCCCTTCAAACTTCTCCACGTCAAACCAGACACTCCCTCCACCCTCGTACGCAAAACCGTTGCCGATGATCTTTCCAACAAAGGCGACAATCTCGGAAACGTATTCGGACACTCGGGTGACAGTGTCGGGAGGAAGGATGCGAAGACGGGCCATGTCGGTGAAGAAGGCATCTTCCCAGTGGGCGGCGAGGCGACGGCAGACAGCAATAGGGTCTTCAATAGTGTTGCCAAGCTGAATAATGTGAGCGTGATTCCTTCATGACTCAAAGACTTACCTTTTCGCCGAGGAAGGGGCCGAGAGTATCCGTAGAGCTGGACACGAGATCCTTGACAGCTTCACCGGAAGCTTCAGGGGTGTTCAGTCTCTTCTTGGAGTTGAGGATAGCCTCCCTGGCCTTGCCAAGGCTCGTTAAGTACATGCCAAACTTTTCTTCATTCTCCCTCGCCTTGGTAGCCCACGCAGCGTCGCTCTGATCTCTCTTGACAAGCAGATCCAGAACCTCAAACGTCGTCGCATTCTCCACTCCGACCAATGGTTCCGGGAGCGCCTTCAATGGCTTCTGGAGGTACTTGGCGAAAGCTTCCTCGGCGTCAGAGATGAGCTCGGGAGTGAGAGAGGGGGTCGTGGCGACGACTTGGTCGAGGAGGTATGATTCACGAGCTCGGAGGATGATCTTGTCGTCAATGTCGGTGATGTTCATGACAAAGTTGACGTCGTAGCCAAAGTAGTCGCGCAATATTCTCCGGACGATATCTTGGGTGAGGTAGTTCCTAAGCAAGGGTCAGCGCACAGAAGTCAAGCTCGGGTTGATTCGGGACTCACCTGGCATGCCCCATATGGCTAGAGTCGTATACAGTCGGTCCACAGTTGTACCAGTCCACCCTTCTGCCTTTTGTGGGCACAAACTCATCTTTGCCCTTCGTCAATGAGTTGAAAACCTTGAGCACAGGCTCCTGGATCGTCTTTGTCGGGGGGTACCATTGAGGAGGGGGCGCTTTTGTGGCCATTCTGTGGGAGATTGCGGTGGTGGAAGAGATGAAACGGGGCGCGGGTCTATATCTAAGGCAAAGGAGAGGCCGGGAGAGGCTGAGCATACAGCTTGAGGGGTGTGGCGTGCTAAAGAAGGTCGATGAAAGAGTTGAATAGCGCACTTGACTCACGACTTTTGCAGGAAAGAAGGCGCGCGTGTTTTGTTTAGAGGATAGGCGTGCCATGCGCGTCGACGGGCGTTTCAGCGTTGTCGGGAGACTTTATGGCACCGTATTCCTCTTTTTGTCTTGCACCAACGACCCCCACGAGCTGTTCATGATGATATTACGGCCCTCTTTCCTCTTTCTCTTCCTCACATCCCTCCTCACCGCCGTCTCCGCCCTGAAATTCGACATTACCGCCGAGAAAGACCCAAAACCGAGTAAGTTGCTTCGACGTAATGCCCGACTGTCGCTGATGTGCTGTAGAATGGTCGGTACCTTCTCAACCTGATACAGACTCTGCTGACTGTAGAAAAGTATCTGGAACTTTGCCGCCTCCCATTCCCTCGTCATAGTGACAGCCAACGTCCCGTCCGAGCCTGACCAGCGTGTCGACATTGAAATACTCGACGGCTCCGCCCATGGCAATGTCTATCTGAACAAGAAGGATATCAAGGGAGAGTCTAGGCTGGCAGTGACGACGCATGAGAATGCTGATGTCGGTGTCTGCTTGAGGAACTACTGGACGGGAGGTTAGTCTGCAACCTTAAGGGTTTGACGGAGAGCTGACGGCTGGGACTTTAGCTGGTAATCCCAGGGCTGTGCGCTCTGTGGAGCTTGACGTGGACATTGGCTCTGATGCTGTCGACTACAAGTGAGTATCAATGTTGCCCAGGTGTATACAATGGTCCTGACATCATGTGCCAAGCGCGATCGCAAACCAAGAATCACTTTCTATCCTCGAGGTCGAGATGCGCAAGCTCGAAGCCTCCGCCCGGGAGATCGTTCAGGAGATGGGCTACTTGCAGAAGAGAGAGATGAGGATGAGGGATACCAATGGTACGTCTACAACTGATACTCGTTATGAGGAGATTATGATGGAAGCTGATGGCGAAACAGAGAGCACGAACGAAAGAGTCAAGTGGTTCTCTATCTTGATCATCCTTGCCACCATTGGCCTTGGTGTCTGGCAAGTAAGTGCCCTTATCTGACCTTCCTGGATGAACGCTGACGAGAGTGGTAGTTGCTGCATCTGCGTTCTTTCTTCAAGCGAAAGTACCTCATTGACTAGAGCATCGGCGTCTGTGTGCAAAAATACAATCATGAAAAGGGGTGTTATGCATAGGATACATGTACAGCTACAGTGTTGCATTCGAGAGCCTCTGGAACATGGGGTGGACGTGCGTTGAGTGGCGCGTCGCGTCAACATTACTAGCGCACAGACCCAGTCCAGTCACCTCTCCCTTTCATCTTCTCTTCTCTTTCTCATCTTCTTCTTCTTCATCTTTTATGCCAAGAAAGATGTCTGGCAACCCATCCCCTCACCACGCGCAGCCCTACAATCCCCAGCCCTCTCCCTCCAGACCCTTGTCCTTCTACCCCGGGCCTCACTCCTCCCCTTGCGATTTCCCAACCTCTACTGACACTACCCACTCTGGTGCTCAGAGTCTCGGGATGGTAGACACATTTCTCGGGCAGAACTCTTCTCCCACTCGTCAGTCCGGGCAAGGCGAGCGCGCAGAAGAGTACATCCAGCTGGGTGGGCCGGAGCAGACGCGCGAAGAGTATTATGGTGATGGTAGCGGGCAGTGGCCCGAGGGCTATCGACAAACTTATCCGTCCAGCATGCAGTACACCGAAGATGGTGTCCAAATCCATTCCCAAGCACAAGCGCAACTCCCTCCTCCCGGTCAAGGTCACTACAACGACTCCGACTCCGACCCCTCCAACCCAATGCCTGCGCCCGGGCAACCGGAGCAAGAGCCCGAAGAAGAGTTCGACCCCATGGCTCCCGTACATGACTTGACCCTTTTCTCAAATGTGCAGATGAGCTGACGACACACCTAGGTGGAAAGGTTTGACGCGAAAGGCGAGCTGGAGAGCAAGTGGAATGCTCTGCAGGATGAGATGGTGCCTTTCCTCCAGAGTACGTTCCCTTCCCAACCTCTATACTTGCTTCGCTTCTCCGCTGACCGGCCAAAGACTTTACAAACGAAGCCCTGTCCAACACGTACAGTTCCCTTCCGGCCATGCAAACTCACCGTGAGGCTGACGTGACTCTTAGCTTTGACTTGATCCTCCAAGCTCATTACATGTACCATCAACTCAACACCCGGATGCAGAGAGAGCTCGTGGAGGGCGTAAAGGCAATTGATGAAGAAGAGATGAAGCAGGGTGCGTCTCTGCCTTGCCTTTCTTGCTTGAGCTAACGCGTTTTTGTGTAGAGGCGGCAAGGAAGGTGATCACCGACTTTTCGAACGAGATGAAGAGGGCCGCCGAGGTGCTGAAGATGTTTGGTGGATCGGAAGCGTTTCGTAACGCCACGCAGTAGATCCAAGGTTGTCGTGATCACGGAGAGATGATTGCCCGCCAATACACCGTTACTCTATACCAATTGTACATATCCTCTAGACCGATTACAGGAGGTTCTACAAGTTATTATTCATCATCTGTTCCAAGTCAGCTCTTTCTTGTCGAGGATCAAGTTTGCAAACGCACCACTGTCTTCCTCGATATCCATCTCCTCGTCGTCCTCCTTCTCCCCCTTGACCCTCTTTGCTCCCCGACCCTCTTCGCCATCTTCCAGCCCCCTCTTCTCACCTCCTCCCGAGACTCCGGCTTCTTCATCATGCCTCTCCTTCTCCAACTGCTCGTACTCGTCCTGTGCGCGGGAGACGGTAAGCTTGGCGGCTTGAACAGCGGCCGCTTCTCTGGACGAGGTAGGATCTTCGTGTGCTAAGGTGGCATGGGATGGGGACTTGGCGTATGATATTCTCTGTGCCCTGGGTCAACCAACAAGGAAAGAGCGGGTTTGAGGGCAAACGTACCAGTTCTTTGCTGTAAAAGCTCTCGCCTGATAATCCTCTCAAAGCCGCCGTAGCAGCCGCTTGTTCTCGAAAGACTACAAAGGCCTGTCCCCGTCCGCCTCCGTGCTTCTTTGCTACCACATCGATTCTATCGCGCGGGATCAGCTACCCGGACTCGAAAGCGAAGAGAGGACATACACGGTGCCATATGGGGCGAAGAGGGCGTAGAGTTGCTGCTTGAGCTCTATTTTCTTTGTCTTGGACTCGAGGTTGGAGACGTAAAGGGTTGGGGAGGGGGCGGCGAGGACGGACATGCTCGCTTTTTGTGGATCTACGAGTATGGATGCAGCCAGGAGACCTTTCACGAAAGCAGCTGAAGCTGGACAGAGATGAAAAGGAGGGGCCGATTACGTTTTGTTTACCTGATCGGGTTTCTAATGGGCGTGGCTGTGATTAGCGGGAGCAGATTGGCCAATTAGAAGGGGATGGGCGCGTTTCTTTCTGCCTTCTGCGTTCTAACCACCACTGCCTATAGAATCTGTGAGTACCCCTGGGACGCGCTGCAGAGGGGGAGGAGAAGGCAGCATGCCCAGTCTTTCCTTGCTGCTGCCTGGTAACTACGCGAGCTGGGCCTGGCTGTGGTCGCGAACCTGCTCCTGCGACCCCTCTCTGCGCCGCTGTCCTCGAGAAAAACGCGTCTTTAATCCCCCAAGCTGACCATTCTGCAGCTGCCGAGGCCCGAACTGGAATTTGCGCCCGCCACGCTCTTTATTCTCGGAACCAGTCACTTAACGTGACTCTGGAACACGGGTTTCAAAAAAAAAAATGGCCTACAACCTCACTACGTCCACCATCCCTTCCATGATCTCCGCCTACCTCCCTCCTTCGCTCCACCCCTTTCTTCTCCTTTCCTATCCTCTTCCCCCATCGGGCGAGCTCTTGCTCGAGCCCTTGGCCAATGGAAGCTCCAGCTTTAGCTCCAGCGGGACACTGTACGGCAAAGGTCCGCTTGACGCATACTTTGTCCTGTTCTGGGCGGTCGCGTTCACTGCCTTGAGATGGGCGACGATCCACTATCTCTTCTCGCCTATCGCCCGGCTGTTACTCCCCCGGCTAAAGGCCATCAAGGGACAAGAGAGAGAATGGAATAGGGCCGAGAGGAAGAGAGAGCATGTGGTTCTGAGATTTGCAGAGCAGGGCTGGAGCTGGTTGTACTGTACTGTGTTCTGGTCGTTTGGATACGCGCGTACTCTTGTGTTGTGCTCAAGCGCGTGTGCTAACATGGACGCAGTACGTCTTGACCCGATTCCCCAACCCCACCTCGCCTGAGCAACTTTGGGGCACCTATCCATTCCACCCTCTGCCCGGTTCTCTCAAGTTTTATTACCTCGCCCAGCTTGGATGGTGGTTCCATCAGCTGCTCGTGATCAACTTTGAGAAACGCAGAAAAGACCACTGGCAGATGTTTGGTCACCACATCTTGACCATCGTGTTGGTGGTCGCGAGTTATGCGATGAACTTTACAAGAGTGGGCGTCTTGATCCACTGCTTGATGGACTTTTGTGATATTCTGTTACCTGTGAGTGATCATAAGCTCGGAATCTGGCAAGCGTCTAACCCAGTATAGTTTGCAAAGATGCTCCGGTACATGGGTTGCACTACCGCATGCGACCTCGCCTTTGTCGTCTTCCTCGTCTCTTGGTTCCTCACCCGCCAGGTCGGCCTCTTCCTCGTCATCCTCACCACCTACCGTGACGCCCCTGCCTACATTCCTCATATATGGGCCCCCGAAAAGGGCATGTACTTTACACACAATGCCTATGTGGGATTCGTGGCGCTGTTGGGCACGCTATGGTGTCTGGCAACGGCGTGGTTCTACATGGCGTGTGTTGTGGCTATCAGGGTGGTGAGGGGACTGGGGGCGGAAGATTCTCGGAGTGAAGAGGATGAGGACGAGAGTGTAGAGGGCGAGGGGGTGTTGGAAGATGTGCCCCAGGTGGTGGGGACCTCGAGTGCGGTGGAGCAAGACGGGGATGCGAGGAAGCGGAGATGAGGCGGGCGTTCATGTACAGGGAGGCGCGGGGCGTACTACATTAGCATAGCATTGACCACAAACGAAAAATATCAAAATGTGTAGCTTCATTCCTCTTTTTCTTTTGACTCTTTTCCCTTCTATAGACCTCTGACGCTGTTCTGGCAAGGATACCTTCATCATGGTTTTACGATGATCTCATATATGCATCTCAGACATCTTCGGTAGAGTGTCGTTATGCATCACAGGGAGTGTCGCTGATTTACGACTGCCGTAGCCGCTCATTGATACTCAGGGAAGGGGACTATAGAGACGAGCCTTTCTATGTATCGTCGTAGCACATGGCGTCGACGGATGATGCAAGCGGCACCCCCAGGCGAGCGTATACGCATACGCCCCAGTACCATCACTGTGGCTGAGACAAGTTGAATTAATTATTAATTGAGGGGTGGATGAAGCAGGCAGTGTCGCACTCGCCCTGCAGGATGGACAGATGTGCACAGTAGCACCTCCTTTCCCGGCGGTAGTTGTGCTCTCAGCTGCTCTCTGTAGGGTCTGCGCCAGGCCATCAGCATACATGCGCCCCTCTCGATGCACTAGGCATGTCTGTGATGCCTCCTTTCGGTGGTGCGACGGTTCTGCGGGAAAGGAGTCTGTCTCGTAATGTACCTCCATGCAGAACAGTATATAGCACAGCCCCGTCCTCTTCTCTTCTCCATCCCGCCATGTCCACCCCCACCACCCCCCTCGACAGCGACCGCCACAACAACTGGATGAACGGTGAGCAGCCTCCCCCCCTCCGCCCTCCCCCGCCCTCTGACCCCATCCAGCCTTCGTCTCCATCCCCAAATCCCCTGTATCCCCCAGCCACAACGGCCTCTTTGACTTTTCCTTCCTCCACAACGAAGATTTGTTCGGTAAGTCACCCACACGCTTCCACACATCCCCGAAAGGCCTGTTTCTTGACGGCCTTCTCTTCGCCCACAGGCGGCCCCGACCCTGCGGCGCCATTCAGCTATGACCCAGCAGCCCTCGCAGGAAGCCACCACATCGCCCTCGACCACGTCCCGAGAGCGCCATCCGTGTTTGTAAACCCGGCCGGTGATCCTCAAGCCATCTTCAGCAGCAGCACCGCCTCCCATCCTGCGCTCGAGCCTCCCCTCGGGGAAGAGGAACATGCTTCTAGCGGCGGCCTTGGGGTCGAGATCGTCGTTGATGACGACGAATCGGTCATGGATGATGCTGACCAGCTGGCGCTGTATGCGTTCAATGACGATGTCGGGATGGACGTTGAAGAGGCACCGGGCAGCGTCAAGAACATGTCTGTGCGTGTCCTCTCTTGTTTTCAGAAAGGGCCATCGCTGATAATTTGTAGAAAGCCGCAGCCACCATTCGTGTCCAATCAGTCTCGCCAACCACGCCAGGCCAGGTGCCATCGCCGACCTGCGCCACACCAGTACATCCCTCTCCCCCATATGCCCATTTTCTGACCCCCAAGCCATCTCCTCCTCCCATCCAGCTCCGTAACCGCAAACCTCGAGCTCCCAAGAAGACGCCTGCCGCACCCCCCTCTCCCCAGTCTGCTTCTGTACCCTCGCACCACCTCGAGGCCATACCAAGGTTCACCCGGCAAGTCGCCAAGCAGATTGCGAAGGAATTCGACGAGCAGCAAAAGAAGGAGGTCTTGGTCAACGTCCCCCGCCTCCCGTCCCCCGTCCTGGAGCCTGTCGTGCTTCCTTCTTCTCTCCCTGCTCCGGTGGAAGCAGTGGAAGTAGTGGAAGCTACACCAGCCGTCCGCCGTCCCCCTACCCGAGCGTGCTCTACTCGGAAGACTGCCCCAGTCCCTCCTGGCACTCCATCGCCTTCCTCCATTCGAGACGTCAAGCCTACCATAGATGAACTCGAGATGGCCGAGCCCGATACCGACCTTGAGATGGTAGATGGTAACGAGAGCGAGTATTTCTCTTCCCCGCCTCCTTCGTCGTCCTTGTCCCAGTCGGGATCCGAGTTTGGGGATCCGCACCGTTTGGCTGTCCGTCCGACGCGTCGCGTAAGCCGGGCATCATCCTCGGGCGGTTCAGGAAAGGCGACAAGGACGAGAAAGAAGCGCCCCATGACTGAGAGGAGGTCCCTGCAGAATAAGACTGCACAGAAAAAGTATAGGGATAAGAAGAAGAGCATAGCCCTGCGAGTGAGTGGACGTGTGCAAGTCAAGTTGATGCCTTCTCGCTGACCCAGCGCAGACGCGCGACTTTGCCGCCAATATCACCAAGCTGTGCTCTGCTATGCCAGGCAAGGACGGGAAGCAATTCAGAAGGTTCCTCAAGGACTATATGGCAGACTTGGATGGTACGTTTTCTTGAACCTTTGCGGCTCGGCGCTGATCCATTTTCAGCCATGGACACCAACCAGCTGGAAGAGTTTAAACAGCTCGCCAACCTCCAATAAAACTAAAAATTACCATTTAAAGAGCATAGTCTTTTGTTTATATATCATAGTAGCATGACACATGTCTGTGTATAGTATATATTAGTAACTTGGCCTCTGGCTGTGTACAAATGATCATGGTAATCTATCCCCGCGAACATTCTTTATTCTATATCTCAAGTTGTACGTCTAGCATCACTCTGCGACACCCCGATCGCTATTTCCAATGCTACTGGAACCAAAGAGCAGACCATGGGGCGATCTCAATGCATCTCGTCCGTCCTTCTGAGCGACAACGGCAGTCCAGTCAAATGCCACACATCACTCAACGGTCGAAAATCCGACATTTACGTAATTCCCTTGCTCTACGCGCGGGCCCCCCCTCGTCAGCCCTTTTCGTCGTCAGCCATCTCGCTTCTGCATCCCGTCATCCATCTCGTCAGCCCATCCCGCCCCTCCTGCCCCTTCTTGTGATCCTCCGCCGCTAGCCAGCCCCGCCTCTCGCGATGGTCCGCACCGTCTCCTCCCGCCGCGCCTTACGAGAGTCCGCCGCCGGCGCGCCCGAGTCCAATCAACCCACCCCCCAGAAATCGGCCCCGAAGCCCGCACCCAAACCCACACCCGCCAAGCGTACACCCGCCAAAAGGGGGGCGGCCGTCAAGAAAGAACCATCCCTCGAGGTGGTATCTGGCGAAGCCTCGGACGATGAGCACTTCGCTGCGGTCAGCGAGGAGCCGGAGGAGCTGGTGTCTATCCACATTGCCAAGAAGCGCACGAGGGGTGGGAGGGTGATCAAGGGTAATGCGGGCAAAGACGGGGAGAGCGATGAGAGCGAGGAGCCGGATAGGAAACCGCCTGCGAGGAAGAGGGCGAACACGGAGAGACGCTCGGTGCAGAACAAGACAGCACAGAAAAAGTACAGGGACAAGAAGAAGAGTCTTGCCAGGCGGGTGAGAATGTATCATACGACAACGGGGATGGCATCTGACTTTGAGCGATACAGACACACGACTTTGCTTTGGATATGACTAGACTCTGCGGCAAGCTTGGGGGCAAGGAGGGCAAGGTGTTCAAGCGTCTACTTGAAGACTACCTGGCTGACGTTTCTTGTACGTATATTGTCTCGCCACTTTGCATCCAAACTCTGATATCCATCAGCCATCGACCGCAATTTCTTTGACGAGTACTTGGAAAAAGCTGGACTCACCCAAGAGTCATAGCGAGGCTGGCCGCATCTTCTTGGGCTTTTCTTGCGTCGCGGCTGTTGGGCTGGCGATGAGACTTGTTGTAAATATCGTGTCAGATTTCGAGCTGAATAGAGGGGTACTTGTTCTGTGAGTGATCGTATCGCCCGGGTTGACATGCATGCTGACTGTGATTCACAGATACTACAACGATTTCACCATGTATTGGCTATATATGACTCTTCCTGCTCAACTCTTCTATTTCCCGCCATTCTTCTTCTTGTCCGCTTCTGCCTTGGCTTTGGCTTCTGCCGCTTTTTTCGCTTTGGCTTCCTTCTCCTTCTTAGCCTTGTCCTCGGCGGCCTTTCTGGCCTTCTCCTTGGCCTTGGCCTCCTTCTCCTTCTGGGCCTTTTCTTCTTTCGCCTTTTTGGCGGCCGCCTTCTGTTCCTCCTCTGTCTCTCTTTTCTCTGCTTCAAGCAACTCTTTGGATTTTTCCGATTTCTGATCATCCATCAGCGCGTCACCAGAGCAAAGAGATTCGTAGCTCACCAAAGCGCTCCTAGAGAACCAACCTCCGCCAGCAGCCACCAATATACCACTTCTCCCTACCTCAAACACACCTTTCCATCCCGGTCTGTATATCCCTACCCACCCCCTCATCCAACCAAGTACTATATACACCAACCAATATCCCAGAAATTGCGCGCCGTCAGCTCTTTTCGTTTTGGCTTTGGAGAATGAGCCGGGTCTCCCGAGCTCATGCAGGAGGATATTGATGGTGGCGATGAGCGGGCAAACGAGTGTCAATACGGCACTAAAGTGTGGTAGGGCAAAAAGGGGTAGGTAAAGGTGTAAAAGGAAGAAGACGGATAGGATCAGGACGAGGCCGTGCTTGAGGGAGATATGAAGGAGTAGTGCGAGGGAGCTCGTGGGGCCGAGTAGAAGAGGCGCGTGGGTGGTGAGAGTAGAGATAATGAGGACGATGAGTTCTTCATTTCGGATCTCGGCGGAGGAGCGCGGTTTGGAAGAGGTTTTGGCGTCTTTATCCCGTTTGGCTTGCTCGGCTTTTGCTTTTGCTTTTGCTTTTGCTTTGGCCTCAGCTTTTGCTTTGGCCTCTTTTGTCTCATCTTTGGAGTCAGCCATTGCAGTGATGCCCTGCTGACGATTGATCTGGTGATGTACTAGAGTACAGTACTACTGGCAAAATGCGATGCCCTGTCGTCATCAAGGGACGACAAAGGATATCCAGCTGAAAGGGGCTCGTTCTGGGCGGCGGTCGATTCTCGACATACTCTGCAGACTTCAGGTGCATCATCTACTACAGTTAGTACAGTACGACATCATGTTTGCAGACCTTCAAGCTGTCACTGTCGACATAATCAACTGTATACATGGCTACATATTTATAACAGACTTTCCGCTTCGGTGCCGACCTCTTTGGCGAGAGGCTTGATGATGTTCAATGGCTCGACCCCCTTGGCTGCCTCAACAGCGTCTTTCTGCACGGGATTCTCGACCCTCTCTTCTGCGTCCTTTCCACTCTCGAGTGCCATCCCAGCACTATTCATCTCGTCATCACTCCCAGCCTCCATAGCCAAGAGATCGTCAAGAGTGAGACGTGTGATAGAGCCTTCATCGTCCACCACTTCAGATGGCTGGGCAGCAACATTCAGAGACCCAGCAGTCGCGGCGAGGACGGGAGAGACAGTCTTCTCTTGTATGTCTGAGTTCTGGGCAGGTGTGTGCTCTAGAGATAGGGAATCAAGTTTATCGTCCTGTTCGGCGATCACAACAGGTGCGCTGGGGGAAGGTACAGGAAGATCTCGAGACGCATGAGGAAGCTGTGGGACCGTTTGAGAAGCGATTGCCACGGCATCCTCAGGAACGCTCCGCAAAGGCTCGGTGGCAGCGGCAATCGTCTCAAGCTTGTCTGCGCCCCCTGACACTTGCTCCTCAAGCGTATCCTTCTGTTTCTTGGTATCTAGCTCATCATTCCCCTCCTCTGTTTTTTTTGCACCAGCCACCTCTAGAGTCTGGCTGTCGAGGGCAGTACCAGGAGGAAGAAGGTCGTCGTTTGAATCGTCCGTAGCAGCCGATCCAGGGCCAGAGCTATTGTCAGACTCAGAGCCGCTATCAGAGTCACTGGAACCGATATCAGACTCTGATTCACTGTTTGAACCTGTGTCTGAGTTGCCACTCAGTCCGAAAGGCTCACTTCCGCCCTCGCTCTCGCCGGAGACAGGCGTCTCTGCCGGAACAGTCTTGTGCTTGAGATTCTCCGGTGTCTTGGATAGAGCTCCAGGACTGAGCTCACGTAAGTCTCGCTTCATTTCACGCAACTGGGAGCTGGTGGGAGCGGGGCCTGAGAATGGGCCTGAATCGAGCGCAGTGGTGGCCCCAGTCGACAGAGAGGCGGTACTGGGGGATGATGACTGATCGGCGTAAGACGTTTGGGGGGTTCGAGTTGATGCGACTGTGGATCGCTGCTCTAGTTTCTGGGCAAATGTCAGTCATGCGTATCCCAGGCCGTTAGTAGTGTGTGCTTACCAGAGGCTTTGGCTTGGGTCTCTCCTTTCTTTCTTTTGATACCGTAATGACCCAGACAACAGCCAGTCCCTTGAACGCCCACCAAAGAGGAACGAGAGCAACCAAAGTGTCTTCCCCTAGGGTGGATTCTAAAAAGATGGAGGTGGAGTAGACGACCCAATAGTCCATGAGGCGTCTAGTCGAGGATGGCCATAGCTCGGCGGGTTTGGCCATAGCTGAAGCTCTGTGGTTGACGTCCCCTGAGAGGGTAGCGAGATAGGAGTAGCTTGACCATACAAGCCCTGCGTGAGCCAAGCTGTTGACAATAACACCCGACAGATTGTAAGGGTTGAGCAGAAGCACTGAGAGTAAGGCGAGGAGGAGTGAGTGAGCCAACACGGATGGCGGGCGGTCGATCTTGTGAGACACTGTGACAAGGAGAGGATACTGAGCCATTTTCTTGGGTTCTTTCAGCGCCATGCCATAATGCCTTGGTACGTGGCGTACCTCATCATCCAAGTAGGTTTTGAGAGCACCCCATGCTTCGGACGCCCGCGTCTTCAACGGCTTGTACGCTGTAGGACCCATTTTGTAGTCAGGAAACCTCAACACGAGTCAGCAGCACCAGTGTAAATACCAAATGTCACGTCGAGTGTCCCGCAATGCGGTGTACTGTAAGGTCCTCCATTGATGCCAATCCTTTGATGAGGGTGGTGAAAGGGTGTGCCAGGGTACATCAGTGATGCCCCAGGCAGAGTGAGTCACCCAAAGTGCGATGTTATTTGCTGGTACTCCGCGAGGACATTTGCATAGCACTGCCCATGCATCCCTGCATGAGCGTAGCGCTCGACCGTGAACAGCAGCGAGTTGAGAGAGAAGCAGAAGGCAGGCAGAAGAACAGGAGACGGTATTACTTGCTGCGCTGGGCTGATTACAAACTGAAATGTAATGGGATTAGGAAATAAGTGTAATTGGCTAGAGCAGAGCAATCGTCATGCGCCCCGACGCCCATGTCCTCTTTCTTTCGCCCTCTTTCTCCTCTCCCATACTATCCTCACCGCTGCTCCTACCCCTACCCCCCCGCCGCGCCTGTCTGCCCCCCGCTCGCCTCGGTACCCACGACATCCCCGCCGCGCCCCCTCAGCAGGCCCCCATCGCCGCTGTCGGAGACACAATGCCCAGCTCCATCCCCCTGGCTTCCCCTATATCGCCCCCCAAGCACTCCGACTCACAAGCATCCAACCCCTCCAGCTTGAACGGGTCCTCTTCCAAAACGGGTAGGAGGTCCGTCCGCCTGTTCGCTCCCGATGAGGAGTCTAGCTCCGACGAAGAGGGTCTCATAGGCGTAACGTCGCCGGAGACACCGTTCAGCAAAGAAAGCGAGCGTGAGTGTTGTTATGCTTGCATCCAAGAGCTCTGGCTGACGTGGCGCAGTCCCCCCCTCGAACCAACGCTCATCCTCGTACCCTGGACCACCTACCCATACATCCCCCACGTCCCGAATTTCCTCGATCGTCTCGTCTGCCTCTGCTGCCCAGCCCAAACTCGCCCGCTCAGTCACGTATGCTCCAAGCTCTGTCAACTTCCGTCCATCCTTCCCTATCAAACCGAATTCCCCAGAGCCTACTCACAGCAAGACTTACGAAAGCTGGAAAAAGACCCGATATGGCCCAAACAACGGGGGTCGAGAAGTGCGCGGTGAAAGACATGGGCAAGGCAGAGGAAGGTCCTACGCGGACCCCGATGCTAGCTATTTCACCAACGGAGAAAAGGATGAATATGGCTCGGACGAGGAAGTAGAAGGGGCGAGGTCGCCGGGGTGGAACATGTTGAACACCACGGGCAATGTCGACATCTCTCCCCTTCTGTCCATCAAGGCGGCCGACGTGACTGAGGATGAAGGGCAAGAACGGATAGATTGGCAGGGAATGCTGGAGAGCGTCTTGAATTCGGATGTCTTGAAGCTGGAAGAAGCCCGTATCTCCCAGACAATGCCTACCGACTCCTTCAAGGAAGAGTTTGGCAGAGCGCTTTGGTGGCAAATTCGAGCCAAGCTGAGGGGCCGCACCGAGGCAGAAGAAAAGAAGAGAGTACACGAACGGAGAGCTAGGGTGGTAGACATGGTCTTGGAGGAGGTCGCCAATTTCCGGTACGACCCCGAGCTGGTTCTGGATACCACCAAGGGTGACGACCATGAAGATCCCCAAGATGCGCTCTCGAAGGATTCCCCTCAATCTCGAGCGCTCGCCCAGGTCAACGTCGCACTTGCCAAACTCGGAGCTGTCAAAGCTCTGTACCCGAATCTCGCAGCTATGCGAGACGATAAAGAGATTTACACCTCTGCCGACTTTCGATCCCGAGCCGATGCCCTCACGGCTTGGTCCATCGTGGTCAGCTCTCTCCAAACACAGCTCCGTTTGCTCCAGAAGTGGACCGGTTCAGACGACCTCGATATCACCAAGCCTAATACCACCAAGGAAAAAGCGCTCGTTGGCAAATACCGATACCAC